GCTGGACGCCTGTCATGAAGCAGGCCTGGCCTTTGCCGGCATCAAGGCGCGGTCATGCCCGCCGGTGGGAGTTTTCAGATTGGTCCCATCGGCGCTCCGGACCGCGGCCGACCACCTGTGGTGGTCGCTAGGCAGCTCCCCCTATCGCATCGGCTGGGAGGACACGGAAAACCGTTGACGGACGCAAGGGCATCAGCGCCACATGGACCCAGACGGTCAAGGGCGACGGGAACGGCGCGGGGCCCACACCAACTTCTCCACCAACAAGATGGGGAGAACTACGACGCCTGCGTCGCCGCGGCGGAAGCCCTCCAGCCCGACACGATCTCCAATCGTCAACTACGGGCACCGGATTTGAGAGCGGCTGACCGGATGCACGAGACCTGCTCCTACCGGGAATTCCGTTACGGTGTCCGACCGGGGCGCTTCGGTTCGGATTCGTGGCAGGTGGGACAGGGACGCAAGGGCTACATCGAAGACCGGCGGCCCAACGCAACTGCGACCCTACACCGTCACCCGATTGATCATCGAAAACCGTGGGCGCTGCGGCTACTGCCTAGACCGCAGGCTATAACGGAGCGTGGTGCGCCGCCCCCTCCCGGGGCGGCGCTACTTTTTTGCGGGCGAACCCGGGGAGACCGCGCCAGCTTCCTGGTCCGACTGCGCCGCACCGCCCGCGCGAGCTCTACCGTCGCCTCACCCGACCACCACCCACGTCCTGGGGCTTCGCCTCTTCAACGGCGGGCGGCCAGCAGCAGATCACCGTCCTCCTCCCAACCCCCACCTCGACGCCACCAGAACTACGAATCAGCAGCCCAACTGGAGCCGCTATACCTGTGGGACCGCCTACGGCGGAAGTACCTGGACCAGGGCGAGGACCCGACGGATAGGACGGCGATGGGGTTTTGGCATGGGTAACGCTGTCCTAACCCCTTACAAAGCACAAACGATTAGATGGCGTCGTTGGCGTCTGCACACTCGATGAAATTGCGTAGACATTGATTAAGCATTACGCCTCCCGCCCCCCTGACCATCCCCGCAGAACGAAGGGCACCCCCATATTGACCTTGGTGATGGAAATATATGCTCGGCAGACCGTTACGACCTAGTGCACATCGGAAACATTCGAGTGCTGTGCTGGCGACGGATCGCTCGACGGCGGGTCCCTACGTTGGAAACTGTGGTCACTCCTTGCTACTGCACCCGCTCAGTTTATGTTGGTTTGGGCTTATCTGGAAACCGTATTTTATGGTCTACGGCAGACCACGTCAGTTTCGCGTGTACATTGGCTTAACAAGGGGAGTACGTATTGGTAAGCTGTTTCTTTAGCGCTTTATACGATCCGTTTGCGCAACAAACAGACAGACATGTATGACACAATGGGAGCATTCGATCACGGTATCGATTTTCTGAATGTGGCACACGGTTACTTAACTGCTAGAACACAAAACCACTCGATAGATCATACTGTTCGTAGGCTAATGCGCGTGGTACAGTCCCACGGTTGGCTAGACGCATTTCTGGCTAATTGAAGCCGGAGAGTACGGATATCGAGCCGATCTCTACATGTTGCCATTCCGCAGTCTCCTCACCAAAGAGTTATTGATGAAGCCGAGATGCTTCCTTTCTATTTTTTGATTAACGTCCCTCAACAACAGGATGAAGCAATACTGATACTGTCGCGGACGATCACAACGTGGCATCCGTCCTATTTGTTGCAAGACTTCCAAAGCCTATTTAATGCAATATACCCGGGGACTGCACTTGAAATAAATCCTTTGGTACCCCAATCGATGATTGATGAATTGTCGAGGGGTCGTATTACGGAAATTCGGCTTATAAAATTTGTCATCCCTCCAGACATTGCTGACGCGCTGCGCGTTGGGGGCCATGTGGAAACTGCAGGTACACTTGAATGTCTGTGCTAGCGGGAAGGAACGGCTCTTGGCCCATATTTGCAAATGTCCGAGATGTGCTTTTAGGCACAAGGGATGTCAACCGAGTCCTGGAGTTAGACGGATTCGAATATGACAACGCAAAGATCAGGTTTGATATAGGAGGCAAAACGAGGACGGGTGGACTTGTCGAACATCATGAAACTCAGAGCACTTATCGACATCAGCGACCAAGTGACCGTAGGACCAGATGGGCATCCAGAGTTCAGTAGCGTCGATACTATCGCCAACAACCTATTGCGGGACGTGCTGCGCGACCTTGGAACTGGAGGGCGTATGCTTTCTAAAGTCAACATATGGAGCATCTGTATGTGACCATTTTGGGACTTTCCGGCGATATTCTACTTCGACCGCGTCAGGGAATGGGCTGCAAATCCGGGATTTTGTCTTGTTTCTAGGAATGCCTGGAGTGGTAGCCGTGATTGTGACAGTGTTTTATGGAAATTTGGCGACTGGTTTGGTGCCAACGGTAGGCACATTTCTGGCGATTTTTGCGGCGTTGCTTTTCAATTGCTTTTGCTTGCTTACGACCTAATCCGGCGCGGGGAGCGGGCATCATACGAGACGGTAGAGATCAGAAACGATTGTTACGCGAAATCGTGAGTAATATATCATTCGCCATTTTGGTCGCTATCAGTGCCATCGTATTACTACTGGTATTATTGTTAGTTGACGATTGTTTATGGGCAGCCTATGCTGTTAGTGCGGCAACATATTATCTAGTGCCTCTTTTCGTGCTGACGTTGTTGATGCTACTGAAAAGGGTATACAGTTTGCTTGTCGACGATGTTCAACAAATTTGAGTATATTGGTTCTGGGGCACGGCGGCGCAGTCGGTGGGATGGTGCGGCGATGGGGTGCCAACCCGTGGATCGATTTACTGTCGCGAGTCGCAAGGGAATCGTGGGCTTGGTGGAACCGGGCGGTCATTTTATCGGTTCGTGAAAGACGCGCGACCGTCCGGCCTTGGGGCTCTCGACTAACGCCTCAGGTATCCTTGATCGTTGAAACCGCTCCTGTTGATGATTTCGGAAATAAAAGTTTGGGAGCCGCGGGGTACGGCTCCGCAAACACACGTCAGGATGTTTGTGGCCGGAAATCCGTGCGCATTCAACCACCGCCCCGAACGTACAATGGCCTCAAGCCTGCTTCCCGTCTGAGATCCATGCCCCGACCCACGCACCACGTCACCCCCACCGCCCTGCAAGCCTTCCGCCCCGCCTTCGAGCAGCGCGATAACCCGGACCTCCGCTGACTGTCCCTCCTCGTAAGCCGGCCGCCCGGAGAGCCGCGGCGTCCCTCCCACCGCCGCGCGCCCACCGCTCGCCCGACATCATCCCCCGTCCCCACTTGGATCCAACCCGCTCACCTATTTTCCCCATCAACCCCCTTGACACACTGCGAACGCCTGTTCCATAATGAACACCGTCAGGTGAAATTCGCTTCAGCCAGAGCCATACGGTCGTTCACGGCCAACTGGTTAGCGTCAAAATCGCAAACCCGGTCCTCCGACTTACCGGGACCGCCGCCGTTCCCACCCGGGAAACTCGCCGGCGCGGTCTCAACGGCCACAGGAGACGCCACTATCCTGGGAGATGCGGCATCCGGCCCTCGCGGCCACTGTCGCAGTGATCCGAAACAGGGGTTAAATCTTGCGTACCACCCCCGGCCGTGGGGCTAACCAACGACCATCAGGCTCTGGCACAACGAAACGCAAATCATCGGACGCAAACCCTGACGGCAGCAAGCAACCGGCAACACCAACCTCCTCGGGAGAAACCGCCTTGCATCGAACCTGAACCAGCCATCCAAAAACCCAATCATGATGCTTTTCCGCCGCGTCCGGGGGTAAAATCGCGGCATTCGCTCCGCATTCGCCTTTGTGCTACCCCATGCTCCCTCCCGTTCGCCACATCATCCACGCCGACCTGGACGCCTTCTACGCCGCCGTGGAGCAGCTTGATAACCCGGAGCTACGCGGGTTGCCGGTGCTGGTGGGTGGTAGGCCGGAGGGTCGCGGCGTGGTGGCTACGGCGTCGTATGAGGCGCGGCGGTTTGGCGTGCACTCGGCGATGCCTATGGCCACCGCTGTTCGCCAGTGTCCGGATGGTATCATCGTCCGGCCCCGCTTCGACCGCTACCGCGAGATGTCCGGCTTGGTGATGGACATCTTCCGCGACGTTACCGAGGTGATCCAGCCCGTGTCCCTGGACGAGGCCTACCTCGATGTCACCGAGGCCGCCGCGAACCGCTCGCCCATTGCCATCGCCATCGATATTAAGGAGCGTGTTTCCGCCGAGACCGGCCTCACCGTCTCCGTGGGCCTGGGCTCCGGCAAGACCGTCGCCAAGATCGCGTCGGACCTCCAGAAGCCCGACGGCCTCGTCGTTGTACCTACCGGCCAGGAGGCCGACTTTCTGGCTCCCCTGGCCGTGGGCAAGTTGGTGGGCGTGGGCCCCAAGTCCGCCGCGCGCCTCCACGACGAGGGCGTGGACACCATCGGCCAGCTGGCCACCATGCCCGAAGCCTGGTTCGCCCGCCACTTCGGCAAGCGCGGCGACAGCATCCGCGACCGCGCCCGGGGCATAGACCACGACCCGGTGCAGACCTCCCGCGAGGCCAAGTCCATCAGCGCCGAGACCACTTTCGCCGAGGACCTTCCCGGCAACTCGGAGGACGAGCGCGCCGAGCTTCGGGCCATCGTGGAGCGGCTGTCGGGACGGGTTGCCCGCTCCCTGCCCGGCAAGGGCCTGGTGGGCCGCACCGTCACCGTCAAGCTGCGCCTCTCCGACTTCACCACCTTCACCCGTCAGACCACGCTGCCGTCACCCACCGACGACGAAGCGGCCATCGTCGCCACCGCATGGATGCTGCTGGAACGAGAGCTGGCTCCCGACCGCGCCTTTCGCCTCCTGGGCGTGGGCGTCTCCGGCTTCACCCAAAAGGAGGGCCCCGACGAAACGCCGGAGCCCGTGGTCGCCCAGCAACGGCTGATCCTCTAGGATCCTCCGCCCGACCCGTCATTGCGAGCGCAGCGCGGCAATCTCGCCGCCCCTGACGCGCCTCTCGCGTCCTACCCCTTGAAGTGCCCGGTCACCGGCTGGTGGCCGGCGTTCGCCTCGTAGGGCTCCTCGCGGTACAACGCCATCTGCTTCATGATCGGTATGTCCTGGATGGAGAACAGGATGGCCTCGTCGCCCGAGTTGTTGGCGTGCTCGTGCCACACCCACGGCGGCACCACGAAGAAGTCGCCCTCGGTCCAATCGAACCGCTTGCCGTCGATGACGCTGTGGCCCTCGCCCTTGTACACCTGGTACACCGCGCAACTGGTCTGGCGATGCGCTCGCGTGGCGATGCCCGGCCGGATCATCTGCGCCCAGCAGGTCATCGTCCGCAGCACCGGTCCGCCGGTCATCGGGTCGCTGAACTCCATCGCCACGTCGTCGAAGGGGCTGGCGTCCACCTCGGCCAGCTGGTGCAGCGCCTCGTGGGTCTTGTCCCATTTGTAGTGCCACAGCGCCGAGTAGGGCGCGCTCGGTTCCTCCCACGCCGGCCGCAGCGCGCCGGACGCGAACTTGCGCTCCGACTCGGCCACGCCGACGATGGGCTGCTGATCCTCGGGGTAGGCCTCGTAGAAGTTGGCCCGCAGATACCGCACCAGCGGCACGTCCAGTCCGTCCAGCCAGACCATCGGCTCTTCGCCCTCGTTGTTGTGGTCGTGCCACGTCCACGACGGCGTCAGCACCAGGTCGCCCGGCTCCATGTAGCACTTGTCGCCTTCCACCGTGGTGTAGGCGCCCGTGCCCTTCAGCACCCATCGGATCGCCGTGGGCGTATGCCGGTGCGCCGGCGCGTTTTCGCCGGGCAGCAACAGTTGCAGGGCGGCCGTGATGGTGTGGGTCGTCCCCCGGTCCAGCCCGGGCGTTGCCAGTCGCAGGGTACGCCGCTCCACGTCCCGGTCCGGCGTCACCAACTCGCCGCTCTTCATCACCAGCGGCTCGACCTCGGCCCAGCGCCACAGGTAGGGCTCCATTTCCGGCATCGGCTGGCCCTCGCCCTGCAGCCAGCCCGGCTTGACCTGGACCCGGCCCGCGGTTTCGTAGTACTGTCGCTCGTCCTCCGTGTTGAACCGTTCGATTGTCGCCATGTCGGTACCTCCTCGGTTCGGTTACGCGCGTCGTTTGGCGCGATTGTAATCTCGATCCTCCCGCATGTCATTCGCCGAGATACGAGATAGTCGAATCGACGTTGGAATAGGGTGTTACAATCGGCCGCAGACCCCCAATCCCAATGCCCAGTCGAGGAGAATCATGGCCAGATTGCCCGTAGTAACCAGGGACGCGGTGCCCGAAGAGTTCCGCGCAGCCTTCGACGAGCTCACCAAGGACACCGGCGGGACCATCACCGGCGGCCCCTATTCCATCGCGATCAACAGCCCCGAGATGGCGCAGCGGCGCAGCCACCTCACCGGCTACCTGCGCTTCGAGAGCACCTTCCCCAAGCGCATCCAGGAACTGGCGATCCTGGCCACCGCCCGCAATTTCGACTGCCCCTACATCTGGAATGCCCACGCTCCGGCCGCCCGCAACGAAGGCGTCAGCGACGCGCTGGTCGACGCCATCCGCGACCGGCAGGCCCTCCCGGCGATGGCCGACGATGAGCGCGCCATCGTCAACTTCTGCAACGAGTTCTACGCCAACCACCGCATTTCCGCCTCAACCTTCCAGATCGCCCTGGAACAGTTCGGCGCCCAGCACCTGGTTGAGATCACCGCGCTCATGGGCAACTACGCCCAGACCGCCTTCTTCCTCAACGCCTTCGAGGTTGAGCTCCCCGCCGACCGCACCGAGCCCGTGCTGCCCGTGTCTTGACCCCGGCTGTCATTGCGCGCGCAGCGTGGCAATCTCGTCGCCGAAGACGCCGCCATCTTGACCAGGCAGGTGCCCGTTGCGCGTCCTGATCATCGGAGCCAGCGGCTTCATCGGCCGCTATGTGTCCCGGCGTCTTGCGGATACGGCCGGTCACACGGTCTTCAGCACCTTTAACTCCCGGCCGCCGGCCGACGACGGCGCGTCCTGGCATCACGTGGAAATTACCAACGATGAGGATCTTGACGCGCTGTTCCGGTCATCGCAACCCGAGGTGGTGGTCCACCTGGCAGCCATGGCCGACGTCGGTACGGCGGAGCGAAATCCCGATGTCGCCACGGCGGTCAACGTGACGGCGACCGAGACCATCGCCCGCCGGTGTGAACGTCACTCCGCCCGTCTCATATTCGTGTCCACCGAGTACGTCTTCGACGGACAGCGCGGGCCGTACCGGGAAGACGATTTGCCGACGCCGACCACCCAGTACGGCCGGACCAAGCGGCAGGCGGAACAGGCCGTGGCAACCCTGGCGTCCCGGTCGTCCGTCCTCCGCACCAGCATCGTCTACGGCTGGCCGGCCCCGGGACGGCGCAATTTCGTCCCGATGTTGGTGGCGCGCCTCCACGACGAAGAACCCTACCATGCGCCCACGAACGTGTACCGCTCTCCGGTATACGTCGAGCATCTCGTCGACGGGATCACCCGTTTGGTCGAAACGGAACACGCCGGCATCCACCACGTAGCCGGCGCCGATTGGGTGTCCATGTACGACTTCGCCTTCGCTGTCGCCCGGGAGTTCGGTCTGGATACCAGCCTGGTCATCCCGGCCTCCGACCCCACGGACGACCGATTGGGTCTGGACGGCGCCCGCACGACAGCAGTGCTGGACATCCCTCGCCGGGGGCTTGCTGAGGGCCTCGCCGCCATGCGGGACACCTCACCGGACCAACCAGACTAGCTTCCGCTGGCGTCTGCTGGTGCGGGCGGCTTTCTCGCCGCCGCCAGGAACAGCGCGGCAACAACGGCAACCGCCGCGAGGGCGAGGAACGCTCCCTGGTAGGTTCCGGTCCGGTCGAACACCACCGCGGAGGCCAGCGGGCCAATCGCGAATCCCACCACCTGCGCCGCCCGGCTCACGCCGAAGATGCTCCCCAGGGAATTCCGACCGTAGTAGCCAGCCCACAGTATGGGCGCCAGCGTGTTGATGCCCGTGCCTACGATGCCCTGCAGCACGGCGAACAGGTAGGTCTCCGGCAGGTTGTCGGCGCGCATGAGCACCCACATGCTCACCGCACCCAGCAGGTAGGCAAGGATCAGCAAAAGCTTCGGCGACGCGCGTTCCGACAGCAGCCCGAAGGCTACCGCCGACAGCGCTCCCGAGATCGACATTACGCTCACCGCCGCAACCGCTGCGCCGGCGCTCAGCCCCTGCTGAGTCAGGTGCGGCACCAAGTGCAGTCCGATCCCGGAGGTTGCCGTGGCCGCCAGGAACAGGGATAGCAGTATCAACCAGAAGGTGGGTGTCCTGATTATGGCTGACAGCGCGATGTCCCGCGCATCGCCGGACGTTGCGGGTTGATCCGGCGCAGGGGTTGGCTCTCCGCCATCGACCGCCAGACCCAGGTCCTCCGGCTGTCGCCGCACCACCAGCAGCGCCGGGAGTGTGCCCACCACCAGCATCACCCCGGCCAGCATCACCCACGCAGCGCGCCAGTCCCAGGTGGAGATCACCAACTGCACCAGGGGCGCCATGACAATCACGCCGCCGGAACTGCCGAGCATGACCAAGCCGGTCGCCCGCCCCCGGTACCTGGCGAACCATTTGCCCGCGGTCACCGCCGCGCTCACCTGTATCAACCCCTGGTCGGCGATGCGGATTGCGGTGAACGCAACGTAGAACGCTGCCAGCGCCTGGGCGAAGGAAAGGTATAGGCATCCGGCCACCACCACCAGTCCCCCGGCTGCCAGCGTTACCCGCGCCCCGAACCGGTCAACGGCCCGCCCGGTGAACGGGGCCAGTCCCGCGCCCAGAACGGCTCCCAGGCTGGTCGCGCCGGCAACCTCGGTGCGGTTCCAGCCGAACTCCTGGCTCATGGGAACCACGAACACCGTCAGGATGCTGATCGCCGTGGCCGCGTTGGCGAACGACATGCCCGACGCGGCGGCGACCACCCACCATCCGTAGTAGGTGCGGCTGAACGCGGACCTCACGCGATCAATGCGCCAAACCGGCGCAAACCGGCGCGCGTCGGCAACTGACGAATAGCGGCTTCATCAGGCCCTCCCTTGGCTAAGCAAGATACCCAGAAGTCCATTGCCGTCATACGATATGGCGCTGCGGAACTCGGCGACTTCGGGGCTGGCGCAACCCAGCCACGCCAACCGCGAGCCGCTTCGAACCTCTGTGATATGATTGCCGCGACGACGGGCCAGCGCCTTTAAGTTGGCACTCGCCCGTTACTGCTACCTCACTCACACCGGAAAAACGGAGGCTTGATTATGCCCTTTGGAGGCAATGACTGGCACGCGCTCCGACACGAAGAAAGCCTGGAGCCCGACATACCCATCTGTGATCCCCACCACCACTTCTGGGACTACCGCACCGAGCGGATTCCCTATCAGCGCTATCTGCTCCACGAGCTCGCCGCAGACATCAACAGCGGACACAACGTGACCTCCACCGTGTTTGTGGAAGCCCGCTCCATGTACCGTACCACCGGGCCCGAGGAGCTGCGGTCCGTCGGTGAGGTGGAGTTCGTGCAGGGATTGGCAGCGGCCTCCGCCAGCGGCCTGTACGGCCCGGGTCGTGCCGCCGCATCCATCGTGGGCCACGCCAACCTCAACCTGGGCGACGGCGTCAGGCCGGTGCTGGAGGCCCTCCAGGCGGCCAGCCCCAACCGCTTCCGCGGCATCCGCCACTCTGTTACCTGGGACCCGCATCCGGAGGTCGAAAACACCGCGGCCCACCGCAGCGGGAACCAGATGTCCAGCGACAACTTCCGCGCCGGCGCCCGCGTTCTCGCCAGCATGGGCCTGACCCTGGAAGGGTGGATGTACTTCCCGCAGATGTTCGAGCTGGCAGAGTTCGCCAAGGCGGTGCCGGATCTGACCATCATCCTGAACCACATCGGCGGCCTGCTGCGCGTCGGTCCCTACTCCGACAGCGACGAGACGCTGGCGATCTGGCGTTCGGGAATCGCGGCCGCCGCCGCGTGCCCTAACGTGGTCATCAAGCTCGGGCGGCATCGGCATGCCCCGCACCGGCTTCGACTGGCACGAGCGGGACGTCCCAGCAAGTTCCGAGGAGTTGGCGAACGACATGGCGCCGCTGGTCAACTACTGCATCGAGCAGTTCGGCCCCGACCGCTGCATGTTCGAGAGCAACTTCCCGGTGGACAAGGTGTCGTACTCGTACAACGTGATGTACAACGCCTTCAAGCGTCTGTCCAAAGACTACTCTCCCACCGAACGCGCCGCGATGTTCCACGACACGGCGGTACGGGTGTACAGCGTGGACGAGAGCTAGCCAACGACCGTAAATCGCGCGCGTTCCCGAGGCTGGGGCGACCGTCGAGGTCGCTCCAGCCTATGTTATGATTTTCGGGCCAATTTCCTGAGCGCTATTGTTAACTGAAACATAGTCCACCCTGGGGGATAGCAATATGTCTCCAAACAGTTCTATATTCCGCAAGCGTTGGCCCGCCCTGGTGGCGGTGGCGGTGTTCCTCGCCGTTGCGCTCGCCGCCGGTTCCATGTTCATCGTCAACGACCGCGCGCAACCGGTCCAGGAAGTAACCGCCGAGCAGTTGCAACCCGACCTGACCGACCCGGGGCTGTACGCTGACCCGCCGGCTCCGGCTGCGGCGATCAGCGAGCCCAACGGTCCGAGCCTGCCGCCCGCACCCGAGCCTGCCGTTGCAGAGCCTAACCACCCCGACGCCGGTGTGAATCAGGTCGTTCCCAAGGGCTCAGGCGCGCTCGCCGACTGGATGGCGGACCGTCCCGACGAAATGGGACCTTTCGGCAGCCTGGACATCTTGGCCGCTGACGATCTAGACGTCGAGTGGATGCTATACCAGGCGGTGGAAAAGGACGTGATGACCCAGGCTGCGGCTGACGTGTTCCGCACCTGGTTCGACCAGCGCCCATCCTTTGACGAAGCACCCGAACTCCTGAACCTTCCCCCGTCGCACATTGAGCGTCCCGGCGACGGCACAGGCGGGTCAATCAAATCATACTAGCGCGGCCACAAGCCCCCGCACCGGAGCAAATGAGTTGAATACGGCAATGAGGTTACTCAAAGTCATTCCCGTCCTGTTGACGGTCACTATATTTGCTGCAGCCGTAAGCAGCATCGTTCCCGCCGAAGCTCAGAGCACCGCCGCGCCGCCCACCAACATCCGTGCCGTCAACGGGTTCAACCCTGGGGAGGTGACTATCGCCTGGGCTTCGGCTCACGGGGCCACGCACTACCGTGTGGGCTGCGTTAACATGGATCGCGACTACCTTCAAGCCAAAGCCAGCAACACCGGCAATTGGCGGCAGGCTTTTGTCTATGTGGACGTGGACGCACCGAACGTGAGCGTCGACCGCCCTACTTACACCCTGTATGGCATGCAGGAAGGGGCCTACCACGCGTGCACCGTCCTAAGCAATAGCTTGCGCTACGGCCAGCCCACGTGGCCGGGGCCCCCCTACTGGCAGTACCTGACGGTCGCCAACCATGGCGGCTCGTGTCCCGTCGCCGCGCCGGTTCCGCAAATTGACAGATCGAGGCCGCTCACCATCGCGGAAATCTCGCGTGTGATCCGTCCCGCTCTCGTACACGTAACCGGGCTGGATAACGAGGAGCAAGAGCCGACAGGCTTCGGGTCAGGCTTCATTATCCGCTCCGACGGACTGATGATCACCAATCGCCATGTGGTGGATGACAGCGAGACGATAACCGCCCGCCTGGAAACTCCCGAAGGCGAGCTGTTGGAGTTCAGCGGCCGGGTGCTGGGCAAGGGCATATTGACTGACCTGGCAGCGGTTCAACTCAACTCCAACCGAGCATTTAACACGGTGCCGTTGGCGGATTCGGACACTATCGCCTACGGCGATGAGGTGACGGCGTGGGGTTTCCCGTTGAGCAATACCATCGGCACGAGTCCCACACTGACCAAGGGAATTATATCCGGACCGATCCGTTTTTTCGAGGATACCGAGTATGTGCAATCTGACGCGGACATAAATCCCGGGAACAGCGGTGGACCTCTCCTTGACCGTTATGGCCGCGTGACAGGCGTTAACACCTTCGTGTATTCCTACGGGGTAGGAGAAAACGACTCTACCAGGGCTCCTGGATTAAGTTTTTCCGTGGCCAGCAACGAGATAACCGACCGTCTGACTACGTATTTGGCGGGAGGACCGGAGAAAGCTACGTATCGCAACCTACGGTATGAATACGGTTACAGCATGAACATCCCCAAGGGATGGTTTCTGAGGGGTGAGGGCGGCGCACGGGTGACAAGTCAATTCAGTGCATTCGCAGCTTACGGTGAGGAGCGTCTCGCAGATATTCTTACGCTAAAGTTGATCGAGCCTTATCTGGACCCCAACAGAGAACTGGCCATCCTCACGGGCGGTTATTGGATCGTCTTGCTCCCTGCGATTGCGGAGGACTGGCACTTGTTTGAGCCGGTGTCTGCCCCTCAGTTAGTCAGCATCGGCGGCCAGATCTTTGCCCATATGGAATACCGCTACCAGACTGACGAAGAGGAATGTGTCCTCCGCGAAGTCGCTCTGGTCAGCATTTCGTCAAGCTTCCCAAACAAGCCCTACGGGTTCATAACCACCGGCGCGATCTGCGAGGAAGTCCTGCCAACTTACACCGCGGAGCGAAATACCATCCTCTACAGTTTCCGCCCCTAACCGAACCAGAACGCAGTACAAGCGCTTAGGGCCGCCGTTGACGAGCGGCCTTTTCGTTGGCTCGACCCGGCCAGTGTTACAATCCCCGCCGGGAACATGGTTTCCCAATTCCCACAGCAGTTGGACACGATGCGCTTCCAAACCCCCACTGGACAGGCGGCGCTCATCAGGAGGTTGGGTTTGGCAATGGACCCGCAGCGCTTCCCGCCAGAGTTCTTCCAGCGTGAGGACGATACCAACGACGCCGAGTTCTTCACCATGCCCCGCCTGGTCGTGCATATCGACGACGGAGCCATCGTGGCCGTTGGCCGGCTCTTCCAGCAACTGATCCCGGAGGACGCCGAGGTGCTGGACCTGATGAGCAGTTGGCGCACCCACTGGCCGGAGGAGCACCCCCGCCGCCGCATCGTGGGCCTCGGCATGAACGCCACCGAGATGGCCGACAACCCTCAGCTCAACGAATACCTGCTCAAGGACATCAACGCAGACCCATCCCTGCCCTTCGAGGACGCATCCTTCGACGCCGTGGTCATCACGGTGTCCGTGCAATATCTGACCCAGCCGGTGATCGTTTTCTCTGAAGTCTCCCGTATCCTCCGGCCCGGCGGCGTGTTCATCGTCACCTTCTCCAACCGCTGCTTCCCCACCAAGGCCGTCCGCGTCTGGCGCTCCAGCAACGACGAGGACCACGTCGAGCTTGTGTCCTCCTACATGCAGCACGCCGGCGGTTTCAACGGGGTGCGCGGCGGCATCGCGAACCCCGATATGGCGCCGCCGGGAGACCCGCTGTTCGCGGTGTTTGCCTACAAGGAAACAGACCCAGAGGGCAGGGAGAGGTAGTGATACACTGATAGGAAGATTTCACCGAGGTATCACAATGAGCGGCGTCTTTGTATACTGGGACCATTCAAACATATTCCACGAGGCGCAACGGATTGCGGAAGAAACAGAGGGTACTCCGGGAGCACGCTATCTGGTGCGGATCCATTTTGAAAACCTGCTCAGGCTAGCCCGTGCTGATCGACCGTTGGCCAAGGCTTTGGCCGCAGGTTCAGTACCGCCCGAAATGCGGGCTCTTTGGAATCGGCTGGAGAATCAAGGAATAGAGGTTCGCTTGTTTGACCGTGGCGAAGCCGGGCGCGGTGAGCAAGATATGCCCGACCGAATTCTTCAGTTGCGTATGCTGGAGGATGCGTTGGACTACAACGGCAATGCTGGTACTGTGGTCCTATTGACCGGCGATGGAGCCGGCTATAGCGAGGGGCAGGGCTTCCACAGCACGTTGGCACGCATGCACACGCGCGGTTGGAAGGTGGAGGTCTTGTCGTGGCTTCAATCCTGCAATCGGGGTATGCGCTCATGGGCGGAGCAAAACGGGATTTTCGTTCCCCTCGACGATTTCTACGACGCGATAACTTTCAGAGAGCCATCCCGAGAGGGGCATGAATTCGCCTCACGGCGCGATGCGACGCCGCTGGATTTGACGAGTCGGGAGATGGCGTGATGACCACATACGGCGTCGCCTAGTCCCCAATGTGAATCGGGTCCAAGGACTTCGAGCGCCGGGAAATTTCGCAGCGGTGAATGAAAGTTCATCCCTTCGATGGCGCCGGACGGTAGCGGTTGACTATTGGCAACCGCCGGTCTTTTCCAAAGGCCCGCGGGGTGATCTTCACTCCAGGCGGCGCCTGCCGGCGTTTGTACTCGTTGCGGTCAACTGCGGCAATCACCTGCCGCACCCATTCGGGACGGTGTCCCATCGCCACCATGTCGGCGTACCCGTAGTCCTCCTCGACGTATGCCCTGATGATCGGGTCCAGCAGATCGTAGGGAGGCAGCGTGTCCTGGTCGGTCTGGTCGGGGCGCAGCTCCGCGCTGGGTGGTTTGTCCAGCACGGCCTGGGGGATCAGCGGCAGCCGGTTGCCCGTCCGTTCATTACGCCATTTACACAGCTCATAAACCAGGGTTTTGGGCACGTCCTTGAGCGCCGCGAAACCGCCGGCCATGTCGCCATAGAGCGTTGCGTAACCCATGGCCATCTCACTCTTGTTCCCGGTGGTCAATACCAGCCAACCGAACTTGTTGGAAATGGTCATCAGGACGTTGCCGCGGACACGCGCCTGCACGTTTTCCTCGGCAACATTGGCCTCCGTGCCGGCAAAGTGCGCCGCCAGCATCTCGGTGAAGGCATGGTGCGCCGGCTCGATGGGGATGCGCCACAGGCTGATCCCCAGGTTGTCCGCCAGTTCCTGCGAATCCGCGACGCTGCCCTCCGAGGAGTAGCGCGACGGCATCGTGACGCCGACCACGTTCTCCGAGCCGAGCGCGTCCACTGCCACCGTGGCTGTCAGCGCGGAGTCGATGCCGCCCGAGAGCCCGATGAGAGCGCGACCAAACCCCGACTTGCGCACGTAATCGCGGGTGCCCACCACCAGGGCCTGGTACACCTCTTCCGTATCGTCCAACGACCGGCACAACAGTGGCGGCGCCTGCGGGCGGTCCGAAAGGCGATTCTCCGACACTTTCGTCACGCGGGCCGGCCCCACCTCGCTCAGGATCTGCGGGTTCTCCTTGCGGGCCCGAGGGTCTCGCAACCGCTGCCGGAACACTGATTCCACGTTCAGATCGGCCACAATCAGGCTGTCCTCGAAGGCCGGCCCACGGGCGATCACCGCTCCGTCCGGGGAGCAGATGACGCTGGCTCCGTCAAAGACCAACTCGTCCTGGCCGCCCACCGCGTTGAGGTAGGCGACAAATACGCCGTGGTCGGCGGCGCGCGTGGCGATCATCCGCTCGCGCTGTCCGGCCTTGCCGGCGTGGAACGGCGACGCGTTGATGTTTACGATCACCTCGGCGCCAGCCTCGCGCTGCACGGCAATCGGGCCCATCGGGTACCAGAGATCCTCGCAGATACCGACGCCCACCGAGGTTCCATTGATGACGTAGACCGGGCATTCCTCGCCGCGCCGGAAATACCGGTCCTCGTCGAAGACTCCGTAGTTTGGCAGGTACATCTTGTGGTACCAGTCCAGGATACGCCCGTCGTTGATAATCGCGGCGGCGTTCGCAACGTCGTTGCGGCCGGTGATGATGTCGGGGCAACCCACGAACGCGGCGATCCCGCGCGTGGCCGCAGCTATTCGTTCCATCGCGACAGCGCAGTCGGACAAAAACGACGGTTTGAACAGCAAATCTTCCGGCGGATATCCGGTCACCGCCAGTTCCGGGAAAGCCACCACATCCGCGTGTCGCGCTCGCGCATCCTCGACCAACTCGATGATCCGCGCGGTATTGCCGGGAATATCACCGACGGTGGGGTTGAACTGGGCCAGCGCCAGGCGGAGCGATCTCTGCATCGCAGTATTATAACTTAGGCGCAGAATGGGGCCGGTCGGGTTCCTGCTATAATCCGGCGGTATTTCGGTCGGGGTTCAGGGACGCCGGCCAGTGGGCCGACGTGATCTTGTGAACCTGGTTTCCGTTCATCGCTGCTGCAGATCCCAGCCGGCCGATCGGATCGGCCGCTCCCGTCGCCGGATCGGCTGCTCCCGTCGCCATTGATGCGCGCGCTGCAGATCCGCACCGCGAGGGCCACTCCCTTCTACTACGGATGGGTGATCCTGGGCCTGTCGGGCATCGCATCGTACTCATCCCGACCCCTCATGTCCGTCGCGGTGTTGACGGTGTTCGTGGTACCCATGTCCGAGCAATTCGGCTGGACCCGAGCCCAGTTCGCCGGAGCGGTCAGCCTGGGCGGCGTGCTGGGGGTTGTCGCCGCTCCCATGGTGGGGGCGGTGCTGGACCGTTACGGCGCCGGCATGGTGGTCGGAATATCATCGGGGATCGCCGGATTGTGCGCCGTCGCCCTCGGGGCGGTGAGCCATATCTGGCTGTTCTACCTGGTGTACGTGCCGGGCCGGATGGTGTTCGCCAGCCCGCTGGAGCTGGGCACTTCGGTGGCGGTCAGCAACTGGTTCATCCGTCGTCGCCCCTTTGCGTTGGCGCTCAACCATGTGTCGCAGGGATCGGGACTGGCAATCATGCCGTTGGCGGCGCAAGCGATCACCGGGGCCTGGAGCTGGGGCACGGCATGGTACGCCCTCGGCGCCTGGACCGTCGCGGTGGGTGTGGTTCCCGCCATGCTGCTGATGGCCCGGCGGCCGGAGGATCTGGGACTCGAACCGGATGGGGGCAGTAAACCCCGCTCCGATGGCCGGCAAACGAACTCTGCACGCCGGCCTCTCGGCGTCCAGGACGAGATCAACTTCACCCTCCGCCAGTCCACGAGGACCCGCGCTTTTTGGCTCATGGTGCTGTTCTCCTTCGCCAGCTTCATAGTGCAAGCTGGCGTCTCGCTGCACCAGGTGCCGCACTTCGTCGACCAGGGAGTACCGGCCTCCGTCGCCGTATGGACCGCCAGCACCTTCGCCATATCCCAGGTTCCGGCGAGCATCTTTTGGTCGGCGGCATCGCAACGGTCGGCGGCCCGGTTCATCATGCTGGCTTCAGGTTTGGTGGTGTCCTGCGGAGCCGTGACCACGGCTTTCGCCAGCAGCATCACCATGGGTGTAGTGGGAGCGTTCATCCTGGGGTTCGGGGTGGGCGGACTGCACATCATCGGCCGCCTGATCTGGGCCGACTATTTCGGGAGACTGCACCTGGGAGCAATCCGCGCGTGGGGGTTGGCGGCGCAGGTGGGCGGGCAAGCGCTGGGTCCCATCGCTGCGGGCCTCGCAGTGGACCGGACGGGCAGCTACCAGGGAGTGTTCCTGGCCTTCGGCATTAACCTTGCGGCGGTCTCCCTGCTGATGCTGATCGCAACGCGTCCGGGACGCGACGCCGCGGACGGCGGGCAGCGCATCGCGCCGGCAGAATAGTCCTGGCAATCTCGTTCCCGCTGGTGCCCGCGGTCTCAATCGCAGCGAGCGCGCCCACGTGACAACGTTCAACCGCCACCACACGGTTGCCTGTTCCTTTCTTCTACTCCCAGGAGCGTAGGCGGATAGTCTCACTGGCATCCATGTCGGCCTGCGCTTCGTCCGGCTGGTCGTTGAACAGGTAAGACAGCGACCGCCGCGAATAGTAGTTGTCGTCGTCCGGGTCCAGCCGGATCGCTTCAGTCAGGTCGTCGATGGACTGCTGGTATTCCCCAACCTCATACCAGGAAACGCCACGGTTGAACCACGCGTCGGCACAGGCGGCGTCCAGTTCGATGGCCGCCGAGTAGTCGGCGATGGCACGTTCGTACACACCGTTCCGGCTATACCGGTTGCCCCGGTCGACGTACTCTACGGGAGTCTCCGGCTCCGGAGGCGGAGTGGGTGCTCGGGGTGCGGAGGAGGTCATGTGCGGCGCATCGACCTGTCGTTGGAGCCGTAATGTTCCACGGGTTACATCACCGACCGCACCAGCCCGCCGTCAACCAGCATGGTCGTGCCGGTGATGTAGCTGGAGCGGGTTGAGGCGAGGAACGCTACCAGATACGCCAGTTCCCGCGGTTCGCCGATGCGCTTCAGGGCCGTTTGCTCCGCCCGCTGGGCCAGCGCGTCCTCCAGCGGAATTCCCTGCGTCCGCGCTCGGTCCTCCACGTTCTCCATCATGCGTTCCGACATGATGCTGCCGGGGCAAACGTTGTTGATGAGAATGTTTTCCGAACCCAGGTCATCGGCCAGGTTCTTCATGAACCCGATTACACCCATGCGCGTCGCCGCGGACAGGGCAAGGTTGGGGATGGGAGTGTAGACGGTGCTGGCGAGGATGTTGATGATCCGCCCGCCGCCCTGGGCGCGCAGGTGGGGCAATGCCTCCCGCGTCATTCGGGCGAAGAAGAAAAGCGATCGGTTGGCCGACACCTGCCAGAGTTCTTCGGTGGAGTCCTTGGCGTATGCCTGGGGAGGACCACCCGAGTTGTTTATCATGATGTCGATCTGCCCGAAGTGCTCGGCCGCGTGCGCCACCAGTTCAGCGATCGTCTCCTCGTTGTCCAGGTCGCCCGCGTAGGTGAAGATTTCAGCGCCGGTGGCAGCGCGTATCTCGTCGGCCGCCTGTTCCAGCACAGACGGCGTCCGCGCGCACATGGCCACCCGCGCTCCCTCTTCCGCCAGCACCTCCGCGCACGCGCGGCCCAACCCCCGACTGGCGCCGCCGATTATTGCCACCTTACCGTTCAGTTGCAGATCCATTGCCCGGCCTCCTCGAATGCTGCACGGGATTATAACAGCCGACTCATACCCGAATGTCAGCCCAACCAACAGATCCAGGACTGCACAACAGGCGTTGCATCCTCACGCGCACCCACTTTGCACAATCGGCCATTGCGAGCCACCCTTCGGTCATTGCGAGCGCAGCGCGGCAATCTCGTCGCCGGAGGGGTCCGCGCTGAATTCAATGAGATCGCCACGTCGCTGCACTCCTCGCGATGACAAAGTGGGTATGCGTGGGGCGTTGCATCTATCCGATGCAGGTCCGTTCCGATGCGGGTACGTTCGGGCGAAGTGTGCTCATGGTGTACAATCCCCCTCGTGATGGTTTCCCTTATGCCCACCGATGCAATCGGCGCCGAGATCGAAGCCGCCGCGGTGGAGTTCGCTCGCGACGCGGGAGACCTGCTGGCCGGCCACTTCGGGCGCGCGCTTAGCGTGGAGTACAAGGACAAGGCCCAGCAGGACCCGGTGACCGCCGCCGACAAGGAGACCCAGGCCTACCTGGTGGAACGTATCTCCCGCCGGTTCCCCGACCACGGCATCCTTGGCGAGGAGGATGATGCCAGCGCGGACGGCGATCGGTCCGCCGCCGATTTCCTGTGGGTGCTGGATCCTCTGGACGGAACCACCAACTTCATGAACGGCCTGCCCGTGTACGCTTCTTCTATCGGTGTGCTGTACCGGGGTCGCCCGTTGGCCGGCGCCGTATACATTCCCTGGCCTTCCGCCGACGCATCCGGTGTCGTCGTCCACTGCCATGTCGGGGGCGGAGCCTTCGCCGACGGCGAGCCCGTCTCGGTGTACCAGGCCGAAAAACCCCGGGGAGATCGTCTCATCGGTCTGCCCGGGTCCTTTGGCGCGTCCACGCGAGTTGGCAAGGGGCTGAAGGGCCAGCCGCTCGGCCAGCTACGGGTCACCGGCAGCATCGCATACGAGCTCGCCATGACCGCCCTGGGCGTGATGCAGTTTGCCGTCATCGGGGCCCCGCGCATGTGGGACATGCTGGGTGGCGCCGTGGCTGTACAGGAAGCCGGCGGGACCGTGATGACCCGGTTGTCGGGGCGCAAGCAGTGGCATCCTCTCGATTCCCTGGTGCCTACCTGGGACGAGCGGCCGCCCACCATGGCGGAGTTGCGCAAGTGGGTGGCCCCGCTGGTCGCGGCCAATCCCACCCTTGCCCCGTTGATCGCCCATAACCTGCACCATCGTCGCCGTCCGTTGCGCCGCATGTACCGGGGCATGAAGAAAGCCCTGAGCGCATCGAAATAAGCTCCCGGCAGCACTCGCATCATCCGACATTGCCATGTCAGTTCGCTACGGCGTCAGCCTGCTCACCGACCCTGACTTCACGGCCCGCGCCTATCGCGCCCGGCAGTTGATCTGCGGCCAGTTCGCCTGCTGGGCCGCGGAGATGCACATGCTGCACATGCTAATGTCTGACTATTTCCCCTTCGCCGGCGCCGATGACGCGGATGCGGAGAACCGATTGGCCGGAGAGCTGGAACAACTCGCTGAGCGTTATCGCCGTGTGTCCCCGCGTTTCCCCCTTTTCAATCGGGGCATCTCCACCACGCGCGACACCGACGATGACGGCAATATCTGGCTCGACTTTTCTCCCGAAGTGGTCAACGAATCCCTGTATCGATTGCAATCGATGGTCGCCGACCTTTTGGAACGGAATTCCGGCGTGGGCGGGCCCCGCCGCGTTTTCAATCCTGACTTTGCGCCCCAGATACCGCTGCTGTCCCACGCCAGCCTGCCAGACTCCGTCTTCGACAGCGCCCTCGAGTTCGCTCGCTCCGTCACCGACGAACTGAAGGTGTCGCAGATTACGCGGGCCTGGCGCCTGACGCTGACGCGCTTCGAGTCGAATGCCGCCGGAGACGACTGGTCTGGCGGGCGGTGGGCCGCCGACCTCCAGTGGCGGGTGATCGGCAGCTACAGCTTGTGATGCTCGGCGTCACCGGCCCGTCAGCTTCCCACATCCGAGCGGCGACGCGCATCGGCCGGTGGATCCGCGACGCTAACGCCGGCCGTAAAATCCACGAGAGGTCCTGGCTATCTCGAGCATCCGGTTCATCTCGGCAAATGCCCGGCATTCGCAAAAAAACCAACGCGCCGTTTCTAGACTGAGCCCCCACCGGGCTCTGAAATCAAACTAGAAAACCCGTATGAATACCAACATTGTAACGATTCTATCCACATCCATCGTGGCGGCCATAGTCATGGCTGGCATATGCGCCGTCATACAGGCCGTGGTCAAGGTGCGCGCCCACCGCCAACTGACCCGATTGCACCGGGAACTGGACCTGGCCCGACAGGAGCATGTCCAGTCGATGCGGGAGCAGTATCACCGTCAACGCCAATTATGCGGCCAGATGGGCCTGCCCGAGCCGCCCTTGCCGGACGTTCTGCAGCCTCAAGCGGAACCCGATTCCACGGCCAAGCGCCGTTTCCGAATTCCCCGTCCGCCTCCCTTTCCGCGAGAAGGGGTCACTCCTGCAACAGGGCGCCCGGCGGGTCCGCAGCCTTCATTGTGGGCCGTTATGGCGCCAGCTTCGCTGCGTCAACCGTATGGAAAACTTCCTCGAGCAACATCCTGCACGTACTGAACCCAGTCACCACCCGCTTTCTGGCCTTCGGTCCTCGCGTTGCCAGCTTCGCGCCCAGATTTGCCGCTGCCGGCGGTGGCGCCACCGGCTCTATCGCTGCCGGTACGGGAGTTCGCTTCGCGCTCGGCGCCATCTCAATAGTTGGCCTCGTTATCGGTCCCGCCCTGACGGCCTGGTCCGTATACAGAGAGTTGCGCAAGCTTCGCACGGCCCGCCGGGAGCAGGCTGAAACGCTGGCCCAATTCCGATCCGATCTTGAGGCGATGGCTCGTCGCACTGCCGAACTGGAGGCTCAACTTCCCGTCGAAGCCAGCCCAAGCGTACTCACGAACTGACCGACCGGACTGGCGAAAATGCGCTCGTGTCTTTGGATACCCGCGCAACTGCATCAGACCGAGAGGTGGTCTAGTGCATCACCAGCCCGCCGTCCACGTTGATGGTCTGGCCGGTGATGTTCCGCGCGCCGGGGCTGGCCAAAAACGCCGCCATGGCCGCAATGTCTTCCGGCTCGTTGGCCCGCCCGATGGGAATGTTCGACGCCCGCTGGCCCTGCAACTCGTCCACGGATATTCCCATCTCCGCCGCTCGCTGCTCCATGGTGGACGCTGCCATCGCCGTAATGGTTGAACCCGGGCAGATGGCGTTCACGTTGATGTCATAGCGCGCCAGCTGGTGCGCGGCAATCAGCGTCATCGATATGACCGCGCCCTTGCTGGCGGCGTATGCGGCGTTGGAGGTGCCGCGGTAACCCTTTCCGGCGATGGAGGCGATGTTCACGATGCGCCCGCCGCCACCCTGGTCGATCATTTGCCGGGCCGTCCGCTGCATGACAAAGAACGCGCCGCGCGCGTTCACCCGGTGGATGCGGTCCCAGTCATCCTCGGTGATGTCCATGATGTCGAGGTAGCGTGTGATCCCGGCGTTGTTGACGAGGATGTCCACCCGACCCAGCGCGCTCACTGCGTTGGCGATCACCCGGTTGATGTCGTCGCCGTCGCCGATGTCCGCCGAGATCGCAACGCTGTTCTGGCCGGTGGCACGGACATCCGTGGCCGTTTCCTCCACCGCGTCGGCGAGGATATCCGTCACCGCCACGCTCGCCCCGTCGTTGGCCAATGCCAACGCCGTGGCCCGACCCATGCCGCGCCCAGCGCCGGTGACCAGTGCTACTTTTCCATCTAGAGACATAGCAATCCTCTCCGCGTGCGGTGGTTTAGCGTTCTGTAAGCGGCTCCAAAATGTCGATCAACATCGCCACTTCGTCCAGCGAACCTGCGATGTCGTCAGAGTGCAAAAACCGCTTCCGCTGGTAGAAGTTTCCGTGCAGGCCGTTGGCAATCGCTCGAAGGGTCCGAAACCGGTCGTCTCCGGTCAGTTTGCCCGCCTGATAGAGAACTTCTCCAAAATGCTCATGTTTATCGTATTGCCATCCCCGGGCGGTTGCAACGGCTTTTGCCATCCAGGCCGCCGCACCCCAGCCTTTTTCCGAGGCTTGGTGCAGATCGTCGTCGGCTAAGTAGCGACGGCTTCTGTCCAGAAATTCTCGCGACTGGAGACGATAATCCTCGATGGTCTCGCGGACTTCATCATACGGCTGCATTGGTGACATCTGGGGCACTGGGGGGTCTCCTCACTGCGGCGCAGTCAGTATAGCAGTTGAGGGTTATGGCGGACCCGACGCGTCACGCTGCTGGACGCCGCCTGCCGCCTGCACATACGAGGCGCGATCTACCCGTGCGGCCGGAGACATCGCCTCCACACGGAGTCCTTGTGGCGCTGGTCAACCCCATTGCGGGGCGCTGATTTCCGAGCCTACAGCTCCCGCAGAAGTTCCTGGTAATTTTCCCGCCCCGTCCGGCGCAACCGCAGTTCCTCCGTCACCTCCAGGTCACCGGAGTCTTCCAGCAACTCCACGTGGGCAACCACTTCGGTCAAAGCGGCGAAGAAGTTCCCGCCTTCCAGCTTGCGACGCTCGAACGTCAGCCGAGTCACGTCCTCCAACGGCTGTGGTTCTGGCCCCGCCGTCACCAGTATGCGGCCCAGTCGACGGGCGTGGAACCGGATCAGGTCCGACGCCCGCTGCGCCGTCTGGAAGTTGAACTTGTGGTTGTTGTAGAGCCGGTGCGCCGGCAGGATCGCCACCTCGGTGCCAAGGTCGGCAACCCGTTGCAGCGAACGCAGGTAGGTGAGCAGGCCGTAGGAGTCGTCGGGGTCCTGGTAATGGACCGGCAGGTTACGGCGCACCTCGCCGGTGAAATCGGTCTTCATCGTGGGATGCGGGCTGATCTCCGGCAGAACGTGATCGCCGGTGAAAACGATGTCGCTGCCGGTTCCGTCGCCAATGACCGCGCAGATTTCGTCCGGTGAATGCCCCGGGGCGTGCATATAGGTCAGCATCCCCTGTTGTTCACCGTGGGTGATCGCGTGCCCGACGCGGTGCGTACTTCGTGACGCCATGTATCGTTGTCGTTCGTCGGAATCCGAATGGGCGAACCCGTTGGCTCGCGCTGTTGTCCACATTGCCTCTTTGATCGGAGAGTTAGTTGCCATCTGCAGGTCCCGCGGGTCAAAGGGAAGCAGCGGTTGGTAAATGTCGTGGGCCCACAGTTCCGCTCCCGACTGCTCGATGACGCGCGCCACTCCGCCATCGTGGTCGGCGTGACCGTGGGTGATGATGACCCGATCAATGTCCCGAACCTCCAGGCCACCCAACGCCATACCCGTCTGCAACAGATCGAACGATGCTTCAGCCCCGGGATCGATCAGCGTCAGCCCGTCGTTCTCGAAGATGTACGACCAGGTAGGACCGGTATGGGAATGGCTTTCCTGCGGCACGGCGACAGTGTGAATGGTGCGTCCGTACCCATCCGTCAATCGTAAGGTCATCCCGTTGCCGGCCGAGTCGCCGTTGCGGAGGACGTCTATCTCTGTAAAGTAGTCGGGCATTGGGGAGTTCCTCCTGGCGCGGAAGCGGTAATAGTATTCAATACTATATGGCGGGCATTATAACCGCTCGCGGGTTCGGTGGGGCGTTCCGGCAGCCGTGACCGCTGCGCCCGTGTCCGTCGTGCAGCGTCGGAAACCGTGATGGCCCCTGCTATAATGCCGGCGTCGCAGGGTCAAAACGCCGGCGGCAGGAGGTTGCACGATGCGATTGGAAGGCAAGGTTGCGCTGATCACGGGGGCCGCAAGCGGCGTGGAAAGCGAGTTGATGGGCTTTGGCGGCGCGGCGGCCCGGATGTTCTGCCGCGAGGGAGCCAGGGTCGTGCTGGGTGACATCAACACCGAGGGCGGTGAACGCACCGCGGAGCAGATCCGCGCCGCCGGTGGTGATGCAATCTTCGTCAAGCTCGACGTGACCCAGGAGCAGGACTGGATCGACGCTGTGGCCGCCACCGTGGCCGCCTATGGCACGCTGAACGTCCTGGTGAACAACGCCGGGTCCGGCGCTCGCTACACCGTTGAGGAGACCACCGAAGAGGCCTGGGACAGTCAGATCGACGTCCACGGCAAGGGAACCTTCCTCGGAACCAAGCACGCCATCCCCGAAATGCTCAAGGCGGGCAGCGGCTCCATCGTCAACATCTCCTCCATCTACGGTCTGGTTGGGAGCCCCACCTCCACGGCCTATCATGCCGGCAAGGGCGCCATTCGGCTTTTGACCAAGTCCACCGCCATCCAGTATGCCGTGGACAATATCCGCGCGAATTCCATCCACCCCGGCTACTGCCGGACGCCATTGACCTCTCGCAGCTACGAGAACGAAAGGCACTTCACCTGGATCAACGAGCAGATTCCCATGGGAAGGGTGGGCAACGCGGACGACATCGCTTACGGCATCGTTTTCCTGGCGTCCGACGAGTCGTCCTTCATGACCGGGTCTGAGCTCGTCATTGACGGCGGCACCACGGCGCAGTAGCCCGCCGCGCGATCCCGAGGAAGCAAGACCCATGGCGGTATCCAAGGACCGGGTCCTGTTCAAAGACCAAGGCGTGCTCGTTACCTACGAGCGGTTCGTCGAGCCCGAGGGCAAGGAGTACCGCATCGAGGACATCCTCGCCGTGGACATGGAGATCGTCGAAGAGGAGTCCGACCGGCCACCGATCAAATGGTGGCGCACCGTTGGTGGCGGGGGAGTCATCGGAATCGCGGTGGCCGCAGTCGGTGGTTTCGCCGGCGCCTGGCTCACCATGGGGATCTTCGTGGTGCTCGTGGCGGTCGCCGTAACCTGGTGGGGCAACCGGATCCGTTCCAACAAGTTCAAGGTCTACCACGTCATCGTAACCCTGCCCACACCGCGCGAAGACCGGCAGGAGCACCGCATAGTGTCCTCGACCAGCCGATTTTTCAGCGAACGGTTGAAGGTCGCTCTCGAACGGGCCATGGTGGAACGCCCGGCCCGGTTCGAAGGGCGTCGCACCTAATCGCGGTATTCGAACCCTCTGGGACAGGGACCCGGCCAGATTGGTCTAAACATCAAAGGCCCCCAATAGATGATGTCCCCGGTGTCTTTTTCCCACACCGTCATTGTGGCAAAAGGATTGATCATGCCTCTCTTGGGATGCAATTCTTCGTACTCGGGTTCGCCGGGGTAGTATGGGGGGAAGGGATAGCCGGGGTTGATTCCGATTATCTCCCCCGTTGCCACGTTCACACTGACCTTCAGAAACCGCATGTTCGTCCAGGGTATTTTTGCGCTCTGTCGCCACACATTACACTCCCCCCACTGCCAAGGCCCGTTGCTTTCCACCGGTTTCTCCCATTGAGCAAGGACAGTTACATCGTGCCTCCAATCGTCAAATGGGTGTAGGGAGTCCCAAGGTTGGTTGTTATTGATGCGCTCGACTACCCCGGAAGCGCGCACGATCTCCGCTGCACGCCGGAGTTCCGTGTCGGTTGTCCGCCTGATGTCGGGCCCCAAAGGCTGGTCTTCATACTTCGAGAATACCGCGCAGCGCGCTCCAACCACGACAATCGCAGCCGACGCCCCTACCGCAAGCAGTAGGAGCAGCGGTGAATAGAGTGTCCTGGACCACCTGATCAAGTTTCTATCTCGTCAGAGCGCTGCTGACCGCGCCTAGCTCTCCGACACGTCGATCACAACCTTGCCCACGGTTGCTGCCCGCACCGCCTCGTGCGCTCCGGCAGTGTCCTCCAGCGGGAAGTGGGGCCCATCCATTCCCACCAACTCCCCTGACGCGAGCCATCGGTTGGTGTCGTCCACCCCCGCGGTCTTGGCCTCCTCGGCCATGTCGTACACCAGCACATGCCGCACGTTCACGTTACTCACCGGAAAATCGAACGGCGGAGCCGGCCCGTCGCCAGCGGCGTAGATGGTGATACTGCCGCTCCGCTTGATGATCCGTTGGTTCACGGCGAAGTTGCCCGCATAGTCCACCTCAACTATCAGGTCAACCCCTTCGCCGTCCGTGATCTCGAGGATCCGCACCGCCGTGCCCTCAGTGCGGTAGTTGACCGTGTGCTGTGCTCCGGCCTGCCGGGCGATTTCCGCCTTGGCGTCGCCGCTCACGGTGCTGATGACGCACTCCGCTCCGCCGAGCTTTGCCATCTGCAACGCCATGTTGCCCACCGCGCCGGCTCCGCCCGGCACCAGCACCGTCTTGCCGGCCAAGGGCCCGTCGGCGAACACGCAACGATGCGCGGTGAGAGCCGGCACCCCCAAACCCGCCGCCAGCGCGAAGTCTACATTCTCAGGCAACCTGATCGCCCGTAGCGATGGCTGCACCGTGTACTCCGCCGCCGTGCCGAACGCCCGCCCAAACTGCGATTGGTACAGCCAGACCCGCTCGCCGATGCGGCTCTCCGGTATCCCCTCCCCCACCATGTCGATGATCCCGCCGCCGTCCTGATTGGGAATGATGCGCGGCAAGCTGATGCGCGCGGTCGAACCTTGCCGCCGCTTCCAGTCCGACGGGTTGACGCCCGACGTGACCACCCTGACCCGTACCTCGCCCGGTCCAGGCACAGGGTCCGGCATCTCGCCCACCCGCAGCACCGAAGCGTCGCCGTTTTCCTCGTACCAGACTGCGCGCATTGGCTTTACCTCCGTCGTTCCCTATCCTTCGTCGTTCCCTATCCTTGGTTCGATTGTTTGAGCGCTTTTCCTGCCATCATTCGAATGCCCTCGGGCGCCGACCGGTCTTCAGCTATGAATTCAGGGCAGCTTTGGTTAGTGCATCATCTCCCAGGCGGCTCAAGCTGTCCATTGCCGGCCGCGGTCGCTTCCTTCAGCCTCACCGTCATTGGCCACGGCGACCAGGCCGTCAGTTTGGCGAAGGATTTCGGGAGCACGGCCGTCTGCTATGCGATGGGCGTTGAAACGGCCCTAATCCTACAGCCAGGAAACGCAGCCGCCAATCATTCGCCTCGTCCTCGCCATCGCCGCCGCACCGCCGTCAATCCGATCAGCCCCAGCGGGCCCGCCAGCAGGACAGCGGACGCCAACTCCGGGCGGATGCCGTCTCCGTGTGACCCGGCCGGCGCCGCGCCGCAGCCTCCGCCCGATGGCGCCGTCGGCGTTGCGGGCGTTTCGTTTGGAGCCGGTTGAGGCGTATACGTGGGCTCCGTCAGTTTGGTTGGCGGCGGAGTCGCCGGCACAGTTGCCTGCGGCGCCGATGCCTGCTCCGCCGATTGCGACGGGGTCGGTGTCGGTCTGCGGGTCGGAATGGCCTGGAACGCCGGCAACGACGGCGTCGACATTTCCCGGGGAGCCACGCCCAGGGACTCGCGCCATTGGTTGTCCAGTTCCGTCAACGTGATACCATACACCGCCTCCAACGCCTTCTCGAGGTTATGTATAGCGCCCAGGGCATCGAACAACTCGGCCATTTTGGCGTTGCCGTAGGTGTCGAGCATAAAGGTCACGGCGGAGTTTCCCAGCCCGTAGTTGCGCAGAGTCTCCTGGGGCGTTCCGGAAAAGGTGCGCAGGCTGGACAGCGACGGCACAGCGTCGTTCCGTATGGCGGTCCGCAAGTAGGTATCGAACCCGGTGTCTTCGGTCCCCTCGGAATAAACGGCCAACCCTTCGTTCAGCCAGGTGTGGACCTGGCCGTAAGCGCTACCCGCGGCATCGGCCACCAACAGATGAGTGAACTCGTGGGCAGTGGTGCTCAGGATGTTGTCGCCGATGAACACATCGTTGGAACCGTCCACCAGCAGAGTACGCTCGTTGGTGAAGGCTTGCCCCAGGGTACGCAATTGTTGCTGCGCGACCCTGGACTTCGGTGGCAGCGCCATCCGCATATCCGCGTAGTCCGAATAGACGACGAGGTTCATCGGTTCCGTCAGTTCCACGCCCAGTATCGGTCCCATCTGACCGTAGGTCTCTGTGGCAACCTCCAACACCTGGTTCGCACGATCCTCGGACTGCGCGGTATGCCGGTAAAAATAGACGTTGATCAGCCCGGACGACACGGAGTCCCAGACCAAATCGCGATTCAGGTAGACCAAAATCTCCGGGTCCGTCTCGAAACTCTCCCCGTCGGCGGTGCGGATGTCAAAGTAATACGAGAGCCGCGTCCCGGTGGGAATGAACTCGCCGGCGGTCTTGCTTTGGAACAGCGCTTCACCCGAAATCCGCTCACCAGGGTCAAACTCCACGGTCCGATAAGCGCTCCGGCTGGACTGGCCCAGTTTGCGCACGTAAACGCGTATCTCCTCGATTGGGCTGGAACTCTCGGCCTCTATGTGGAAGCGCAGCCCTTCAGGGAAGCGATTTTCCACGCCATGGTCCAAAACGGCGACGCTGCTCTGGGCCGCCGCGCCCCCGGGCCAACCGGCGTAGATGGCGATGGCGACGATCAAAATGGCGACGGCGGCGAGCGACTTCTTCACTATTGCGACCCCTTGGTTCGTTGTTCCATTCCACATACGCGGCGCCGCCTCAGAAGGATTGCCGGCTTGCGCCTCCAGGCCGCGTTCATGCGCCACACTCTTGCCTTGCCTTGCCTGCCGCGACGCCAGATCAGCGCCGTGCCAATTCAGCCGTCACACAGCGATGTTCAACGCCCGCCGCGCGTTTTCCAGCAGTACCTTCGGGACAACATGGTCCCGTATCTGCAGGTTCTGGAAATCCGCCAGCCAGCTGTCCGGCTGGATGAACGGGTAGTCTGAGCCGAACATCACCTTGTCCTGCAGCCGCGTGTTGGTCTCCCGGATCAGCGTTTCCGGGATGAACCTCGGCATCCAGCCGGACAGGTCCAGGAACACGTTGGACTTGTGCAGCGCGACGGCAATCTGCTGGTCGATCCAGGGCCACGCCGGGTGCGCCATAATGACGTTCATGTTCGGAAAGTCCGCGGCCACGTCATCGAAGCACGGGATTGGTTGACTGTACTTCAGCTTCAGGCCGCTCCCGCCCGGCGTGCCGGAGCCGGCCCCCGCGAACCCGGAGTGAAACAGCACCGGAATGCCCAGTCCGTCGGCCACCTCGTATAGGGGATAAAACCGCGTGTCGTTCGGGAAAAAGGCCTGGTGTATGGGATGCAGTTTCAACCCCTTGAGCCCCAGTTCCTTCACCGCCCGTTCCAGCTCAAAGCACGCCGCCTTGCCCATCCATGGATCCACCGAGGCGAACCCCATGAACTGCTCCGGATGCGAGTTCACGATGCTGGCCACCCAATCGTTGCTGTCCGGTTTCTCGCCGGTGTTGGTGGTGGTGTCCACCGAGAAGATGACCCCATAGAGGTCCAGGTCGCGGAACTTATCCGCCATTTCCGCCGGGTCTTTGGGCGGAGGCGGCGCCCGAAAGTAGCGCAGCAGTTCCGCCTCAATCTCGATTTCGGGCAGCCCCGGCTCCCGTGGCACGTGGATATGCATATCAATCGCTTGCATGGCTGCGCTCCTGTCCTGGATCGAACCCGGTCGACCCGCTCTATTTCGGTGACAACGTGGCGGCGTAATCCGCGCCGCGCTCAACCCATTCGCGCAGGCCGGCGCCCGACGCCAGCCCGGCCGGTTCCACCAGAACCCATCCTCGCATCGGCCGGCCCGTAACGTCCATCAGGCCGGCATGAGGCAGCGTCAGCGCTGCCGCGTAGTCCTCTGTCCCCACCCGAACCATCAATCCCTTGTCGGTTACGCAGCAGCACATGTTCCCGGACAACATGAACGCCAGTCCGCCGAACATCTTTCGCGCGGCGACGTCGGATCGTTCCGAAAGGATTGCTTCGACCCGGGCGGCCAGCGATTCGTCGTAGGCCATAGCCCCTTCCGGTTACGGCTGTCGGCCCATGAAAGCGATCAGTTTGTCCTGTTCGCTGGACCCATCTGGCACGGCGATTTCCGGCCCGATGAACCCCATGGCGCGACCCTGTTCTGCGAACCCCGAGGACAGCATCGCCATCGTGTACTCCACCAACTCGTGCGACAGCGATGCGTCCTGCCCGGTTGCTTTGGCCAGGTCCCAGAAGTGGATGGTTTGATCCATGACGGTGCCAACCAGAAAACGGGCCGCGGGCATTTCCCCGAACGGAGACGCGACGATCCGGTCCAGCATTCCCGGTTCCGCGGCCATACGCAACAGCCGCTCCGATTGGTTCTCGTACGCCCCAATCAGCGCGTCCAGGTCTCGCTGTCCGGCAAGGCTGCTGTCCGCCTCCGTCGGGCGCAGGTCCGGCGGGCTCCCCGCCATGCATCCGGCGGTGAACTCCAGCCCGCCCAGCATGTGGTTCATCAGACCACAGACGTCCCACTCCGCGCATGGCGTGGCGCTGCCCAGCTGGGCCTCCGCCACATCTGTTATCGTCGTGCGAGTCCGGCCAATGGCCTTCGCAAGCAGTTCCAACGGGTCTGCGTTGGCCGCGCCGTCACTCATGGTACTCTCCGAACCTGCCGGTTCCAGTCGTCGTGACGGCTCCGGGCAACCTGTCGGCTAGAACACCTGCGGACAGGGGCGTGTGAACACGTCCCACTCGCCCTTCTCGGCATCGTAGCGCGAGTTGACGAACACCTTCCAGTTGCTCTCATCCATTTCGGGGTAGTCGCTGCGGTAGTAGAAGCCCGGCCACCGAGTTTCCTTGCGATGGAGCATGTGGCGCAGGTGCGCCTCTCCAACCCATGCTCGGTGGATAAGCTCGTGGCAGCGCAGCAATTCGTGCCGGTTGCGGGCTCCCAGCTTCTCCAGGTCCTCCCGGAACATGCCCAGCAATTCCAGGCCTCGCAGCAGCGTCGCCTCGTTGGTCGTGAAGCCGGCGGACACGCCGGCCACATACTCATCCATCAGCTTCTGGAGGCGGTACAAGCCCTGCCGGGGCAGCAGGTAGTTGGGATTAACGTCCGGGTTGGTGGAGGCGTACTGGTTTTCCTCGAAGGTGACCATCGGCGCCCAAACCTTCTGCTTGAGCTCCTCAATCTGGCGGTCGTCCGTCTTGGGTTGCCCCGGGTTGTCCGAGGCGTATATCACGGCGGACTTGCCGGCCAATCGTCCCTCGGTGAACGAGCCGGATGAGAACTTGTGCGGACACGCTCCCACGCCGTCGCCGGCGGCGAACAGGCCCTGCACCGTGGTCATCTTGTTGTAGCCCCAATGATACCCGTCCGGCGCAACGTCTTCCGGTCCGCTGACCCAGGCTCCCGATTCGCCGCTGTGGCTGCCCATGATGTAGGGCTCGGCCAGCACCACCTCGGATGGGCGTTCCTCCGGCGCGATGTTGTGCGCCGCCCAGAGAATGGCCTGAGAGATCGTCATGTCCAGGAAGTCTTCCCATGCCTCCGCGATGATTTCCCGTTTGCGGCCTTCGTCGCCGGCGGCCAGCGCTTCGATGGCCTCGGGCGTCTTGAGCTGGATCGGCCCGTTGCCGGCCTGGATCTCGGTCCATAGCAGGTGGTTCCGCAGCGGCGTCGGCGTGGGGAACGCCGACCCGTAGGGGTCGTACTTCTTCAGCTCAGGCAGCCGGTTGATGAAATAATTGTCGCCGGCCGCGTTGGCCAGGTCAGCCCGGAACAGCTGCGACCACGCGCCCACCGGCCCGTAGGAGTCCTTGAACCGGGCGGGGACGAAACGGTGCTCCATCTGGGTCATTTCCGCGCCCACCGGAATAACCAACCCGTACACCGACCCAGTGTCGAAGATGGAGTACCACGTGCGGCCCATTCCTTCGCCAACGCTGCGGGGGCGGAACAAAGCCGTCGCGCCGCCGGCGGCGCTGATAACCGAGCGGGCTTTGAACACGTAGATGACATCCTCGCGCACACCGAACCCAACCGCCCCGGCAATCCGGTTCGAGTCCTCGGCGTCGGTAAACAGGTGGGAGATGAACACCCGCTCGTAGTGGTTGTCAGGACCAATCGCCTTTTTGGTGGCCTCGGACACGATGGGCTTGTACGCCTCTCCGTGGATCATGACCTGCCAGCGCCCCTCGCGCACGTAAAGGCCGTCATCGTCGTACCAGAAGGGAAGGCCCCACTCCTCGAACATGTGCACACTGCTATCCACGTGCCTGGCTATGTCGTACACCAGGTCCTCACGGGAGATGCCCATCATGTCGTTACGGACGTACTCCACGTAATCTTCCGGTTGGTTCCAACCGTGCCGCCCTCCCATGTACATGTTGATCGCGGAAAGTCCCTCGCCAACGGCCCCGCTGCGGTCCGTGGCCGCCTTGTCAACCATGACGATGCGCAGGTCGTCGCCGCCCCAATAGCGGGCCTCGATTGCCGCCCCGCAGCCGGACATGCCGCCGCCGATGATCAGGACGTCGCTTTCAACGATGCGGGTAGTTGGTTCAGCCATCTTGAGATCGGTCTCCTCTTCGGTGGTTTATGAGCGTGCAGTGCGGACCAAGGCGATTTCAAACTGCCGGCCGGCCCGAAAGCGGCGACGGGGAGTATAACAGACTGACGTTTACGGCGATGACTGACCGGTCACCGTGCGTGAACGCACCTGCCGCGCGAGGGCCGGTACGGTACGCTCCAGGCCATGGGAGAGGCCCGGGTCGGCGCCGGAGCAAAGCGGGGATTCGCCTCAGCGGCTGGCGGTCACCCGCCCACGGCCCGACCGCCGGACCGCAGCCACCCGGCGTCCAGCTCCGCGCCGGGTTGGCAGATCTTGATAAAGTCACCCAGGTCCCCGATGTAGGGCGCTTCACCCTGGCGACAGACGCGCATGTACTCGACCACGGAGGCCAGATCCACCGCTCCGGATGGATCAACGAAAGGCGAAACCTGCGCATCGGCGTCATCGGTCAGCTTCCACCGGCCTGGACCGGTGTCCTGGTTGCTGAACCAGTCCCGCTTCAGCACTCCATCAACATCCGGGGAACGGTCCCCCATGGCCAGTTCTACCGCCTGCCACAACTGGGCTCGACGAATGGGCTCGTCGCGGGTCACCAGCACGTCGCGGATTATCTTGCTGGCCAGCAGTGTGATGTTGTCGTCGGTCTGCACCGCATAATCGGCGCCTGCGCCGTCGGCTGAATCTGAGGTCGTGGGTGTGGTCATGGGGTCTCCTGAGTGGATTGGGCAGCAGCAATCTCGCTGATCGCTGTGCCCAACACAACGATTGTGGGCAGCAATTATAGCAAGAGCCAATGAAACCGCCGACCGTTTCGGGGTCCCGATGGACCCCGTGCCAGACCACGCGCCCGACCTTACGCGGCCGAGCGGTGGACCGGATTGGCCGCGATTGCTGGGGGACCGGTTCAGGTTCTCGCTGGATATGACGTTAGGATCACAATCCGTGGATGTCGAGCGTTCGAACCTCGCCAGCCTGCAGATCCGCCACGCGTATGGCGTGATTGTTGGTGTCGGCGATAAACAACAAGGGTTCCCGGCCGTCGTCAAACGTGGCGAAACTCAGTCCGCTCGGCTCGCTGAAGGTAGCCAGGCGGCTCTCCCCGTCGTGCAGACCCATCGCACCCGAACCCAGCACCGTTTGCACTGAACGTGTCAGCGGCAGAATCCTCTTGATCTTGTGGTTGTAGGTATCGACGATGAAAAGCTCGCCCTGGTGCCATTCGATGCCGATGGGGTGCTGCAGCCGGACGTGGTGCTCCACGCCATCCCGGTCTCCGAAGGCGAACAGGTCGATCCCGACGAGCGTTGCCACGCGACCGGTTGCCGGGTCGATCCCCGCGCTCCTCACGCTACTGGTCTCCGAATCGGCGAAATACAGGATGGGGCTATCACCTCGGTCCTTACCCACGACGATGCCGCTGGGTTGGGCCAGCGTAGCCTGGGCCAGCGGTCCGTTATCGATGTTCTCGCCGCCGGTACCGGCATGGGGACAAATCACTCCATCGGACAGCGACAACCGCCACAGTTGGTGTATCCCAGCCATCGCGATGTACAGTATTCCCGCGTGGTGCGTCAGGTCCCACGGGCTGCTGAGGGCTACCTCGCGTCCGGGGCCCTGCGCCCTCCGGTCGTTTCCCTGTTCACCGGTGCCGGCGATGGTATCGACGGTTCCGCTTGCCAGGTCAACCCGGCGGATGGCGTGGTTCTCCGTGTCGGCGACGTACAGCATGTCGCCCAGAAGTTCCATTCCCTGGGGATGATTGAAAGCCGCCGTGGCGTAGTCGCCGTCGACGAAGTCTTCCGAGCCCGAACCGATGACGGCCTGCGCCTGCCCGTCAAGGTCGGTCACCACGATACGATTGTGGTTGGTGTCGGCGATGAAAAGCCGGTTTCCGGGGCCGTCTGCCAGCACCTTGCCCGGAAACGCCAGGGCCGACTCCTCCACCGCCTCCGGCGCGAAGCCCAGGTCGCGGCGGTCGATCATGCCCTTCTCGTCGAACTCGGCGATCATCCTTCCCAGCAGGTCGTCGAAAGCCTCGTAGGGCAGTTCGCCCTCGTGCTTGCCGATAACCTTGCCCTCCGGATCAACGAACATCAGCGTGGGCCATGCCCGGCATGCGTACTGCCGCCAGACCTCGAACTCCGCGTCGTTGACGATCGGGTGCTTCAGCTCATACCGCTGCGCCGCCATCAACACGTTGTCGGCGTACTTTTCATTGGGGAACTTCGCGGAATGCACCCCGATGACCACCAGCTCATCCGCGTACTTCTCTTCCATTTTCCGCAACTGCGGAAACACATGCATGCAGTTGACTCAACAGTAGGTCCAGAAGTCCAGCACGACCAGCTTGCCGCGCAGGTCGGCCATGCTCAACGGCCGGTCGGTGTTGATCCATTCCACGCTTTCAGGGAAATCCGGCGCGTTCACCGTGCCGGTAAAGGAGCGGGTGGCCATAGCGAAGCCTCCGATTTGGTTGGTCGGGCCATCCCCTCGCGAAAGCAGGCGACCCGAAATGCGCTGTGAGCGTCTGCCTATTGCGGCGGCTGGGATTCAAACGCCAGCGTGGCATGCCGCATGAAGATTGCGCCCACCGGTTCACCCAGCGGCGCGTTGGCCACCAGGACGGCGATGACGTGTTCCTTCCCCGGATCGCCGGGTTCCTCGACCAGCACGCGCTTGGGCGTGTTGTTGCCGGTCACCACGCCGATGTTACGATCAATCTTGCCGTCGATGAACACCTCGCCGTAGTTGTCCACGTTGGTTTCGAACCAGATCCGGCAGGTGGTCACGTCCTGGCCCTTCACGGTCTCCGGCATGGTGAACCGCAACCGGTACCAGGCGAAGGTGAACCCGACCGAATAGCGCTTCTGGAAGTCCGAGCCGCTTTCCCAGCCCGAGTCGTCGTAGTCGGGCAGGCGAGCGTTACTCCCCAGCTTTTCCGCCACCAATCCCTGGTTGGGTTCGCCAGGCTCGAGGCCCTGCGCCACACGCCATCCGTCGGACTTGATTACGGTCAGGTCCTCTTTCTGTTCCAAATCCAGTGCTACTCGGGGCATTGGAAAACTCCTTGGTTGGTGTTGGTGATGAAAACGGCGCGGGGCGAATAATAATTCGCACCGCGAAACTATCAGGACTTGAGATGCTGCCCGAAGAACTCCAGCGTCCGTGGCCACGAGCGGTCGGCCGCTTCCTTCTGATATCGCGGACCGGTGAAGTCCATGAAAGCGTGGTCGGCGTCCCGATACACGTAGAACTGGTGCGCTTTGTCGAGGCGGTTCAACTCCTCGTCAAACCGGCGCATGTCCTCCTGCGACGGGTTTTCGTCAACCTCGCCGAAGTGGAACAGCATCGGGCAGTCGATGTTGGCGGCCAGCTCGAAAGGCGGCGTCTCGCCCTCGCCCCAGGTTACCAGCAGGTTCCCGCCGTAGTATGGGGCGACCGCGCTAAAGTGGGGGTTGCTCACCGCAGCCAACCAGGCAACGCGCCCGCCCATGCAGAAGCCGGTTACTCCGATGCGGTCGGTGACCGCGTCGTGGTTTTGCAGCCAGTCCACGGTGGCATTGATGTCGGCAACGATGCTGGGATCGCTGAGCACGTCCCAGGGCCGCGGTCGCGGGTCGCCGTTCATCACGTCGTCAGGGATGCGGTGGTACAGGTTTGGGGCCACGGCCGCGTAGCCTTCAGCGGCCAGCCGGTCGCAGATGGTCCGGATGAACTCGTCCACGCCGCCGCCATGCTGTGCCACCACCACCGCCGGAAACGGGGCGGAGAAACCGGCGCTGCTGCTGGGCACGCTGGCATACATATCCATTTCGCTGCCGTCCACGGTGAGTTTTTCCCAGAAACTGGCCATAACGGTGCCTCCTATGCCGATCAATCAACGTGTCTTGTGCGTACGGGGAAGAGAACAATTCGTCCCCTCCGGCTGGCTAACCCTTCAGGTGCTGCCGGAAAAATTCCAGCGTGCGGGGCCAGGACGCAACCGCCGCGTCTTCGTGGTATCTGCCGCCGGACGGGTTCATGAATGCGTGGTCGGCGCCCGCGTACGTGAAGAACTGATGCGCCTTTCCCAGGCGGTCCAGCTCGGCGTCGATCTTCCGCATGTCGTCCTGCGACGGGTTGGCGTCGATCTCTCCAAAGTGGAACAGCATGGGGCAGTCGATGCTGTTTGCCGAATCAAAGGGCGGTGTTTCACCACTGCCCCAGGTGGTCATCAGGTTGCCGCCATAATACGGGACCACGGCTCTGAAATTAGGGTTGGTAGCAGCCGCCAACCACGCGACGCGTCCGCCCATGCAGAACCCGGTTACCCCGATACGGTCGCTCTGTATCGCGTCATGGCCCAGCAACCAGTCCACGGCGGCGCTCATATCGGCAACGATGTCCGGGTCGCTGAGCAGCGTCGCCGGGCTGGGTCTCGGCCCCCCGGCGGCCGACGCCGCGATGGCTTCTTCGTTGTGCCGGTGGTACAGGCTGGGCGCTACCGCGGCGTAACCGTCCGCCGCCAACCGGTCGCAGATGTCCTGTATGAACGCGTCCACGCCGGTGGCGTGCTGCGCCACCACCACTGCAGGATAGGGAGCGGAAAAGCCGGCGCTGCTGGAGGGCACCGCCGCGTACATATCCATTTGCTGTCCGTCCACCGTAATCTTTTCCCAAAAACTTGCCATAAGAGCCTCTCATTGTTCCAGTGGGGTTTTACTTCGCTGGCCCTTCTTCACGGTTCGACAAATAGTGTCGACTGCGTTCTTCCCATGCTTCTTTGAACAGCCAGTTCAACATTGAAGTCAGAGCTAGCAAAAACAGCGCGACTCCAACCGCCGACAATACCGGCACCCCGTTTATCGCCAACAGGGTTTGGTAGAGCAGGTCAACGAACAGCAGCCACAACCCACCGAAAAGGAGAAACAACCAAGCAACTAGCAGGTTCTTCATCGTTTCAATCCGTGAATATACGCACTATCCAAAACGTCATACCGAAACCCAGCAAGGCGCCAAAGCTCGAAACCAACAGAGCTCGGTCTGCTCCATCTTCCCATACTGCGCCGAAAGTCGCACCGAAAACGATGAACGCCACAAAGATTGCGGCAATCAATGTCAAAGGTTTCATGGATCACGTACCGCGTAGGTTGCGAATAATCCAGTTGCTAAACCAGCCCTTCGTCGCGTGCGTCCGCCAGCGTCGCCGCAAAGGCGCCCAGGGTAGCGTCGATGTCTGCCTCGGAGTGCGTCGCCGATACCAGGAACGCGTCCCGTCCCATGATGTCGATGCCGTGGTTCTGCAGGCCGCGCTTGATGCCGGTTACCGCCGGCGTGGCCGCGGCGCTCTTGATTTGCCGGTCGACTTCCGGCCCGAATTCGTGGTCGAAGTCGCCGTCGGCCAGGGTGAAGTGGATCATCGACGCGATGCCGTAGGCGTGCCCGCCCACCTCCATTCGCGTGAACATCTCGTTCAGACCGGCCTTGAGCCGCGCGGCCATCGCGTCGGCGCGCTCGTTCAAAGGCTCGGAGGCGATCAGTTCCAGGCAGGTCGCTCCCGCCACCGCCGACAGCGGATTGCCGTTGAAGGTCCCCGGGTGGTAGACCCGCTCGGTGTTGTCCCATTCGGGATCGCCGCGCTGGGCGATCATATCCACGATGTCAGCCTTGCCGCCTACTGCCCCGCCGGGCAGGGCGCCAGCCACGATCTTCGCCATGGTCGTCAGATCGGGCGTGACGCCATAGCGCACCTGCGCTCCGCCGGGGGAGGCGCGGAATCCGGTGACAACCTCATCGAAAATCAGCACCACGCCATGCTGGTCGCACAGTTGGCGCAGGCCCGTCAGGTATTGCGGCGCGTCGAAGGGAAGCTGCCCGTAGTGAGCGCCGGTGGGTTCCAGGATGATGGCCGCGATGTCGCTGTCGCGTTCCATGGCCTGCTGCACCGCGTCCAGGTTTCCGGACGGAACGATAACCATGCTGCTCCATGACTCGGCGGGGATCCCCGGCGCCGGGCGGTCCGAACCTGCCATCGCGTAGTCGTGCCAACCGTGGAAGTGGTCCTGTAGCTTGATGACCTTGTTGCGTCCAGTAAAGGCGCGGGCCAGGCGCATCGCCATCAATGTCGCTTCCGTGCCGCTGCTGTGGAAGCGGATCCTTTCCACTGCCGGCATCAGGGTCATGATCGCCCGTGCCCAGCGCAGTTCCTCATCGGTGCAGGCTCCCAGGTGAGTGCCCCGCAGGATCTGTTCGGTCACTGCCTCCGCAATGGCAGGATGGGAGTGCCCCAGCAACAGCGCGCCGTGGCCGGATACATAGTCGATGTACTCGTTCCCGTCCACGTCCCACTTCCGCGGTCCCTGCCCGTGGGTTATGTACAGCGGGAACGGCTCGGCGTAACGGTTGTCGTGGGTGACTCCCCCAGGGAATATGCCCACGGCGTCACGATAACGTTCGGCGGAGCCGGCGTGGTTGGCGATGTACTGTTCCAGGATCGTGGGCATTTTCTGACTCCCCGTTAATGTGTGAATTGATTGAGACGACCATGCGTCGGGAGTGCGCGACGCATCGGCGCCGATTGGTTCCTTGAGTCCCAAACCCCGTCAGGACGATCCGAATCCATAGTTCAGGATTCATAGTTCAGATTCAGGCTCATTGTAGCACCGGCCGGCGGCTCAAAGAGTTACCGGTCGTCCGTCTCGGCATCGCCAGCCATCACTCCGGTGGTCGCTTGATGAACAGGAAACAGGCGCCCGCCATGAAAGCGCATATCGCCCCCGGAATAATCGCGTAGTCGTAATCCCCAAACCGGTCTGCCACCCAACCCGCGTACACCGGCGACACCACCAACGCCCAGGCGTAGGAGAAGGTGATGTATCCCCCGTAGCGTGGCGAAACCGGGTGCGACCGTAGTACTCGCCCAACGCGGCCCACACGATGACACCGGCGCCGTCCATCATTCCCTCGCACACGACGAACGCCACCACCAGCGTTATGCCGATCGCCGTTTGCCAGTCACCCATCCATAAACACAGATAACCAACAGCTTCCACCGTCAGGCTCAGGAACATTATGGTTTTCTTGGATACCCGGTCTCCCAGGTACCCCATGATCAGCCTGGATACGAAGTTGATGGCCGACATCGCCCCGATCAGGTTCGCGGCCATCTGGCTGCTCATGCCCTTGTCCTCGACCAGGATGGGAAACAGGCTGACCAGGATACCCAGCGTCGCCGTTTGCCTCAGGCCCGCGCCGACCAACAGCAGCCAGTACGCCTGCGTACGGAGCGCCTCCCGCACGGTGTAGTCCCGCACCTCCCGGCGCGCGGCGGCCGAACCGGCCCGGGAGGCCGGCGGCCGCGTGGCCCCGTCGGGCAGCAAACCCATGTCTTCCGGCCGATTCCTGAACCAGAAGCACAACGGCAGCAGGATAACCGCGTAAAATGCACCCGAGGTGATGAGGCCCCACCGCAGCCCGGCCCGGTCGATCAGAAGGTTCATCGTGGGTATCAGCGCCAGGCCGCCCAGGGACGCCACCGCCGCCAGGATGGAGATCGCCAGAGCTCGCCGCCGGTGGAACCACTGGTTCAGGCCGGCGAAGCAGGCGTGCTGGAAACCCATGCTGTTGCCCAGCGATACCAAGCCCAGGTATATGATGGCGAACGCCCAAAACCCCGGCAGCCAGAAGGCCATGATCAGGTAACCCACGACGGTGATTATCAGCGAAGGCACCAGCACCTTGCGGTTGCCGAACTTGTCGATCAACCAGCCCGCCAGCGGTCCTTCCAGCCCCCCTTCGGCGCGGGCTATCGCAAAAACCAGGTTCGTCTGCCACTGGGTGATCCCCAATTGCTCGCGGATGGGCAGTACCAGCACGCTGAATCCGCGGAAAAAGATGCCGCTGGCGAAGAAACTCATCACCGAAGTGACGACGACCATCCACCATCCGTAATAGATGCGCCCGCCGGAAGACGCCCCTCCGGAGGGCGCCGAGCCAGCTCGTTCATCTACTCTAGCCACTAAATCGACCGTCGCCTTGCATCAAATTCACCCGGCCTGCCCGCCGACGGCGGCCTGGCCGGGTGCACACACAACGGCCGCCAGTGTACCCTTTGGCCCGGACCAGGGCAACGCGGAGGCACCATCTCGGTCATCTCGGGCTCGATCATCCCAGCAGGGATCGCCAGGGACTCAAGGATACGCCTTGCCTCTCCCATTGTTATAATCGGCCTGTTTCACCCGCATGACTGGAGGCTAACCATGGCTGAGGATTTGTCCGGGCTGTTCGCCGAATCCGAACTCACCCTGCTGGACGGGACGCTGGCCCGCACCGAGGGCCCGTTGTGGCATCCCGGTGGCTATCTAACCTTCGTGGATCTGGGCCGGGAACAGTTGCTCAAGTGGGATCCCAAAACGCGCGAAACCACCGTGGTCCGCGAGAACACCGGCGAGGGCAACGGCTGCACCCTGGACCGCCAGGGGAACCTGCTGATGTGTGAAGGAGCGGATCATCGGTGCGTGACTCGTATGGATGCGGACGGCAACGTCACTTCCATTGCGGACCGTTGGGACGGCAAGCGGTTCAACAAGCCCAACGACGTGATCTGCCGCACCGATGGGACACTCTTTTTCACCGACCCGCACCTCCGTTTTCCGGAAGAACTCCGCGAGATCCCTTTCGCCGGCATTTACCGCGTCGATCTCTCCTGCAATGTGCACCTGGCAACGGACGAGTGCGAGTACGCAAACGGTCTCGCGCTGTCACCCGACGAATCGGTCCTGTACGTCGCCATAAGCCGCGCGGAGCCCGCGGACTTTGACCGCGAAGAAAGAGGCGAGTTCTGCCCGAATCGCCGCATCCGCTCCTTCGACGTGGCCGCCGACGGGACCTTGAGCGGCAATCGGATCCTCATAGAGATGGGCTCGGAGGCTCCCGGTGTGCCCGACGGCATGAAGGTCGACACGGCCGGCCGGGTATGGTGCACCGGTTCCGGCGGAGTTTGGATCGTTTCGCCTGGCGGAGAGCGCCTGGGAGTGCTTGAAACACCGGAAGTCACCAGGAACATCTGCTTTGGCGGCGACGATATGCGGACACTATTCCTCACCTCCGGCCAGTCGCTCTACAGCATCGGTGTCCAGACCCCGGGTATCCCCGCCTTCTGATCAGGCTCCGCCAACCGGTATAGACAATCCGCGGTTCGCGCGATGCGGATAGCGCATCTGCAAACCCTCGGCCCCGAGGCGACCGTTCAGGCCGCTGCCCGGCTGGTAGAGGGATTCGCAGACCATTGGCCCCGGGCCTAGCCGGATGCGGAATCCGCTGCGGGCACGGCGCCGGAATGCCTCGACAGGAGGCGGATCTGCCGCGCCGCGGTCGACCGGGCTGACCACGCCCTCGGTTGGTCTGCCGCGGAGCCCATCTACCGGGGAAACGTCTGGGAGCTCAACGTTCTGGTGGTGCGGCCCGCCCGTCAGCGTCATGGGTCGGAGGCGTCCTCCTGTCCGACGTGGAACAGTAGGTGAGCCGGCGCGGCGGTCTTCCGATTTGGCTTGGTTCCGACGACGAAGACGATACGACCTCCCCGGCCGGCGTTGACCTCTATCCCAACCCCCTGGAACACCTTTCGCGTATTGTCAATTTGAAAGGCCATCCCTACGAGTTCTATCGCAAGATGGGTTTGCTATCGCCGGCGTACTACCCGATGCCAACCGGCCTGGTAAGCCGGGCATCTTCCTCGCCAAGTTGGTGGCGCCCCGATGACTCACGCCAAATTGTGGTAAAACTAGGCTGGACCATGCAGATTCGCTCCACGCAATGCCAATGAGGAGGCTTACATGACTACTGCTGCCAATGTCGTCGGCAACGGCGCGCACACCTACGAATTCGATCGCAACTGGGCTCAGGCGCCCGAAGGCATTCCGATGCCGGCCGCGGCGGTTTTCGGCGACGACGAGGACCGCATCTACTGTTTCAATCGCAACCCCGAGCATCCCATCATGGTCTTCGACCGTGAGGGCAAGTTCGTCAAGTCCTGGGGCGCTGGCATGTTCGAGTTCCCCCACGCCATCATCATTGACCAGTGGGGCTACGTCTGGCTGGTGGACCGCAACATGGGCCAGATTTTCAAGCTCACCAAGGACGGCGAGCTGGTGATGACCATCGGCCAGCGCGGTTACCGCTCCGACACCGGAGCCGACAACACTGCATTCGATTCAAACTCGTGGCACCAGGTGGTGCGCGGCTCGGATCCGTTTAACATGCCGGCCGGCATTGCCCTGAATGACGACGGTGAAATCTACATCGCCGACGGCTATGCCAACGCCCGCGTGCATAAGTTCACCGCCGCCGGCGAACACATCTTTTCCTGGGGAGAGCCCGGTTCCGGACCTGGCCAGTTCAACCTGCCTCACGGCGCCTGGATCAACCGCCAGGGCAATCTCCTTATCGCCGACCGGGAAAACGATCGAGTCCAGGTCTTCAATCAGGACGGCAGCCATGTGACCGACTGGCCCAGCAAGCTGATCGGTCCCGCCGTCATCTGTATCGACGATGATGGCGTCGCCTACGTCGCCGAACACAACGGTGGGATGCTCAGCATTCTCGACGCGAACGGTGAACGCCTGGCGCAATGGGGCGACCTGACCCACCGCAGTTGTCACGGCGTGTGGGTGGACAGTCAGAAGGACCTCTACGTGGTCGAGCCCTATGAAGGAAGCTCCGGTCGAACTGTGGTGAAGTACACCCGTAAGGGTTAGTCTTCAGTTCGTGCAAGTTGTGCAGGGACGGTTGCACAACCGTCCCTGTATTTTTGTGCGAATTCCGATCACCGGATTTTTTTGTTTCGCAACGATATTGAACAAAACGCACAATATCTGATTATAATGTGCAGCCGAACGTGCACCCTGATCGTAGGCATCGTTTTCTCGATCATGCTGTGATTGCGCGTGCATGTGCATAAAAAACCTCGGAGAATTTACTCCCATCACCCAATCAGAGGATGTACAGCAATGGCAACCGTCACGCTCAACATCTCCGGCGACAGCCAGGAGGTGATTTCAGTCATCCGGTCATTGGCGAAGCAACACGAACGAACCCATGCTCAAGCCGCTCTGGAAGCACCGATTGCCATAAACGGTGTGGCCACCACCAGTGCGGCCGTTGGCTCACGTGACCATGCTTGGACCACCGCCACGGCCAGGGACACTCGCAATAACGTTTCCGCCGATGCGCAGCGGCTGTTGGATTCGCTGGTGCGCGCCCCGGACCACCAGATGCACATCGATGAAATCTACAGCCAGCTTGAATTAGACCGCTATGGTCTGATTGGGGCGCGGCGCTCCATCTCCGCTGCGCTCCGGCGCAACGCGGCGACAGCCAACGCCACCCTGCTTTCCACCAGAGATCGTCGCGTAACCCTGAACAGCGAATACGCGGACGCGATCTCAACCGACTCATCCACCAACGGGCTGGGCGACCGGGAACGTTCTCTGTAGCGACGTGCCAAACTCTCCTGCGCCGCAGTGCTTAGCGACCGGCAAGTCTAGTTCCACTGTTGGGTCATCCAACTCGTTCCGGCCACACCGGGTCATGGTATCCCAACGGCACCGTAGGCCTTGCCCAGTAAGGTTGCGTCTCCGACAACCGCACGGTCGGCGCCAGGTGCGTCAACTGTCCCGCCGTTACCTGGCTGGTCGTACACCACCTGGTAACCTCTTCCGCCCCGAAATCCGATGCTATATCGTGCAGTTCGGGTTCAGGAACCTGTCCTCGATCGGTGAGCCATTTGCCGGTCTGGGCTAGTGAAATCCTGACCAGCCAACTCCCGCCTTCCCGGGCGCGACGCGCCAGGGCAGTCAACGCGCCGTATGCCATCAGGTATCCGGTTAGGTAGTCAATCGCGGACACCGGATAAAACTGCGGTCCCGGCTCAGCGCCGGGGAACAGTTGTCCTTGCCGGTCCGTGATACCGCTCACGGTCTGCACAACCGTGTCGAAACCGCGGCGCTCCGCCCATGGTCCCACCCGGCCGAAGGCCGAGAGGGAGATGTAAACGATACCCGGTCGGAGCTCCGCAAGATCTTCCGGAGAAAGACCCCGCTGCGCCAGTGTTCCCGGGCGATAGCCCTGTGAGAACACGTCCGCCTGGCTGACCAGATTGCGCAGCGTCGCCACGTCCTGCGTGTCCCTGAGGTCCAGGTGGGTGGACAACTTTCCGTGCCCGGTGTCAAATTCCTGGGCTTCGCTGCTGGGGAGATGGCTGGCGGTCACTTTCATGACGTCTGCCCCATGCTCCGCCAGCGTGCGGGCGCAGGTAGGTCCGGCCAGCACTCGGGTCAGATCCAGAACTCTTATCCCCGAAAGCGGGCGTGATCCATCAGGCAATGGCTCCGGCGGGCTGTCGCCGATCTTGTCAATCTCCAGCAGGGGCAACGATGCCACGGCGGCGGATTGCGGATGCCTGGCCCATTCGTCCATGGAGCGGACCATTCCGCCGGCTCCTCTCGCGGCGATGATCGCCTCTTCCAATTCCAGGGCATCCCAATTTGCCACCGCCTGTCGCACCGCTTCCCGGTCTTCCGGCACGCCCAAAACCCCCAGGGCCGCTTCCCGGTGGTTCGGAAAGTTGCAGTGCAGGTAACTCCACCTGCCGTCCTTGGCAGGATACACACCCATAACGGAGGGCCGCTCTCCCGCGGCCGCCGCGCCGTTGAGGGTCATGTACCTGCTGCTACGCAACGACGCCGTGGCCTGCCTGGCGTCCACCGCGATGTCCTGGCGTCGGCCGGTCTTCATCTCCCACAGGTCGCAGACGGCGAGGCCAACCGCTGCCAGGCTTGCGGCCGCCGTTTCGCCGATCCTGAACGGCGTCGGCAGGATCGGATCGACCCCGCCGGTAAACGAAACCCGGGAAGCTAGCTCCGGATCACAGCCGGGGATGGTGAGCAACGTTGATAGGATTTGGTCAGCCATTGCGTAATCCTTTGCTTCGCGCGCCCTGGCCTTGCATACGCCGGCGCCGCGGGGAATTGTTGCCGGCGTACCGCCCGCACGAAGATGCTGAAATTCGCCAAATATATTACACCACAAAATTGTTCGGTCACTGCCCGCGTCCATGTCCGTAGGTCAACCCGTTACTGGCAGTCCGTTTGCGCGTTGTCGGGGTCGGCCTACCCGTGTATATTGTCTCTGTCGTGCGGCGGAGCCATCCGTGTGATCGGTCAGGGGAAGAGCATTGCAAGATAACGCGATCAGCTTGGGCTCCTGGGACATTACCTCCGACGCAGTCGGCGAATATCTTTCAGCCGTCGGCGATAATTTGCCGATGTACATGGACTCACTTTGCGCTCCTCCTATTATGCTCGCTGCCCGCGTCGTCGCTTTATTGTTGGAACGTTTGTCACTACCCGATGGCGCTATCCACAGCCTGCAGGATATAGAAACCATAGATTCTCTGCGCGTGGGCGCGACGGTTTCCGCCGTCGCCAGTGTTGAGCCGGTGCGCGAACGCAGCGGGATGCGGTTTCTCACCGTGAACTATACCGTCGCGGACGAAGCCACCGGGTCAGACCTGATGAAGGGTCGTACCACCGTGCTGCTTCCCACTGACCAAAGCTCCGAATAACGAATGTGTGTATGTCTGCCGGCGCTCCAACCCACGCATCGTCGCCATGGGCCGTGGGTCACGTGATCCCTCCAGTGCGGCGCTGCGTGACCCGGGACCACATCGACGCCTACCGGTCAGCCTCCGGCGACCACAACCGCATCCACTACGATGATGAGTTCGCAGCGTCAAGCCGGTTCGGCGGCGTGATTGCCCACGGCATGCTGACCCTGGCCATGATCTCCGAGATGATGACGGGCGTGTACGGAACCTGCTGGTTGCAATCGGGCAGCCTGCGCGTCAGGTTTCGTGGCGCCGCGTATCCTGGGGACCTCCTGGAAGCCGTCGGGTCGGTGACCAAAAGCGAATCAGTCGCTAACGGCATACGCCTTACGTGCAACGTCGAACTGCTCAACGTTGATAATGGCAGCAGGATCATCACCGGGTCGGCGACTGTAATGGCAGGCTCGGCGGATATGAGGGAAACTGTGAGATGAGCGCTAACGGAGATATGCCGCGGGTTCGAATTGCGGTGGATGCGATGGGTGGAGACTTTGGGCCACCGGAGACGGTTCCCGGCGTTCTGGCGGCGCTTGACGCCCATCCCGAATTGACCGTCACCCTGGTGGGCGATTCCGATGCCGTGCAAGCTGAATTGTCCCGTCACGATGTCATCGGACGCTCAGTTTCAATAGCCCCTTCGGAAGGCAAGGTCGAAGATGATGAGCACCCCATAGCCGCCCTGCGCCGGAAACCGAACTCCTCGATCGCCACCGCCATGCGACTCGTGCAGCTGGGCGACGCCGACATGGTGGTGTCCATGGGTTCGACTGGGGCCACCATGGCGACGGCGGTCATGGCGCTGGGCTTGCTGGAAGGCTTGGAACGGCCCTGTATCGGCGGCAACTTCCTTGGCGTCGCGCCGAATACCACCGTGGTTGACCTGGGCAGCAATGTGGATTGCCGCCCGTCGTTGCTGTTGAACTTCGCCGCTCTGGGGGTCGCCTTTTCCCGCCGCCGCCTGGGCATAGAGAACCCTCGCGTCGCTCTGCTCAGCGTGGGTGAGGAGTCCTCCAAGGGCAATCGCCAGGTCCAGGAGAGCCACACGCTTTTTAGGGAGAGCCATTTGAATTTCGTCGGCAACGTCGAGGGCATGGACTTCTTCACCGGCAAGGCGGATGTCATCGTTTGCGACGGGTTCATCGGCAATATCCTGATCAAATTCGCTGAAGGTCTGGGTTCCGCGCTCGTCCCCTATCTCCACCATCGCCTGTCTGCGGTTCTCCCCGGTGAACAGGTTCAACAGATCGGAGAAGCCCTGTGGACCACCATGAACCTGCCGCGCACCATGGGAGGGCCGCTTTTCGGCGTGAACGGTCTGGTCATGATCGGACACGGTTCATCCACCGCCACCGGCGTCGCCGGCGCCATCAACACCGGTCTGCTATGCCATCGACTGGAGTTGGTGGAGGGATTCCGGCAAGAACTGGCCGAATTGCATCGTGCCGTAGTGCGCGAGACGTGAAGGATTGGGTATTCAACCATGTACACGATTGATTTGAGCGGCCAGGTCGCCCTGGTGACGGGTTCGTCCCGGGGCATCGGCGCGGTGATTGCTTCCAGGCTCGCAGCAGCCGGCGCATCCGTCGCCATCAACTACCGGAGCAACGCCGCCGCCGCCGATGCCGTGATCGATGAGATTCGCGCTGCCGGCGGTGAGGCCCTTCGCGTCCCCGGTGACGTTTCCGATGAAAACGCCGCCGAGGCCGTCGTGAAAACCACCGCCGATCGTTTGGGCCGCCTCGACATCCTGGTGAACAACGCCGGCGTCAATCGCGATCGGCTGATGTTGCGCATGACCGCCGCCGATTGGGACGAGGTCATCACGGTGAATCTTCGCGGCACGTTCCTGGCCACGCGTTTCGCCATCCCGCTCATGCTTCGCCAACGGTACGGGCGTATCGTAAACATCTCCTCAGTCGTGGGGCTCACCGGCAACCCGGGGCAGGCCAACTACGCCGCTTCCAAAGCCGGACAAATCGGATTTACGAAAGCCATGGCGCGTGAAGTGGCCAGCCGCAGCATTACGGTGAACGCGGTCGCGCCGGGTTTCATCGAAGTCGGAGAGGAGGGCGGCATGACCGCCGGCATGACGGATGACCAGCGCGGCCAGGTGCTTTCCCGTATCCCGGCCGGTCACTTCGGAACCGCCGAGGATGTCGCCTCTGCCGTTCTTTACCTGACCAGCGCCGGCGCGAGCTACGTCAACGGCCAGACGCTGACCATCGACGGCGGACTGACCGCCTGAACCAGCATATCGGCGCGAGGACTGAGTAATGAAAACCACCACCCGTTTCCGACAATTGCTCGCCGAGCCCGGGATCATCACGGCCCCCGGCGCCTACGACTGCCTCACGGCCGCCATAATCGAGCGCACCGGTTTTCCGGCGGTGTACATGACCGGAGCCGGGACCTCGGTTGCCCGCATCGGCTACCCCGACCTGGCGCTGGCCACGGCCACGGAGATGCTCGCCAACGCGGCGGCTATCGCCTCCACCGTCAGCGTCCCCGTGATCGCCGACGCCGACACCGGCTACGGCGGCACCATGAATGTGCGTCGCACCATCCGTGATTACGAGCGGACCGGCGCAGCGGCGGTGCACATCGAAGACCAGCAGTTCCCCAAGCGCTGCGGCCACCTGGAGGACAAGCGGGTGGTGCCGATCGACGAGATGGTGCAGAAAATTCACGCCGCCGTCGACGCTCGCACCGATGACGATTTCACCATCATCGTCCGCACCGACGCGCTGGCCGTCACCGGTTGGGATGACACCATGCGCCGCTGCGACGCCTTCACCGCGGCCGGCGCCGATGCGCTGTTCGTGGAGGCGATCCGGTCCGCAGACGAAGCCGCCGAAGTGGTCGCCCGCACTTCGGTCCCGCTTCTCTACAACTTCGTGGAAACCGGCAAGTCTCCCTTGCTCAACGTTTCTGAACTGGAAGACCTGGGGTTCAAGATGGTCATTTTCCCCGGCAGCGCCTTCATGTCGGTGGCCCACACCGTGGCTCGGGTCATGGCGGAACTCAAGGCCACTGGAACTACCGAGCATCTGGTGGGCGAAATGACCCCTCTCACCGAGGCCTTTGAACTCATGGGTCTGTCACAAATGCTGGAGCGGGACAGCGGATACGCAGTTGAGAACGAAGTGGTGGCCGCCGACTGAGGTGGAATGGCGTTCCACCGATCCCGAGACGCCCGGCGGTCCACCGCCGTTTGACAAGCTTCTCTCCCGACATCGTCTGAATGTGACTTGATGTCTACTGGACCCGCGGCCGGGGGCGGCGATACCGAATTCCTCAGCCGTTTGTCGACGGAAATCGACGTCTGGCAACGCGACGGTTTGGTCTCGGCCGAACAGGCCGCCGCAATCCTGCGCCGTTATGAGGTTCCAGCGGTAGCCGCGCTTCCCGGAGAAGCGTCTTTGCCTAGTTCCGTTGGTCCCGCCGCTTCCACGGGAGACGCGGCGGCGCGCAGCACCCTGGTGAGCCGGGCGGTGTCCCTCATCGGTGTGATGGGAGCCCTTCTCGTCGGGCTGGGCATCATCATATACGTCGCCGCCAACTGGGACGCGATCCCGATCTGGGCCCGTGTCACCATGCTGGTGGGGTTCACGACTGCGGCAAATGTTGCCGGTTGGTTGCTGCTGGCCCGGTTCGAATACCCACGCATCGGCGTCGCCATGCTCGTGGTCGGCGCGCTGGCGTTCGGGGCAAGCATCCACCTGATCGCTCAGATTTACCATGTGCCGGTCAACCACCCCAATCTGACCACCGCCTGGTTCCTGGGCGTCGTCCCGATCGGGTATGTCGCGCGCTCTCGCGTGATGGCGGCACTGTCCCTGTTCCTTCTTGTCCTGAGCATGGGTTTCCGCGCGCAATGGTGGCTGGAATACTACGGGGAGGAAGCGATCCTCTTCGTGATGCCGTTGACCCTGGTGCTCTCGGCGGCGGTTTTTGCCCTGGGTATGCTCCAATTGCGTTTCGCATGGACACGGCCCCTGGCGGCGTATTGCTACTATCCAGCTTTGGCGATCGGACTCGAGGCATTTTGCGCCATGACCGTCGCCAGCATCTGGATTGATGGCGGCAACTTCCCCTGGTCCGTGTTGTCCGCCGAGTATTGGATCACGGGCGGTGCGGCCGTGGCGACTGCCGCGGCTGCTACCGTCGCTCTCTGGTGGCCCTTCCGCTTTCAGCGCGATGCGCGCTCCTTTTCAAGCAAATCAGCTGGCCAGACCGCCATCGTGGCAACGATGTTAGTAACTGCCGTGTCCATGTGGCTCTGGTTCGCCTGGCCCGCCCCCGCAGTATGGTGGCTGTTCAACCTCGTCGCGTTCGGCGGAATCGCGGTCGTCGCCTTCCTGAAGCGGTCGGTCCATTTGCTGGGATGCGTTGTCGTCCTGTTCGTGATTCTGGCGTCGATCCGGATCGTAAGCCTGATGAATTTTGGGGGTTTCGCCGCGCCGATATTGCTGTGCGCGGCTGGTTTGACCGCGGCAGCGTGCCTCTTCGCCGGGAGCCTCGCAATGAGCGCTGCGCCTCTGGTTGCGCTGAACACCCGCTACGTGGCAGCGGCCGGGCTGGCGCTCGCCGCGTCCAGCCTCCACGTCATGGGGTATGGGGTTTTTTGGCGTTGGGAAGACTCCACGGTCTGGCACTGGATGTCTTTCGAATATTGGATCGTTCTGGCGTTCGGTTGGCTGCTTTCGGCGTCGGCGATCGGACTCGCTCTGTGGAGACGCGGACGTTCCGGCAACGTCAACTCGGTCTGGGAAGTCGGCGCGGTTGCGGCAATGGCGGTGTTGACGCTCGCCATGTGGGTCGGACTGAGGTATCAGGTCTCCGTGTCGTGGTCGGTATTCAACCTTGCTTTGTTGGCCGGTATCGCGGCGTTGATCTGGTACGGCTGTCGACGTCGCCAGCTGTCGGTGGTGTACTTCGCCGGTGTCGCCTTCGCCGTTTCCGTGACCATACGGTGTTTCGCGGCAATCGATATCCTGGCGGAGGATGGTCTGCTTCTGTGGCTGGGTCCGGTGGGCTTGGGCATCGGAGCGTTGGTTTTCCTGACCGGTCGGCTCAAGGTTCGCTGGACGGGAACCGCTACGGCGGAGTTGCGGACCATTTCCCGCGTTTGGGACCTGGCCGGCCTGTCCGCTGCCATTGCCAGCGTATACGCCATGAGCTACTAGCGATCCCTGGGCCTCGGCACCGGGAGCAACGGACGGCTCTGCGCTTGCCTATCTGGGAGAATATTGGTTCCTCGCCGGCGCGGTTTGGGGCAGCGCAATTGCGGTTCTGGTTCTGATTCGGGTGGTTGACAGGCTGCGGTTGTCTCCCATCACCGCGTCCGCGGACCAACTGCTATGGGAGACATCGGCGGCCGGCGCGATGGGTTTGCTTGCCATCCTGGCGTGGTTGGGGCTTCTGCTGGGTTGGACGTGGACCTGGCTCCCCCTCAACGCCGCCTTGCTGGGTACGGTCCTGGCGTTGGTGGCAGCCGGATACCGCTGGAACCGGGCGGACCTGATCAACCTCGCGGTCGTTGCCTTCGCGATCACGCTGTTCACTCGATACTTCGAGTTTGGCTTCGGATTGCTGGGGCAGTCCCTGGCATTCATCGTTGCCGGCGCGATCATGCTGGGCATGGGTTTCGGCCTTGAGTTTCTGCGTCGGCGGATGCTGCGCGGCGTGCGCCCGGTTGGGGAACCGGCATGACCCGAGCCGCCAGCATCCTGTTCTTCGCCGTGGTGGCAGCACAGATTGTTGGGCTGGTCACCTTCGCCGGCGTGCGCCAGGTTGCCTTGACCGAGGGCCGCGAGATCACCCTGCAGACCGCTCCCGTTGACCCCCGTTCTTTGTTCCAGGGCGACTACGCTATTCTGGACTATGAGATTGCGGAAATCCCCGCCCGGCTCGACGGTGAACCCGCTGGCGTCGAGGTCTATGTGGTCTTGACGAAATGCGGCGACGTGTGGTGCGCATCGCGACACACGCTCGCCGAACCGAAACCGACCGACGTGTACATCCGTGGGGTGATCAACCAGCGTGGCCGGTTGGACTTCGGGATCGGAACCTACTTCGTTCCGGAGGGGACCGGCCACATAATTGAGACCGCAGAGGACGTGAAGGTGGTCGTCTCTTTGGGAGACCAGGGTCAGGCTGTTATCAAGTATGTCTTAGTCGATGATGCGCCCTTGCATCTTTTTGCAACGCTTGAGTAAACCAAAAATGAGGAACCGTTGGTGCACTGTCGGAGACCGGCAGCGACTATAGCCGGTTGCCCCAGTCAACGTACTTCGTCATGCCCACCGCGCTGATTTGCAACTCTTGGCGGAATCCGGGTCGCTCCGCTTCATGCTTCTGACGGTTCGGCGCCGGCGCCGGTGAGCCGCCTTCCAATGCTTCGAACAGCACTCTGCCGTCCATCGCTGCCGGCCTCGGCGTCCAGACCCAGGAGATGCAAGATCGTGGGGCGAGATCGATGTTGCCGGTGGGCGTCTCGATGACGGTTTCCCGCTTGACCGAAGGACCGCCGGCCAGCCCAGTGTTCCGCAGTTCATGTTGGCTGAGGCTGCCGTGCTGACCCTGACCGACCGCGCCTCCCGTGGCGGGAGCATGTCCCGCATAACCCGCCGAATTGTCGGTGCTCAGCCAGGGGAAGGACATGATCAGGTCCGGCGAGCGTGGCCCTTCGCATCCCAGCAGCGCGGTCGGCAGCGTGCCCGCCGGATGTCCAACGCGCTCCGACGCGAAAAGCGGCCCGCACCAGGGTTGCCCAACCAGCCACGTGGTCAGCGTCTCGGCCGTTGCCTGATCGCCGTCGTTGACGTACAGCAACGCCGACCCGCCGTTGGCCGCCACCGCCACGCCGCCCGGGCGGTCTATCGTCGCGAAACCGGCGTCGCGCAGCAATTGCTCCACGCGCACAACCTCGCTGATGGTGGAATATCCGTGGTCCGATGCGACGAAAACGTCCGTGGTGTCAGCGCGGCCATTCGCCTCCATCCAGGCCAGGAGCTCGCCGAACTCGGCATCGGCTTCCGCGAGGGCTTGCGGCGTCCTGCCGAGCCCCACGCCGTCTTCGTGCTGCGTCTTGTCCGGTTCCGACGACCACAGCAGCGCCACCGCCGGATCTCGTTCGGGCAGTATGAAGTCCGTCAGGATGCGTCTCGCGTGAACCAGGCGCGCCGTGTTGGGCAGATCCTGAGCCGGCCAATCGCCGAACCGTTCGGTCAGTTCGGCTTGCAGCGACCGTGGCAACGTGAAATCGGGATGTATGGTCGCCCCGCCCGCCGTCGCCGCATTCGGGTTGTGAACGTAGGCGTTGCCGCTGGTGCCCGTGCCAACCGCAAAGTACTCCATACCGTGTTCGCCCAGCAGGTCGGCCAGTGTTGGCACCAGCAGTGTGCGACCGGTGGAATCGGCGATCTCCTGCAACGTGGGTTCCAGCGCCGGTATCACCCGGTGCGGATCGTATTCTCGACAGAGGAAGGTGTTGCCCGCCAATCCGTGCCGCCCGGGCGTACACCCCGTGACCAGACTCGACGCGTTGACCCTGGTCACCGTCGGGAACACCGGATGGTGGTTTGCGAAGGTGACGCCCCCGCCGGCGAATTTCGCCAGGTTGGGCATCAACCCCGGGGTGACCTGCGCCGGCTGGAGGCCGTCGAACACCACAATCAATACTCTGCGTTGGACGGCCATCAGGGTTTTCCTCCTGTGTTCAGTTCGCCTCTTGCTGCGGCCACGCTAGCAATTCGCGGATCAGTCGCAGCGACGCCGCAACGTCGACGCCATCGGGTTTCGCAATGCTGATCGGGCCCCCGGCATCGTTCAGCACCCGGCAGCGACCCCAGAGTTCTTCGTCGCCGGTGGTCTCAGAATCGTCAACCGTCATCGTAACTGATCGAAACCTGATGGCGTTCGGGTCCGCCGCCGCGACCATCGTCAAAGGATCGTACATGTAGAACCGTTCGCGCGCGGGGCCGTGATTGAACCACCCGTCGAGCAACCGTTCGGCCAGCCAGCCGGCCGCGGAGGCGGCCCGCGCTCCCAGCACGTCGCCGCGAGTCAAAAAGACCTGCCGGCACGGCGCCATGTCAATCAACGTGATTGGTACCCCCGATTCGAGGACCAAGCGGGCGGCCGTGGGATCACTGTAGAAATTGAACTCCGCGTGCGGCGTGATATTGCCCGGAGTCCCCACGGCGCCGCCCATGACGAGCACGCGTTTCGCCAACCTCAATACCGTTCGGCGCTTCCGGTGCAGTCGCGCCAGGTTGGTCAGGGGACCGAGAGCGATGACGGTGACCGCGCCCGGGTTGGCCTGCAGGATATCGGCCAGGAATTGCACGGCGCCAGTACCGGAAGTGCGCGTTGTCGGACGGGGCAGCGGATGGGTCAACCCCTCTGCGGAGTGAACTTCGCGGGCGTAGGCATACCGGCCGCGCACCGGTCGAGTTGCCCCGCGGGCGACCGGAATGTCAGTCCGCCTGACGCTTTCAAGGATGGCCAGGGCATTTCTGGTGGCCGGGCCTATCGGAACATTGCCGGCGGTGGTGGTCAGGCCGACGACATCAAACTGCGGGTACGAAAGCGCCATCAACAGTGCGATGGCATCGTCGACGCCCGGGTCGGTGTCGATCACCACGGGCTCGGGAGCGTTTTGCGATGACGTCATGCGGTCAGCTCGGTTCCAGCAGCACCGAATTGCAATACGCGCGTACGGCCCGCGCAGAGGAATACCTGAACCGGAACCCGGCGGATTGTTTGAACTTGGTGGAGGTCACGATCAGGGGGCGTTTCGACAATTGTCTTCCCGTCGCGCCACGAAACGGGTTGGAAGCGATATCCCTCAGCAATCGTGGAGACCGGCACCATTCCAGGACATCCAACGAATCCACCACGCCGTCGCCGGCCACGTTGAATACGCCGTGCAGCCGTTTGGCTATCACCCGTTCTATCGCCCGGGCGAGGTCATGCTGGTGGAGGAACTGGAGCGGGAAGCTTCGTTTCCGGTTGGCCGTTACGGAAGGCAGCAGCAATTCGTCTGTCGCGGGGCTGGCATGAGAAGTGCTGACCGACATCGCCGTGCGCAGCACGACGACCTTCATTTCCTCGGTGGAGTCGCCATCCCGCGCCGCCGATGCCTGGTCGCTCGCCGCGTCCGAAAAGGACGGTTCGGCTTCGTCCAGATAGCGGTGTTGCCGAACGGGTTTTTTGTCCGTCTGCTCCGTGATGGGGATTGGAGTGTCCGAATTTACCCCGTAAACTCTCACGTCGGAAAGATATATGAACTGCCGCACGCCTGCGATGCGGGCCGCCCGCAGCCACAGTTGCGCGTCCGCGCAGAATTGCTCGGGGTTGGGCCCGTCGTAATAGCTCCCAACGTGTATCAGCGAATCCACCGCTTCCAGTTGCAACACGTCCGGCATGTCGGCAACGGTCAGTTCGTGTCCCTCCAGGAACATGTCCCACGCTTTCTCTTGCATGAAATCGGGAATGTCGGACATCGTGAGCATGCCGCTCACCCGATTCTGGGCCAGGCGGTAAGTGGAGATTCGCTCCACGGGCCAGCGCAACGGGCGCTCCGCAATCGCTACCAGCCAACAGTCCGGTCGCTCCTTTTCCAGGTGCAGCAACATCTGGGCTCCGAATCTGGATGCGGCGCCCACCACGCCGATGACCCGCGCAAACTCCGGTGTGGTTCCAGGTTCGGTGCTCATGTTTCAGCGCATTCCCATCGCCCGTGGTGGCAGCGGTGTCCCGGTTCCGATCCCATCTAGCGGTTATCCTGGAACATCTGCATCTCCGTCGCGACGGCGTCTTCCGGCAGAGGGGACGCGGCTCGCGGGCCGAAGTTGCGGGCCAGCACGAAAATTTTCGCCAGCCGCTCCACCAGATCACAGACTTCCAACGCCTCCCAGATGTCCGGCCCAACCCCCACGGCGCCGTGGTTGCGAAGGAGCGCGGCATTCCGGTCGCCCAACGCGGCGTAAGCCTGTTCGGCCAACTCCTGCGTTCCCGGGAAGGCATACTTGCTGACCTTGATCGGCCCCCCGATGGTCATCAGCATCTCGTCGATCAGCGGCGGTATGTCCAGCCCGATGACCGCCGCCACCGACGCATGGATGGAATGAGTATGTGCCACTGCCTGGACGTCTGGACGCCGCCGATATATCTCGAGATGCAGTCGGGTTTCGGACGATGGCCGCATCGGAGCCGGCTCCACCGGCTCGCCTTCCAGGTTCACCACCACCAACTCGTCCGCCTTGAGTCGATAGTAGGGATGATGCGTCGGGGTAACCAGCAGCAGGCTGTCATCTCCGGCGTCGGTCAGACGCAGGCTGGTGTTCCCCGAATACGCTCCGACCAGGCCTCGCCGGTACATTTCTCGGGTCGCCTCGGTGAGGTCGCTGCGCTGTTCAGACCATTGGTCGGCCACTCTTTTCCTCCGATGTATCTGCGGCGTTGCCGAAACTCGACATGACCGCTGCAGCGGCATTATATCCGCTGATGATGGCCCCCTCCATAGTCGAAGGCCATCCGGTGTCGGTCCATTCCCCGGCCAAAAAGAGGTTGGGTGCCACGGTGGTCGGGCCGGGTCGCATTCGCTGCGCGCCGGGAGTGCACCTGAATGTCGCGTTCCGCTGTTTCACCACCGTCGAGCCCACAAGCTGCGCGCGTCGAGCCCTGGGGAAGACGGACCGCATCTCTTCGGCAATACTTCCGGCCAGCTCCCCGCGCGGAAGGTCGATGTGATCCCATGCCGCGCTAATCGACACTGTCAACGACTGGCCATCGTCTAACGACGGGCCATCCTCCCGCCGGTCGGTCCCGCGAATTCGCGAACCGTTGAAGACCCATTGCAACGGGCTGTCCAGGAAGTAACAGAAATCTCCGTCCATCACCGTGCGGTCGTAATCCAGGTGCACGTTGACGATGGGCGAAGCTCGAAGCCCGCCAATCTCATTGAAAGGCGCTTTTTTTGCCAGATGGTCCGGGATCAGGTTGGGCAGAACCCAGAACGGCACTGCGCTCACGTAGGCATCCGCAGACATGACCTGGCCGGACGCCGTGACCAAACGCTGCACCAGCCCGTCCGCACCCGTTTCGATGCCCTGCGCCGTACAACCCAGTAGCGTCCGCACCCCGAGCCTGTCCAGGTAGGCTTCGCACGGTGCGCCTACAGCCTGGCCCAGGGGGGCCTTGGGATACCCGATGTTGGCGGTGCGCCGCCCGGTCAACAGACCATCCTGCACGATCATCAACCCCATCGCCGCGCTGACGTCGCGGATGTTGTCGTTTAGCGTCCCCTCGATGACGACGTTCCACAGGTTGTAGATGCCCCGTTCCGACTGGCCGTGGGCTCGTAGCCATTCGTAAAACGACATGGTTTCCAGCTCGTGCGCGGACCGGTTGGCGAACATCGCAGCGATCACCCCGCGCACCGCCTTGAGCTTGTCTCCGACGCTCAGGTGCCGGTAGGTGACTAACGCCGCAAGCAGGTGCCCCGGCGCGGGGCCGCCCAGACCATACAACTTTCCTTTGCGTCCCGACCCGTCATATACATCGACGTTCAGCCTTGGCTGTAGGTGCCAGAGGTCGCCAACGCCGATGCGTTCGAAGAAGGAAACGAGGTTGTGACACGCACCTACAATCACATGCTGCCCGTTGTCCAACTCGCGACCGCTTTCCCGGTCATCAAACGAAAAAGCCCGACCTCCCAACGAGGTTCGAGCCTCCAGCAACGTCACCTGCCAGCCGTATTCGGCCAGCCGGGCCGCCGCGGCGATCCCGGCCAATCCGCCGCCAATGACCAGCGCTGATGGTCTTCTATCGCCGCGACTGCCAGTCACTTCATCAATGGGACCCGTAAGCCAGGCCCGGGCCATCAGCGCCAGCTTCGCCCCTTTGCTCAGGCCGATCCGCTCGCGGAACACGTCGTATCCCGCGGCTTCGATCCTGTCGAGCACCCCGCCGTAAATGAGACCCAGAGCAGCGGGGCAGGCCCGGGATCTTGGTGAGAGGAGCGGCAGCAGGCTTCTGCCGCTGGCGAAATACTCCCGCGCCCGGTCGATCTGGAATTGCATCAGGCTGGCGAAACCGTCGGTCACGGCGTGATTCTCCAGGTCCGTTTCGGTAACGCCGAACCGTTCCAACTCGTCCTGCGGCAAATAGACCCTCCCGAATTCCCAGTCCTCGCGCACGTCTCGGCAGATATTGGTCAGTTGCATCGCCAGGCCCAGGTCGATTGCGCCCCGGTGTGCGTCCTCGCCTCCGCGATAACCGAAAATATGAACGCAAATCAGCCCCACCACCGATGCCACTTGGTAGCAGTAGGCGCGCAATTCGTCAAAATTCGCGTACCTGGTCTTTACCAGGTCGGACTCCACCCCGTTCAGCACCTCCTGGAAGTACTCCTCCGGGATGTTATGGGCTGCCGCCACATCGGCCAACCCGACGAACAGCGGTTGGTCGGCGTGCCCGGCGTATGCTGCGCCCAACCGGCTCCGCAGGTACTCAACGCGCTGCAACTTCTCCTCGTATGTGCCTTCGGCGTCGACCGAATCGTCACAATGCCGGCAGAACGTGTAAGCAACGTAGATTGCTCTCCTCTGCCGAGCCGGCAGCGTGAGGAAGGCGAAGTAAAAGTTGCGAGCCTCGCGCCGTGTCACCCGGCGGCACTCTTCGTAAGCCGCCGCCAACGCCTCGGGCGACGGTGAAGATGCGATGGGAGACGGGGTCGTCATCGGGTTAGTCTCGGGGGTTGGGCAGCCCGTATCCGATTCCCAGCCTGTTGCCCAGCCAGGCGGACGCCAATAACCACGCCTTCCGTCGGCTCGACAACGCGGGGCGCTCGCTCAAGACGTCGTAATCCTGCCGGCGTATGGCATCGAGCACGGCCACACCACCTCGGGTGAACAGGGCGACCGGCAACCGGGACCCTCTGTCCAGCGCGTCGACCAGGGGCGCGCCTTGTCGGAACATTCGCATTGCGATTTTGCATTCATATCGCAGCAATGCGCGGAATTCAGCGGTCGCCTCGCGGTTCGCGATTTCGCTTTCACTGACCCCGAACCGTTTCATATCGGAACGCGGCAGATAGACTCGGCCACGTTCCTGATAGTCGCGGTTCACGTCCTGCCAGAAGTTGGCCAGTTGCAGCGCGGTGCAGGTATGATCCGCCAGGAGTTGCCGCCTGCGATCCGAGTAACCGAACAGGTACAGGTACAGGTGCCCTACCGGGTTGGCGGAATATCGGCAGTATTCCACAACGTCGTCCAGCCTGTCGAACCGCCCGGTCCCCTGATCCATCAGATTGGCCTGAATCAACCGGTGGAACGGTTCCGAAGGAATCTCGAACGAAGCGACCGTATGCTGGACAGCAATGGAAATGGGATGCGTGGGCTCACCCGAGTAAATCGCTTCCAGCTCTTCCTCCCACCACGCCAATCGTTCGCGCCGGTGCGCCGTCACCGCTGCGTTGGGTCTGCCGACGGCGGCCGTTCCGGCTGGCGCCGTCGGCAGCGATTCGTCGCCCAGGTCGTCCACCATTCGGCACCACGCATAGATAGCATAGACGTGGGGCAGCTTGTCTCTGGGCGTGATCCAACCGCCGACGTTGAAATTCTCGTAATGGCCGCGCGCCAGTGTTTCGCAATACTGGTACGCTTCGCTCAACGTCACCGACTCTGTGGACGCCGTCACACATCCATCCTGGTCATGGGCGGTCTTCTTTTCGATGGTGGCTGACATGCTGATCGGCGCCCGGCGCGCACCTACTCTCCAACGATCTGGACCATCACCTCTCGCGGACGCGGGTGGTCCAATTCAATAAAAAATATGCTCTGCCACTGGCCAAAGGGTATCTTCCCGTCGATGAGCGGGATGGTTTCACTTGACCCCAACATTAGATGCTGGAGGTGAGCGTGCCCATTCGGCGATTCTTCTTCGGTCATGTTGACCGTTCGGACCGAGAAATCGTTGTGCCGATATTCGCCGAAGCGAGGACAAATCTTCTCCAAAAACCTCGTCATGTCCTCAATCAACAACGGTTCGTTCTCGTTGATGATCACGGCGGCAGTGGTGTGACGGGAGTACACCACCACAAACCCGTTGCTGACGCACGATTTTCCGACGCAGCCCTTCACCCAGTCGGTGATGTCGATGAATTCGGGGGCGCCGGTGGTGTCGACTTTCAGGGAAAAATGTTCGGTTTTCATGAGGTGCACTCTATGGTGGAGTGTGGGTAACGGAACAATTATCCAAGGATGGTTGAACAGCGACCCTCGGCTTGGACTGCCTGGTGACCGTTGCTCTGGGATTTCGCCCGCGAAACTCGTTGGGCCGTGCGCTGCCGATAGCGTGCTAAGGCTATCAGTGGCCAGGTGTTTCGATAAAGGTGATAGTTGATCATGAATCCCGCAGACAGCTCTTCGCCCTGGAACCCGCGTTCGCCGGGCTGTGGAACCCGGTCCACCCGTTCACCTTTCAGGTATCCGGGAAACCCCGTACCGGTGAAATACGGCTCGTCCCAGTTGCCCTCCGCAAGCTGTGTGTCCACCAAGTATGAAACGCCGCGGTGCGTGGCCTGGTCGTCGTCGTATCCGGCGGCTAACAGGGCCATGATAGCCCAGGCGGTTTGGGAAGCGGTGCTCGGCCCCACTCCGCGTTGCGCGGAATCTATGTACGACGCGCACGATTCACCCCAACCACCGTCCGGATTTTGGTGGTCAATCAGCCATTGTATCGCCCGACGTATGTAGGGCTGCTGCATGTTCTCACCCGCGGCCTCCAACCCCGGCAGAACAGCCCCCAATCCGTACACGTAGTTTACTCCCCATCGCCCGAACCAACTACCATCTTCTTCCTGCTCCCGCCGCAGGTAACGATACGCCTGTTGCAGAAAGCGTTGGTCGGTCTTGTACCCGAGTTTCGCGTACATTTCCAGGACATGCGCCGTGACGTCCGCGCTGGATGGATCAAGGAGTTCGCCGAAATCGCTGAACGTCAGGGCCGTCACGTAACCGTGATTGTTGTCTTTGTCGAACGACGCCCACCCGCCATCCTTGTTCTGCATCCCATGGATCCAAATCAGGGCGCGCGAAATCGCGTCTGCCCGCGATCGGTCCTCAGCGCCCGGTAATTTCCCCAGGCGCAGGGCCAGCACGACTTCCGCGGTATCGTCGATGTCCGGATAGCAGTTGTTGTGGAACTCGAAAGCCCAGCCGCCAGGCTGCAGCTGTGGCGCCTGGACCTGCCAGTCGCCGCCGACCAGTATCTGCTTGTCGACCAACCACCGTGTGGCGGATTCCAACATGGGATCAGTCGGCGGCAATCCGCTTTCGGCCAACCCCTGAACTATCAGGCAAGTATCCCACACCGGCGAGATGCAGCCCTGGATTGTCCAACCATCGCCCTTTTGGATGGAAAAACCGTCCAGGCCCTCGAAGCCGCGGGACATGGTCGGATGCTCGTTGTCGAAACCGCACACGCTCAGGGCGATGAGGCTGTACACCCAGGGCGGTTGGATTCCTCCCCAACTCCCGTCCTCTTCCTGGCGGTCCAGGATCCAGTCAATGACCTTACGCTCTGCGATTTTGCGCAGCGGGTTGAAAGGAATGCGGCTGTAGCTATTCTCGAACGCCTGCTCCGCCAAATGCACCAGCCTCGGCAGATTGAATCCGGGAGGCGACGGCACCGAATAATCGGTCCGGGAACGGCCCTCGGGAAACAGCTCGTCAATGGCGTGTTCCGGCGGAACGGGTCGAACCGGACGGCGCGACAGCACTATTGACAGCGGCACGATGCATCCCCTGGCCCAACTGGCAAAACGGTAGATGCTCAGGGGCGCCCAATCAGGAAGCAACATCAGCTCGGTGGGCAGACGAGGCGTGCCGTACCATTCCCATTGTCCGAACAGCGCGAGCCAAATGCGGGTGAACATCCGCGTGCGAGGCACTCCCCCCCGTTCCAGGACAAACTGTCGGGCCCGGCTCATGTGCTCTGCTTGCGGATCCTCACCGCACAGCTTCAGCGCAAAATAGCATTCCACGGTGGTCGACAGGTCACCGGGTGCGCCGTAGTAGATTGCCCACGACCCGTCGCGCAGCTGCTTGCTCAGCAGGTACTTCACAATGTGCCGCTCACGACCCGGGTTGTGATGACCCAGGAACCGGCACAACATCACGTACTCCGCTTCCATCGTGTTGTTCGATTCCAGCTCGGCCCACCAGTAGCCGGCCGCATCCTGGATCCGGCGGAAATACCCGTGGAGCCGCTCGACAGATTCGTCCAGTTCCTCGGGCGACGGCGCGTCGCCATGAACCGGGGACGCCTTGCCAGTTATTTCCTGGATAACCATGATGTTTGCCCTGCGAATCTTGAAACGCTAAATGTAACCGTAATCCCTGAACCATCGAACTGCTTTTTCCAGAGCCACCTCCACCGGGCTCTGGGGCAAACCCAGTTCAACCACCGCTTTTCTGCTGCTTGCGTACATCGGGTGCTTGGTGATTTTGATCGCTTCTACCGGAACCGCCGGCGAACGACGCAGCAGTGTTCCTTCAACGAATTCGTCGCAATATGCCGCCCCCAATATGGCCCAGTGCGGTATCCGAATGTTGGGTGCGCGCCGCCCGGTGATTTCCGAAAGCATGTCAAAAATCTCTTTCAGGGTGAGATTGCGACACCCAAGGATGTAGCGCTCGCCGGGAGTGCCTCGCTCCATGGCCAGTATGTGTCCTTCGGCAACATCTTCCACGTCTATCAGGTTCATGCCCGTCACGATGTAACCCGGAGCCCTACCGCGCGCGAAGAACAACGGGATCTGCCCGGTGGGCGTGGGTTTCACGTCCCACTCCCCCACCGGAGCGCAGGGGTTGACTACCACAACCTCCATTTCATCGTCGTTGGCCGCCAACGCGATTTGCTCGGTGGCATACTTGGACTGTTTATAATAGCCGATCAGCAAAGCCGGCCGAGGCGGCATCTCCTCCGTGCCCAGGTGCTCTGGATCCCGCGACCCGTTGCCGGATATTCCGATGGTGGCCACCGAGCTGGTGAAAACCACCCGACGCGCTCCGGCCCGACGCGCGGCGTCGAGCAGATTCACCGTCCCCACCACGTTCGAGCGGTACATTTCGCGTGGTCGCCGCGACCAGAAGGAGTAGATGGCCGCACAGTGATAGACGGTCTCGCAACCTTCGGCAGCCCGCCGTACCGAATCGCTGTCCAGCAAATCACCCGTTACTTGCGCCACTCCCGTGTTCCGGATTGCCAAATCATTGGCGTTGGGCCGGACCAGAGCCCGAACATCCTCTCCTCTGGCCCGTAGCGCCCGGGCCAGGTTTCCGCCGACAAAACCGGTGGCGCCTGTTACCAGCGTGGTCATCGGATCAACGGACCCATCCCGGCGGGTAGTACAGGCGGCGCTTCCAACAAGCCGGGTACGCAATGGGCCAGGCGGTTCTGTGCCACCCGTGCCATCCGGGCCAGCCGCAACAAACTCGCCACTCTCCCGGGATGCCTGGCTACGCCGCCCAGCACATTGACAAGCCCGTCACCGACGTCACCGAGGTAATCTGGCAACTCGTCCCCTGCGGTATCCAGCACCGCCCGGAGCGACGCGAACGGAATTCCGTAAGCGGCTGCCGTAGTCGCAGCCCAATAGTCTTCCATGTTGACCGTCATTGCTCCGGTCGCCGCGTGCAGTGCGGATTTGACCTTCGAGTTGGCTACAGCGCCAACCGTCACGGACGGGCCATGCACCACGCGGGTTTCGTGCCCGTCGGCCCATGCTTCCAGCCTATTGGCGATCCCTGGGTCGGCGGCAATGGGTTCCATACGTTCCGCGGACAGAAACACGTCGGCCAAGTGTAGGTCTCCGGTAAGGAGCTCCGGATCAGCGCCGCCGCAAAACCCGATCATGAGGATCGCCTCCGGCGATCGTGCCGCCAGGGCCGTGACGCTCGCCTCGGTGCTCTGTCTCCCGACTCCCGTGACGCGCGTCATCACGCCCTTACCCTGCGGGTCGAGTATCGCCCGGCGGACGCCGGCAATTTCCGTGGCCATGGGTGCAACTATGGCAAGCATAGGTATAACAATTGCGACCAACCTCAACCGGCCGGTCGACGTTCGTGTTATCGTCCCGATTGTCCGCCATTGAATGAACGCAGCGGACCAACTGCCCGTAATTGACTACCCGACGCTGATGCCACCTTTGTGCGCGGCGCCGGACTTGATGAGAGTGACCCATTCCCTGGGTTTGCCAATTGCATTAAATATGGTTGCTGATTCAAAACCGCAATGCATCATGCAGTTGTTGCAGCGGGGGTCTCTACCCACCCCGTATTTCTCTTCCCACAATTGGGGTTCGTAGAGTTCTTCGATGTCGGTGGCGTGTTCGTCCGCCAAGGGATAACAGGGCTTTCGCCATCCCATCACCGTGTAGGTGGGATTGGACCACGCGGTGCACTGGTATTCTCGCTCTCCCCGCAGGAAATTCAGGTACAGCGGGTTGTTATAAAACCGCATTCCTTGCGTGCGCGTTGGGTCCAGCAGGTCCCGGAACACGTTCCGGGACTCTTGCCGGGTGAGGAATAGATCCTTATCGGGAGCGTCTTCAAAGTCGTAACCTGGCGAGATCATCGAACCTTCGACGCCCAAGTCGCTGACGTAGCGGAACATCTCCCGCAAGTCCTCGACGTCGCTGTTCCGGAACACCGTCGTGTTCGTGCACACGCGATAACCCCGCTCCACCGCCATTTGTATCCCGTCTACCGCCCGCTTGAACACGCCGGCCCGTGCCACCGATTCATCGTGCTTTTCCTCCATCCCGTCCATGTGTATGACCCAGCAGAAATACTTGGATGGCGGGATCTTGTCCAGCATGCGCGGCAGCAACAGCGCGTTCGTGCAGCAGTAAACGAAGTACTTTTCGCCGATCAGGGTGTTGATTATCTCGTCAATCTTGGGATGGATCGTCGGTTCACCACCGGCGATGGACACGATGGGCGCGGCCGAATTGTGCACCGCGGCCAGAGCCTCTTCCACCGGCATCATCTGGTCCAGCACACCACGGTATTCACGGATCCGCCCACACCCGATGCAGGCCAAATTGCACATCTCCAGCGGTTCCAGCATGGTGACCAGCGGGAATCGCTTCCGGCCACGCAGTTTGTTCTTCAATATGTACCAGCCCATGCGCACGCCCAGTTCCATTGGGCGTTTGGCCGGCTTAATCGCCATGTGTGGGTCTTTGCGTGTCTGTACCATGCTCGGAATCTCCGTCGCCAATCGCCCGGTGTTATCAGAATAGACGGTACGCCATGAAGTCAATCAGATTTTTTGCGTCCTCTGTGGCCCAGGGTGGCAGCTCCAGCATCGCCAACGCCGCCCGCCCTTCCTCTGCGGTCACCTCGGTGAGTTCGTCGGTCTGCCGGTCGGCCCCCAGTTCATCAAGTATGTCCAAAACGCGGTTCACGTCGGGTTCGTCAAAGGCCTCTTGCGAGTACAACCGCAGCAGTTCCTCCCGATTGGCGCCGTCCGCGTGTTGGAAGGCGTAAACAATGGGGTAGCTCTTCTTGCGCTGGACGATATCGCTGTCGGTGGACTTTCCGGTAATTGCTTCGTCGCCCCAGATACCGAGGTAATCGTCCCTGATCTGGAATAACCGCCCGATGGCCCGGCCGAACTGAGCCACGTTCTCCATAGTTTCAGGATCGTCCGTCGCCATAGCCGCGCCAATCGCCATGCTGCTGCGGATCAACGCTCCCGTTTTCAGCGCGATCATGGCCAGATACTCGCCCGATTCGATAGTTTCGCGCCGCTCGAACTCCAGGTCGCGACACTGGCCTTCGATCATTTCGAGATAGCTTTGAGTGAGCAATTGCGAAACGCGAATGACGGTGTCGGGCGGCACACCACTCCCCACGCTGAGGGTGCTCAGGTCGCCCAGGGATTGCATTGCGTCTCCCGCCACCAGCGCCCGCTCCGTGCCCCACACCGCCCACACCGTGGGTTGGTGCCTGCGTTCCAGCCCCTGATCCTGGATGTCGTCGTGGACCAGCGAAAAGTTGTGGATCAGCTCCAACGCTGCCGCTGCCGGAGCGGCATGACGAGGGTCACCCTGAAGGGCGTCGCACGCGAACATGCACAGCGTGGGCCGCAGCGCTTTGCCTTGCGAGGCGGGCGTGGCCGACGCAGCGCCGGTCTCGTCCGACCAACCCAAATGGTACCGCAGCAACGTGTTGACCGCGTGATCTTCCAGTGGCGGTACTGCTGCTGCCAGTGCCTTTTCCAGGTACTCTCGGTACCGGTCAAACATGGCGGGCAAGCTCGGCGCACTTCTTTGCATCCCGTTGTTGCTTTGCCGACCCAACCGGGGAGCCTCCGCGGAGACTGTTGGTGTTGTACCCATTGACGAAGCCTGCCGTGCGATGAGGATAGCGGGGTAGGCGCGGCGCGGAGTTTCGGGGTAGGGCCCGTTCGATCCAAGGATGACAGAATCTAACCAACCCCAGCAATCATGTCAAGCAGCCCGAACCCGGCCGCCTTTCACCCGCGGCCGCGCTCCGGGCGACACGCTGGACCGCCGTAGACCCGGCTCACCGAGTCCTTGAACAGGTCATGGCGGTCCGGTTGCGACCGGATTCGCCCAAAACGCGACACTCCCGCACCAGCGGGAGTGTCGCAAGTTCGGAGGCAACGCCACCTCGGATATTCAGGCTAGTCCGCCGGCAACAGCCGGAACAATGCTGATTTCGTCACCGGACTTGATGCCGGTCCTCAACCCCTGGTCGAACCGGATATCCTCGCCGTTTACGTAAATGTTCACGAAATACCGCAGTTCGCCGTCTTCGTCCAGCAACCGCTCCTTGAAACCGGGATAGTCGCTCTCCAAACGGTCGATCATCTGCGATAGGTCGGCCACGTCCAGTTCAACTTTGGCCGCACCGCCGGTCATGCGACGCAGCGGGGTGGGAATGCGTACCGTTACGCCCATTGGTATTGTTCCTCCTGCAATGTTGGGATGCCGTTGCGCGTGCGCCGCTGCGGCATATTCGTTGCGGCTTCGGGCTTGGCAGCCACCGACCGGGTCAGCCCTCTATGACGTCTCCCGCGATGGGATCAACCCGTACGCCCGTGTTGCCAACCCAGTCCAGGCCGCGCTGGATCTCTTCATCGGAGCCTTCCAGCTCCAGAACCACCCAGCCGACATCCGATCTGACGTCCGCGCGCCTGATGTTGGTGACCAGGTCGAAGTCGTGCCCCAACCGGTAGATGACCGGCTCCCGTACCATCTCAGCCGAGAACGTGAACCGCACGCGCTGTTTCGCCATGGCCATCTACACCCGAGCCGCCATCCGATTTTCCAGCGCTTCCTCGAACGAGCCCATCATCGGTTTGATCAGCAGGGGATTGACCACCTCTTCCACGGCTTCCTGAGTTTTCAGGCCGTTGCCCGTGATGTAGGCCACCGCAAGTTCGTCGGCGCCAATTGCGCCGGTTTCCGCCAGGTACTTCAGCGCCGAAACGGTCACCCCGCCGGCGGTTTCCGTGAATATTCCCTCGGTCTCCGCCAGCAGTTTGATGCCTTCCACGACCTGGGATTCCGGCACTGCGTAGCCGCTCCCGCCCGACTCCCTGATGACGCGCAGGCTATAAATTCCCGTCCGCCGGATTGCCGATGGCTAACGACTTCGCGATGCTGTCCGGCCGCACGGGACGTATTTGATTCTGTTGGTTTTCCCATGCGGTGACGATCGGGCAGCAACCGGCGGCCTGGGCCATGTGCATCCGCGTGGTAACCGCCGGATGATGCACCGTGTTCTGGTCGGCTCCAAACGGCTGCGGAGCCACCCCGTCGAGCAGCCCCAGGCAAGCCAGCTCGTTGAACCCTTTCCAGATCTTTGTGAACATTGCCCCGGAAGCCGACGGCACCACCACGTGGTCCGGCACTCTCCAGCCCAACTGCTCAGCCACTTCGTACCCGAGGGTCTTGCTCCCTTCCGCGTAGTAGGGCCGCATGTTGATGTTTACGAACGCCCACGGGTAGTTGTCGCTCACCTCGCTGCACAGGCGGTTAACTTCGTCGTAAGTTCCTTCAACCGCCACCAGCGTCGGATTGTAGACTGCGGCGCCGATGACCTTGCCGCGCTCCAGGTCGGCGGGAATGAAAACCACCGCGTCGATCCCGGCTCGCGCCGCGTGAGCGGCAACGCTGCATGCCAGGTTCCCGGTGCTGGCGCAAGCCAGTGTATCGTAGCCGAATTCAACCGCCTTCGTCGCGGCTACCGACACCACCCGGTCCTTGAACGAGAACGACGGGTTCACGCTGTCGTTCTTGATGTACAGGTTGTTGAGGCCCAGCTTCTTGCCCAGGTTCCTGGCCTTGAGCAACGGCGTGTAACCCGCCATGATGTCCACGGGGTCGTCTGCCGACGCTGGCAAAAGGTCCTGGTACCGCCAGATGCTTATCGGGCCGTCGGTGATGCGCTTGTGAGTAACCACCTCGGAGATGGTCACATAGTCGTAAATGACCTCCAACGGGCCAAAGCAGAAGTCGCAAACGTTCAGGGGTTCGCCCGGGTATTCCCGGCCGCATTCCCGGCACTTTAATCCTTTGACAAACGCCACCGGATGTTACCTCCGTGGTTCCTGATGTACCCGTGCGCCGGTTAAAATAACCAACCGCCTGCATGGATCAAACACATACACCGGCCTCACATTGTGCCAGAGGACGCCCGGACTATCAACCGGGCACGCGCTCGGTAACCGTTCACACGTGGGGTAACGAATTGAGAGCGCGGATGTTGGCGGCACAATTATTCGACCGCGATCCGCCGGTTGTCAAACGCGTTTTACCGGCCATCGCCGACCAAGCGCTTTTCAACTCTGAACGGTTGACGGACAAGGCTGGAGTCGTTCTAGTCGCAACAACCCGCAGCGCAATATCTGGCGGGACTGGAACCCGCGAAATCATGGCGGAACAACGCTCAACCACGGGCGCCGTACTGCGCTGCAATCTGACCGACCCAGCCGGTTTTTCCAACCGGAATTCAGCGCAAGGAGGCCAGCCATTCGGCGATAGCCTGGCCGATCTCAACCGGGGAGTCCTCCTGGATGAAATGAAATCCTCTCACCGTTACCTCCCGCTGGTTGGGCCAGCCACGGCAGAACTCCCTCTGCGCGCCCGTCAGGATGGTGCCCGGGTCGGCGTTGATGAACAACTTGGGGACTTCGCTGCTCGACAACCATCGGGAATACTCATCGACGATCGTCACCACGTCGGCGGGATCGCCGCCCAAGGGAATCTGCCGCGGCCAGGTCAGGGTTGGACGCCGCGACTCTCCCGGTTCCAGGTACGGCCTGCGGTACACGTCCATCTCCGCGTCGGTTAGGCCGCGCATCACGCTGGCAGGAAGGATGCGCTCGACAAACACATTCTTCTCCAGGACGATGTCCTCCCCGGCCGGCGAGCGCATGGACTCGAACAGCGAACGCGACCGTTCCGGCCATTCGTCCCACGCCAGGGCGCGCACGATTGCTTCCATGTACACGATGCCCTTAACCCGGTCCCGGTGCCGTTGTGCCCAATGGAATGCCAAGGCAGAACCCCAGTCGTGGCAAACCAACGTGACGTTCTCGGTCAGGCCCACGGCATCGAACCAGGCGTCCAGATAACGCGCATGGTCAACCAATCGGTATGTCCCGTCCGGCGGCCGATCCGTATCACCCATTCCCAACAGGTCGGGGGCCAGGCAGCGCCCCATCTCAGCCACATGAGGAATTACGTTGCGCCACAGGTAGGAGGACGTGGGATTACCATGCAGGAACACGACGGGGTCTCCCGCACCCGTATCCACGGTGGCGAACTCCACGTCAAGAGCTTGCACCCGATGTCTCGGATAGGGATCGGTAGCGGAAATCCGGTTCTCTGCCATTTTCGCGTCCTCCTGCGTATCTCGCCTGTTCCATGTTATCAGTTGGCAACCGAACCCACAGGAACATACCGTCATGTCGGTGGTTCCGACCTGCTCGATGTAAACTTTTCCGTCCGATACGTTGGCTTCTTGGTCTCGGCTCGCCGGCTCATTGTGGGCGACCCCAACTGCTGATTGTCCAATGATATTCTTCTACGCAGAGACAGGAACCGGCAAGAACGCTTGACAAGGGACAGACGGACTACCAACCCGCAGCCGTCGCAGGTAAGCTCGCCCAACGGCTGGTGAATCTTCGCCGTTCATGGAGGTGACGTTGCGCTCGCCGGTTGAGCAGGAGATCAGAGATCTAATTCAACAGGATGGGCGAATTACATTCGCCCGGTTCGTGCAGGCTTGCCTGTATTCGCCCCGGGGAGGTTTTTACTCTGCTCGCGACAGCAGGATCAGCGCCCACTTCGGGACCTCTTCCAACAGTCACCCCGTTTTCGGCGCCCTTGATCGCGCGGCAACTGGAGCAGATGTGGGGCCTGCTGGGAAACCCTCCCGTTTTCCACGTGATTGAGGTCGGCGCCGGCGATGGCGTTTTGGCTCAGTCCATCGTTGATGTTTGCCGTCGGACGGCTCCGCGGTTCGCGGAGGCGCTCTACTATGTCGCCGCAGACTACGTGCCAGGACGGCCGCAAGCGCCTGGCCACCCTTTGGACGCGCCCGCCAGAATTGGAGATCGGGTGTCCTCAGGCGGGCATGACGCGATCTCGGATATCCAGCGCGTCAAAACCGAAGGACTTCGGGCATTCCGAAACGTTGCCGGCTGTATCCTGTGCAACGAGTTGATTGACAACTTCCCTTTCCACCGCTTCTCCATCCAGGGCGGAAAAGTCCGTGAAATCTTCGTCACCTCGGAGAGGGGAAATCTCACCGAAGTCCTGGACGAGCCATCCACCCCTCTCATCGAACAGAAGCTGACCAGCCTGGGCGTATTCTTGCCTGAAGGGTATCGCGGTGAGGTGAACCTGGCGATAGAGGACTGGATCGGCCAGATTGCCGGGGCCCTGGACCGCGGGTTCGTTCTCACCATCGACTACGGTCAGTTGGCCCACGACCTCTATTCACCCCGGAACTCCGAGGGTACCCTGGTCTGCTTCAGCAGGCACGCCGCCGACAATGACCCGTACCAGCATATCGGGCAACAGGACATTACCGCCCAGGTGGACTTCACGTCCCTGATGCGGGTGGGTGAGAGGCACGGCTTGGCCACGGTGGGCTACACCTTGCAGCGCCGGTTCCTCGCGAACCTGGGCTTCTTCTCGTTCCTCGATGCCCTCCCGATGCAGGGCCTGTCCGCGGCCCGAACGGAACTGAGCCGTATCGCCATGATGACCCTGGTGGACCCGAACGAGTACGGCGATTTCAAAGTGCTCGCCCAGGCTAAAGGTATCGGATCAGGCGTCGATCTCGTGGGGTTCGAGGGTCAGCAAAGGTAACCGGCATATCATTAGCAACCGGCATATCTTTGGGCTCGCTTGATACGCGCCGCCCGGAGATAGCCCCCGGAAGCAAGGGGAAAACGGCAAGAAATCGCCCCGGGTCTGCCGCTTCGTTTGTCGGCGGCACGGCCCGGGGCGACGGATCTGCTCCGTTGGGCTGAACTCTAGCTGGGATGCTTGCTGAACATCATGAAGCCGTTGCTGTCCGGCGTATTGCAGCCCGCGAGGGCAGTTTCGGCCTTGACCGTCACCTGCCGTGCGCCCGCTGTCCCCCGGAGCTGCTGAAGGCTATCCGCGTAGAGGACGGCGCGGTTGCGCCCGGTTCCATTATTGCCGCCGCTTGAAAGGAAGGGATGCGGACCTTCGACCCTGATGTCCTCAGCATAGAAGTCGTGGGCCTCTCCCCATTTGACACCGTGCCACTGGAAGCCTTCCAGGAACTGCTGCGTAAACGTGAGGTAGCCGTCATACGGGTTGAATATGTCAACTTCGTCGGGACCCAGCCCGGAACCTTCCCACATCTTCCGCGCCATGCTGGCGACGGCCTCCTGGTGCTCTTCCAGCGTTGCCATGGTGCTCCGGCCCCGGCCGCCGTTCTGGGCATGGTTGAGCACGTAAACCGGCTGTTGCCTCAGGTCTTTGGCGCGCTCGGCGGTGGTGAAGATGAAGGCCGCGCAGGTATTGACCGGCCGGTCGCAGTCATAAATGACCAGCGGTTCCTCGATCACGCGCCCGTTCAGGTAGTCCTCACGGGTGAGCTGATACGGCTCGTGCATCGCGTAATAACTCCATGGAGTCAGCAGTCCGTTCCGGCGCAGGTTCAGGCAGAGGGGAGCCAGCCCGTCGTGGGACTTGCCGTATTTTTTGCAGTACTGCTGGAAGATCACCAGGTTGTTGAACATCGCGCCGCTCTGGTAACCCCACGGAAGCGAAAAGGCGCTGTTCCCGGGAGCCTCCTCGCTATTATTCTGCGGATTGTTGTGCCCGTACCGGCCGGCGAGGTTCACCATCGGGTACCACACCAGGGCGGTCTCGCACAACCCGTCACCGACCGCCTGGGCGGCGAGCCCCATCATCGGGCCGATGTAGGGCGCATCGGATTTCAGATACTTGGCGTTTTTCAGCCCCAACTCCCGCTGCATCCAATCCGCGGAAGCGTAGGTCAGGCCGTCTTCGGTGTCGTAGGGCGGGTCAAAATAGGGGCGCGGCGCCCAGGTCTGCTCCGCGCGGGTCTCCGGGCTGGTAATAAGCCCATCGATGTCGTCCAGCGAGAGGCCGGCGTCCGCAATCGCCTTCAGGCAGGCTTCTTTGCTCAGGCCGCCGCAGCTCCGGTCCAGGCTCACGCCGTCCCAGCGCCGGTCCATGTGGGACTGACCCCAACCTACAACCGCGACCTTCCCCCGGTGCTCCCAGACTCCCAGTCCTTCCTGATTTCTCATCCAACCAGAGTCGCTAACCATCTCTGCTCCCTCATGCGCTCCGCGCTATTGACCGTTTCCGTAGGTTCCAACCGGTCTAGGTGACCACCTGCCATTCGTGGACCAACTGACCGGTACTCGTTTCTTCGAATATCAACTCCACCGGCGCTCCGACGGGAACTTCGCCCGGCGGGGTGCCCGGGAGGTTGGACAGGAAGTTGACTCCCGGGTCCTCGTCCAGGGTTATCACCGCAAAGTTGATGGGCTGCGCCGAGCGAAACCCCCTGATCCGGGAATCGCGTATCACCATGTACACGTCGATATGCCCCTTGCCCGGGACCTCTTTCCACTCCAGATTGTCGGCCGAGCCACACTGGTCGCACCGCTGGCTGGGAGGATAGTGCAGCCGCTGGCAGTCGGTGCAGTTCTGCAGGACCAACCGCCGCTCGTTACAGGCGTCCCAGAAGGGCTTGGTCAGATCAGTGGGTACGGGGGCCGGCCTCTCTAGGCCTGGTATCGTTGACATGGTTCTCCGCTCCTGTGGAATCTTGTGCACCGCGCCTTGCCGTTACCGGCACCGTCCAGCGTGGATTATAAGTAGCCCGCCTTTGCTGGTCAAAGTTGTTAGTCGCCTGTGGTGTAGTTCCCCGGTGTCCCCATCAAAGTCCCGAGCCAATATCATCATCAGCCTGTTTCAAGTTTAGGTCCGGATAAGCCGGTGGGACAGCGCGTACATGCGGAACGTGCATCTAATCCTGGTCCGCCATTCCGTTGATCCACGGCTCGGCGTGTCCGTCATCCATCCAGAGGAAGTGAAACCCCGCGGCCACGGCAAATTGGCGATCCATCTCCGTATCGCCGATATGGTAATACTCCTCGGCGGCAAAGCGGGACTTCACGTTCTCCAGGTCCTGCTTCGCCGATACGAAACTCACCTCGATGCCGTGTCGGTCCCAGATAGACTGCTGTACCGGAAGCGGGCGGTCGGATGCGCTGCCGATAATGCACCCGTGAGCCCGGGCTTTCCGCACCATGCCCATGGTGATGGGCCCCGGTGGGTCTCCCGCTTCCAGTGTCCCGTCTATATCGAAGCTGACTAGCGTTGCCAAGTATGGTCTCCCTTGATTTCATTGCGAGCGCAGCGCGGCAATCTCTGTTGATTGTATTCAGATGAGATTACCCAGATACCGAGCAGCCTGACCCAAGCTGGGGACACCCGCCTACGGCTCCCCGCCCACCACGGGGTCCGCCCACTGGACGATCCCCCGGGTCCCCAAGTCATCAATCTCCTGGTCGTCGTACCCGATTTCCCGGAGCAGGGGCCTAGTGTGCTGGCCAACCTGGATGGAGGTCCGGTAAGTCCCCGGGGTCAGGGAAAATTCAACCAACCCGCCGTAACGCCGATACTTTCCGACATACGGGTGCTCCACCTCAACGCTCAAAGCGTTAGCCCTGGCGTGGGGATGGTCCGCGTAAAAATCTCCCTCCAGGGCTTCGTCCGCGCGGACACAGCCTACGTCCGCCCCGATCAGCAACTCTTCCCATTCGGCAGCGGTACGCTGGGTGAAGATTGCCGAGATCTCAGCGACCAATGCTTCGTCGTTGACCTGTCGCGCTTCGGGAGTCGCGAAACGGCGATCGGCCGGCAAATCCGCCCGTTCCACGGTGCGGCAGAAGATTTCCCACTCGTCCTGGAACAGGCAGCCCAGGAACACCCACCCTTCCCGGCAGCGATAGAGACGGTACAGGGCGTGAAGGCCGTGAATGTCTGCGTCGGGCATGGCAATGGGCGGGCGGTTTGCGTGGTCGTAATACTCATCGGCATTGGTCCAGGCGTTGGCGTTGAGCATGGTGACCTGTACGGGCTGGCCCCTGCCCGTGAGAGCCCGCGCCCGCAGGCCCAGCATGACGGCAGTGGCCACAACCGGAGAGGTGTTTTGGTCCGGTCCCCAGTTGGATTTCATGGCCCAGCGGGTCGCCTCAACGGTTTCCTCAGCATCCATGACCTGTCCCGGAGGCGGCGGCATTCCTCGGCCCATCTGCCGCATCGCGCCGCCCATGATGGCGCCGGGAATCGGATGGGCGCCCGGCCTTCGCGCGTGCGGTCCGTGCTCCCCATAGGTGCCCATCCAGACGTGGATCATACGGGGATTGATCTTCCGGCAGGTCTCCCAATCGATCTGGAGACGCTCCGGAACGCCGAGGCGGAAGTTGTGCGCGAGCACGTCGGCCCTGGCGATCAGCTTGTGGATGATCTCCTTGCCCTCGGGCGTCTGAAGGTCGATCTGGATACCCTCCTTGCCAGCGTAGGTCCGGGCGTCGGCCATCGCCTGCGCCGTGGATCGGCGGCCCTCGTCCAGTCGCCGGTCGGTGGCGTCGACCTTGATCACCCGGGCTCCGAGGTCCGCCAAAAGCGCCGCGCCATAGGGCCCGGCCTGGATGGTCGCCAGGTCCAGAACGGTGATTCCCGACAAGGGGTGGGCCGCGACGTCCACGCCGTTCGCCTCGGGCGAGGCTGCGCTTACGGACGCGGACTGCTGGCGCAGGCGTCCCAGGACTTCAGCGTTGTGCTGTCCCACGTCCGGGGCCGGCCCGCTGGGCTCGCCCGGGGTATCCTTGAAGTCCACGAGGGGAGCCAGCGTCCGCATGGGGCCCACGCGGGGATCATCGATCGTTACCACCGTGCCGTTGGCGACCACCGCCGGATGATCCATGGCCTGGACGCTGTCGCGATAGGGCTCGGCGGCGATGTTGCCGTCCGCGAGATAAATCTCCATCCATTCGTCGGCGCTCTTCTCCAATTGCTTTTCCAGTATCTCCCGGCGCAGGAGTTCCTGGTTCTCGAAGTTGATGCCGGGAACTTTGGCGAACCGTTCGTCCTCGAGCAAGCCCTCGAGGCCAATGGCCTTGAGATGGCCCTGGATGTGCGGGACCCTCTGGTTGGCGTGTTGCAGCCACGTTCCGTCCCCGGTCCGCACCGGAACATATCCGATGGAGGAGAGGCCCCGGCCACGTGGCCTCGCGGGGAACCGCTCCGGGTCCCGGCGCCGGAGTTGCATGTTGACCAGTCCACCGTCGCCGACATTGTTGTCGTGGGGAGACGCCAGGGCCTGCACGATGCTGGTTTGGACCCATTGCCCACGCCCGCACTCGTCCCTGACGCGAAGGGCGCCAAGGATCCCGCGCACTGCGGCCTGGCTGGCGTGCCAGCTGCCGGTGTGCACTGCTGAATACACCGGGCCGTCCCGGTTGGGCTGTCCCTCCAGGTTGAGCATCCGGCCGGCTTTGGCCGCAACGACACCCTCGTACCCTTTTACCCGGCGAAGCGGACCCTTCTGCCCAAAACCCGTGATGGAGCAGTAGACCAGCCTCGGGTAAAGCTGCGACAGGGTGTCATAGTCCAACCCCCAGTCAGCCATGTCTCCGGGGCGAAAGGACTCCACCACGACATCAGCCTCGCCGGCCAGATGGATCACTTGCTCGCGACCTTCCGTAGTGCTGAGGTCCAGCACGATGCCTTTCTTGCCACGGTTCCATGAAATCCAGGCGGGTTGAAAACGGAAAGGATCTCCGCCGGGAGGTTCAACCTTGACCACCTCGGCGCCGTAGTCGGCCATTACCAGGGTGCACAGGGCTCCCGGCATCCCCATTGAGAAATCCAGGACGGTTAGGCCGGTACATGGTCCTGCCACGGTTCACCTCCCCCTCAGTTTCAGTTGCATGGATTCCCGTTTGGCCAGGCATCTGGCCCATCCCATCGTCGCACAACTGCTTTGCCGGCAAGTTCTCCTCGGGATCACCCGGTTGGCAACCCCGGCCGGCTGGCGAGGCCGAGTATGAAGGCCGCTGAAGATGCGCGTCAACCTCCGGCGTTTGCTACGTGCATATGAGAAGCGGGTCAAACGGAGTTGCCAGCAGCCAGGGTACTCGATGGGGGAATGGCCGGCGCGTGAACTGCGTGACGGCTCCGCGTTCTCCGTTCCGTGCCCGTGCCGACCGGCTGACGTGTACCCACTTGTCATCGCGAGGAGCGCAGCGACGTGGTGATCTCGTTGAATTGAGCGAGGATCCCTCCGGCGACGAGATTGCCACGCTGCGCTCGCAATGACCGACGGTGCAAAGCAGGTACGCATGAGACCGATGGGCGCTTGCCAAAATCGGTTGCGTTGCTCCGTCACTGCCACGTCGTGTCATTCCCGACGACGACAATTGCATGACCCTGTGGGTCCCCTGCCCGGCGCGTTGTTCGTCGCCGGAAATATTTGCTAGTCTGATGGACGACCAATCTCTGGACAGCGGCCCACACGTCTGCCTTACTCGCTCCATTCCGTCGCGTCGCGACACCCTCCTCGTTAACCAACCCAACATGGACGGCGGTATGCACCAATCTCGAATCACCAGCCAACAAATCCTTATCGTCGATCGGCTATCTGCAAATTTGAACGGTGCGCTGTGGCGGCTCATAGCGGATGAGCAGCAAAATGACGTGCTGGCTCCCGTTACGGTCGTAACCCCCACGCGATACGCCGGCCTGGCTCTGCGGCAGGAATTGGGACGCACCGGGTTTGCTAACGTGAGGTTTATGACGCTGCCCATCCTGTCGGAACTGCTTGGCGCGGCCGCCCTCGATCAACAGGGACGGAAACCGCTCACCACCGTGCTCGAAAACCTGGCGGTGCGGCGGGTGCTGGCCGACACCGACGGACCGTTGCAGGGCGTGCGGGAGCATCCCAGCACCCAGTCCAGCGTTCGGGCCGCGTTACGACAACTCCGCAACACCGACGAGACCATACGCTCCGCCCTGGCAGCCCGCGGCGGCATCGTCGGCGAGATGGCCCGCCTGCATGAGAGCTTTCGCGAGCTTGCCGGCCATGAGTGGTACGACGCCGAGGACCTGGCCGAGGCGGCGGCGGCAACGGTGAGCGCCGGCGCGGCCCCCGGACTCCCCGACTTGGGACTGATCGTCTTCCACCTCCCCCACGGGCTTTCGCCGGGCCAGACCAGGTTGATGGAGACTCTGGCCGAGCGCCACCGTTGCGCGGCTCTGCTGGGCACCACCGGCGACGATGATGCCAACGAGTCAACACGCGACTTGGCCGCCAGGTTGAGTCGCACGATGCCGCCACCAGCCCGCGCCACTACCGGCGCGGAGGAAATCCCTCTCCTCGCCGGCTCGGCCCAGTTGCACGTCGCACCCACCGCCCACGACGAACTGCGCTGGGTCATCCGGCAAATCATCCGAGAAATCAACGAGAACCGTACCCCATTGCACCGCATGGCCATCCTCTTCCGAATGGCTGATCCGTACGCTTCTTTGGTCCGCGACGAATTGCGCATGGCCGGGATTCCCATGGCTGGGCCAGATCGTGGGTCGTTGTCCGACACCGGGGTGGGCCGCGCTCTGAACGGACTTCTGGAGCTTTCGGGCAGCCAACTCCCGCGATCCGACGTTATGGCGTGGCTGAGCGGATGCCCGGTGGGGATCTCCGCCGGCGCGGGCCAGGGTTTCAGCCCCAGCCAGTGGGACGTGGTCACCAGGAAAGCGGGCATCGTCGTCGGCCGGCAGCAGTGGCGGGACCGACTCGATGCCCATGCCCAGCGTCTGAGCACGGATGCCGACCGGCGGGAAACCGACGGGGAAATCAGCGTCTCCCGCGCCCACGGCATGAGGTCCGAAGCGGCCGTTGCGCAAAGCATACGCGCCTTCATCGACAAACTCGCCGAGGACCTTGACCCGCCGCCCGAGGGTAGTTCCTGGCGAGAATTCGCGGCGTGGGCCAGCGGCCTTTTGGACCATTATCTGGCAACCGACTTGAGCGAATTGGACGACGCGGCCCTGGTAAGCGTGAGGAGGCTGCTGGACGAGTTCGCGGCGGCGGACAGCGTGCACCACGGCGCCACCCTGCCGGAGTTCCGCCAGATGGTCGGTGAGATGATGAATGCCCCAGTCGGACACCTGGGACCAACCGGGCAGGGAGTGTTCGTGTCCTCCTTCGCCGGCGCGGCCGGCATGAGCTTCGATGCAATCTGGCTGGTCGGCATGATCGAGGGCGCGGTCCCACCGGCTCCGCGCCGCGACCCGCTGTTGACTGAACCCGACTGGCTGGCGTCCGGCGGCCACAATCGCATCCAGGCTCGCATGGCGGAGGAACGCTACGAGTACCTCGCCGCCATCGCGTCAGCCCCTCGTCGCACGCTGACCTATCCCGTAGCCGACGGCGCGTCCCAAAGGCAGGCCTACCCGTCACGATGGTTCCTGGAACAGGCGTCGGGGTTGTCGGGCTCCCCGGTGCGGACCGGCGACCTCCCGACGTTACGCGGTTGCGATTGGCTCACCGTGGATGATTCGCCGGAACAGGCGGTTGCCAACGCCCAGGAGATTGGCCTGGGGGATCATCGAGATTTCCGGCTCAAGCGACTGCTGGAATGGCGGCGGCGCGGACATACCCTTGGCGACCATCCCTACGCCAGCCGGGCCCCCCTGGCGCGCGCGCTCCGACTGGCCCGGCGGCGATCCCTGCGCCAGCTCACCGAATTCGACGGGAACCTGTCGGGGATCGAGGAGAGCCAAAGGTTCCACATCGGACCCGGTGGAACGCCGATTTCGCCCACTGCACTGGAGACCTGGGCAACCTGCCCCTACCGGTATTTCCTGGCGCAGGTGCTGAGGCTCAGCGCCCTGGACACCCCCGAAGAAACATTCTCCATCAACGCTCTTGATCGCGGCACGTTGAGTCACGCTATCCTTGAGCGGTTCATGGGCGAGAGCGTGACGGGGGGCGATTTGCCATCACCCGGCGAACCGTGGGGCGCCGATGACCGGGACCGCCTGATGCGGATCGCCGCTCAGAGCTTCCGACACGCGGAAACCCAGGGCGTGACCGGCAAACGGTTGCTGTGGGACATGGTCAAAACCGAAGTCCTGTCCGACCTGGAGGCCTTCCTGGAAGCGGACGCCACATTGCGGGAAGCCAGCGGAACCACGGATGTTCGAGTGGAGACCAGAGTTTGGATTCGGCGGTGATACAACCGAGGTTGTTGACGACCAAACGGGGATCAGTTTCCGGGGAGTGATCGACCGCATCGACATCAGCGCCGACGAAAAAAACGTCCTGGTCGTCGATTACAAGACGGGCAGCGCGGACCCGTACCGGGGCCTGGACGACGATCCAATCGATCAGGGTCGCCGTCTCCAGTTGGGTGTGTATTCGCTGGCAGCCCGCGCGCGCTTCCCCGAGGCCGATACCGTGGCCGCCGCTTACTGGTTCAGCACCAACCGCGGCCGGTTCCAATTCGCCCCCACCGCGCCCTTCAACATCGCCGACGAGGGCGTCGCGGAACGGTTCCGTGAGGGTGTAGACAGCATCGTGGCCGGCATCAACGCTGGAATCTTCCCGGCGAATCCCGGGCCCCCGGGCCGCTACGGACCGTCCAACTGCCAGTATTGCGATTTCAATTCCGTGTGCCCAACCCGACGCAGCGAACTCTGGGAACGAAAGAAGTCCGATGCGATCCTGTCGGGCTACCTGCGACTTGCCGAAGCAGATGGGGAGAAGGACTGATGACATCAACGCAAGGGGCGACGCCGGACAGCCGGCTCGCGGGCTTCGTTCCTGTCGATGACGACGCCAGGCAAGCCATCGGCGATGACCTGGGCGCGACCCTGTTCGTAGAGGCCAGCGCCGGCACCGGCAAAACCACCAGCCTGGTCCGGAGAGTGACCAACCTGGTTGCCACCGGAACGACCACCCTGGACCGCATCGCCGCGATCACGTTCACGGAAGCCGCCGCCGCCGAGCTGAGGGATCGAATCCGGTCCAACCTCGAGGAGGCGTCTGTCGATGACCGACGCGGCGACGCCGAGCGCGACCGCTGCCGCCAGGGGATCGCCGACCTGGACCAGGCGGATATCCGCACCCTCCACGCTTTCGCTGGCGGACTGCTGCGCGAGCGCCCCCTCGAAGCGGGCTTGCCCCCGTCCTTCGAGACCAGCGACGAGATCGTCGCCAGCATCAAGTTCGAGGAAGAGTGGAGCGGATGGCTTGATCGCCATCTGGACGGTGAGACCGACCTGGCGGCTCCCCTCGCTCTGGCGCTGACGCTGGGATTGACGGTGACCCACCTGAGGACCATTGCCCGCGCATTCCATCAAAACTACAGCGACCTGTTGGCCGTCAGCTTCGACTTGGCAGTCAGCTTCGACGCGCCGCAGTCTCCGCCGCCGGCGGCCCTGGAGACTTTCCGTGAGTCCGTGACGGAACTGGAAAGGCTTTGCGCTTACTCCAAGAACGGCCCGGGTGATCGGCTGTACGACCATGTGATGGACAAACTGGCCGGGCTCCGCGGCCTGCCCGAAACCACCACCGACCAAGCGGAAGGTTACCGGCTATTGCTGGGCCTGCTTCCACTCCGACAAAGCCGTGGCAGTCAACGCGACTGGAACACTGACCCGGACACCGGCAAGAACGCCTGCGCCGTCCTGAAGGACATCCTGGGCAATTTGGATCAGGATGCCAACGAGGCTATTCAGCAGGCTCGCGAGGCGGTCTTGACGCCAATCCTGGAGGACCTGCGACAATTGGTGGTGGAATACGCCCGCAACCGTCGCGCCGCGGGCCGTGCGGAGTTTCACGATCTGCTGGTCTGGGCTCGCGAATTACTGCGGGACAACGCCCAGGTCCGTGACTACTTCCGCGACCGTTACACCCATCTGTTGATCGACGAGGCCCAGGACACCGACCCGATCCAGGCCGAAATTGCCATGCTGCTGGCCGAGCCCGCTCACTCCGGCGAGGCGGTTGCCAACGGCGACACCCGTTGGGATCAGATCAACCCCGAACCCGGCAAGCTGTTCGTCGTTGGTGATCCCAAGCAATCGATTTACAGCTTCCGCCGGGCCGACGTAGGGCAGATGAAACGCCTGCAATCTACCCTGGAGCAGTCCGGCGGACGAACCCTCAAACTGGTGCAGAATTTTCGCTCCCAAAAGCCGGTGATCGGGTGGGTCAACCGTCTTTTCGAGCAGTGGATGGAAAAGGGCAATACCGCCGGTGTCGATGACGGCAACGCCCAGGCTGCTTATGACGCAATGGCCGCGCTCTGGATCGGAGATACGGGAAATTCTTTCGCGCCCCGCGTGTGGGCGTTGGGCAACGAAGCCGTCGAAGCCGCGATTGGCGAGATCCGTCAGCTGGAAGCAACGGACATCGGCCTCCTGCTCCGGCAGATGGTTGCGGAACCGTGGGAGACCCTGGACCTGACCGCCACTGCGAACAGTGGTCGCGAGACCTACCGCCCGGTGCGCTATTCGGACGTGTGCATTCTGATGCCGCGCCGCACCGGCCTGGCGGCGTTGGAGCGCGGGTTGGAGGCGTTGGACATTCCCTTCCGGCTGGAAAGCGCATCCCTGGTGTTCGAGACCCAGGAGATCCGGGATCTGCTGAACTGCCTGAAGGCCATCGACGACCCGGCCGACCAGCTGGCCATCGTGGCTGCGCTGCGCTCCCCGGCTTTCGGGTGCAGCGACGTGGACCTGCTGCGACACCATTCCAAGGGTGGGAGTTTCGACTACCTCAGCAACACATCGCAGGGCCGCGGCGACGAAGCGGTGCTCGGCGGATTCGAAGCATTGCGGTCGTTCCACCGCGCCCGCCTGGATGATGCCACCGGAGCGCTGATCGACCGGTTCGTTCGCGAACGCGGGCTGATGGAAGCGGCCGTCGGCTACCCCAGGATGCGCGAGCAGTGGCGCCGCTACCGGTTCCTCATCGAGCAGGCGGGACGCTTCAACCGGGCCGGCGGCGGCACCCTGCGCGCCTTCCTACAGTGGGTGGACGACCAGATCAGCGGAGGGGCTCGCGTCACCGAGACGCCGGTTCCGGAATCGGATGAAGACGCGGTGCGGGTCATGACTATCCACGGCTCGAAAGGGCTTGAGTTCCCGGTGGTGATCCTCACCGGCATCAACTCGGCGCCGGCCCCGGGCGGCAATTCCGTCATCTTCGACCGGGCCAGCGGCAGGGTCGAAGTGGGTGTCGGTCCCGCCCGGGAAAGGTTTGCCACCTCCGGATTTGAAGAACTCGCCGAACTCGACAACCAAATGTCCGCGGCCGAGCACATACGCCTGATGTACGTGGCAACCACCAGGGCGAGGGATCACCTGGTATTGAGCATGCGCCGGCCGGCAAAGGGGGGAAAGACAACCGCCGCCGTTATCGCGGATTACATGGTGGACCACGACGATCTGTGGGATGCGGCGGAACTCAGCGCATCCGTCGCCCTCCCTGAAACTGGACCCGCTGGGGGCGGGGACCAACTCCCCGCCGTAGATGAAGCTCTGCATTCGACCGAACATTTGGATGAATGGGTGGAAGCTCGGCAGCGCACCATCGACGAATTCAGCCGACCGCGGTTCGTCGCCGCAACCGCCCTCTCTCGGGTGCACAAGGACGAGGAGCAAGAACCGGACAGTCCCGAACCCTGGCGCCGTGGCCGGGCGGGCACTTCAATCGGACGCGCCGTCCACGCGGTGTTGCAGTCCATAGACCTTGCCAGTGGCGAAGGGGTGGATCACCGAGCCCGCGCCCAGGCCGTCGCCGAGGGTGTCCCTGACCGCGAGGCCGAAATCGCCCGATTGACCGAAGTCGCCGTGCACAGCGACATCGTTCGCCGCGCCGTTGCATCGCAACGCATCTGGCGCGAAGTCCCGGTGGCGGCCCCGGTGGGTGACGGTTCGTTGCACGGCTTCATCGACCTGCTGTTCGAGGAGGAAGGCGGTCTGGTCGTCGTCGACTACAAGACCGACGCGGTCAGCGCGGAACAGCTGCCGGACATCATGGGGCGCTATCGTCTCCAGGGCGGAGCCTACGCCCACGCCATTGGCCAGATCACTGGGAAGCCGGTCAAGGAGGTGGTATTCCTTTACCTGCAGCCAAAGCGTGAAGTCGCACTCCCGGACCTTCCCGGTGCCATGAACGATGCCGCAGAAGCAGCCCGGTCGCTATTGGCAGCGGACGCGGTTTAAACCGCGTGGTCCCTGTGGGGCCTACCCTCCCGGTTCCCGCCTGGCATTCTGCCCAGCGATTGGCGATACGCCATAGCGGAAATAGGCATGAGGAACGTTCATGCTTCCGTCGTCGGCCCTGACCGGCCAACGAGCAGTCAACGTGACTCGTATTTCCAAGGCCGCGCGTTCTGGCCGCGCTCAGTCAAACGCGCCGGCAATGGCGCAGTCTTCCACCTCGTCATCGGACATGCCCAGCAGTTCCCGCAGCACGTAGGTCATGTCCGCCGCGAAAGCCGGCGCGCCCCGGGTAACGTTGCCCGGTGTGCGGGACAGCTTGTAGGGCGCGCTCTCAATGGTCCGGTATTCTCCCTGGTGGTCCGGGACACGCCGGAAGAAGCCCCGCTCTTTCAGCTGGGGGTCGCGCGACAGATCAGCACCGGTCTGGACCACCCCTGCGGAGATGCCTGCGGCCTGGCAGAGGCCCATCACGTCTTCCGCGTCGTGATTGATGGTCCAGGATTCCACGAAGGCGTCCAGCGCTTCGGCGTTGCGCCAACGGGCATCGCCGGTGGCGAACCGTTGGTCATCAGCCCATTGCGGGCTTCTCATGACGTCCACGAAGGCGCTCCATTCTTCGTCGGTGAAAACTGATATAGCCACCCATCGGTCCTCGCCCCGGCAGCGGTACGCGCCGTGGGGAGCGGCTCCGCCGTGCGGCAGGCGGTTGCCAGCTCGGGTAGAGGCCGCCGCAGATCCGTTGACGCTCATGTCCAGCACCAGGGTTTCCAGCACCGACGACATGGACTCGAACTGGGAAACGTCGAGCCACTGCCCGCGTCCGGTCCTAGACCGGTGAAGCAGGGCCAGCAGGACCGCCTGCGCTCCGGCCATCCCGCCCACGGCGTCGCTGTACGCGCTGGCCGGGCCGCTGGGGTCGGTATCGGGAAATCCGGTCAACTGGGTGAACCCCGACCAGGCCTGGAGGGTCTGGCCGTAGCTGACCCGGTCTTTCCACGGTCCGGTGCGGCCAAATCCGGACATGCTGAGCATGATTATGCTGGGATTGACGGGCGTTATGGAATCGTAATCCAGGCCCCATGAGGGCATCACCCGCCCGCTGAAGTTTTCCGCCACCACGTCGGACACCGCCACGAGCCGCTTGGCGATGTCGATGCCCTGGGGCGTCTTCATGTTCAGGGAAATGGACAGCTTGCCGGCGTTCCAGTTGTGGCGCTGCCCCAATCCCCGGGCCGTGGCCGACGCCGGGCCGCCGACGACCGAGAGGGCGTTGTTCGACTCGACCTTGATCACCTCCGCCCCCTGGTCGGAGAGTATCCGCGTGGCCGAGGGCCCGGCGTGGATCCACGTGAAGTCCAGCACGCGGATGCCCTGCAGCGCGAGAGCGGTCGGATGGGGGTCACCGTTCAAGTCCATTCAACCTCGCGCCGAAAGGTGTTCCATTTCTTCCGATGACAGACCCAGGATGCCGGAAAGAACCTCGGCGTTGTGTTCCCCCGGGGCCGGCGCCGTCCGGCGTACCGGGCTGGGGAACTCGGTCAGGCGATACGGGTCGCCCGGATAAACTATGGACGGCCCGCCATCGGCAGGCTCGACCGTCGTCAGGTACCCCCGGCCCCATAGTTGCTCGTTTTGCAGGATTTCGCCGGCCGTGGCGGCGGGACCCCACGGATGGTGGTTGGACTGGCCAAACTCGGTTATCTCCCGCCTGGTGTGAAGCCGGGCCCACTGCTGGATAAGGCCCTCGATATGGCCCGAGTGCTCGCCCCGCAGGACGAAGTGGTCGTTGTATTTTTCGTCCATCAGGTCGCCGGCCATGCCATCCCGGTCCATCCAGGCCCGCAGGTCATCCCACGCCTGCCGGGTGTTGGTCGTGATGCTGGCGTAGCCGTCTCGGCACGGCCAGGTGGCGATGAACTGGCCGCCGTGGCGGAACCCGCAACGCACCGCCGACTCGCCGGTGTAGTTGTAGGTTGTGTTGACGTGCTCGGTGGTGGCGGCCACCGCCTCCTGCATGGAAACGTCGATATACTGTCCGAGGCCGGTCATCGTGCGGTGATACAGGGCCAGCAGTATGGCGATGTAAGCGCGGTTCGAGGCCGTGTGGTATGCCTGCGACCCCCACAATCGGGTCGGCGGAGTATCGGGCCAGCCGGTCACGTACATGTACCCGCCCATTGCAAAGCCCACCAGGTCGGACGCCTTGAAATCGCGATAGGGTCCGGTCTGTCCGAAGGGCGTGACGGACGCGTACACCAGCCCGGGCGCGTCCGCCGCCAGGCTTTCGTAGCCCAAGCCCAGGGTATCCATGTGTCCGGGCGCGCCCGTCTCTAGCAGCACGTCGGAGGCGAGGGCAAGCTCGCGCAGCACCGCTTCCCCTTCGGATGAGCCTATGTCCAGGGTCACACTGCGCTTGTTGGTATTGAAGTGGAGCCAATACAGGCTGCGTCCCGGGCCGGGCCGCCTGTCAATGAAAGACCAATGTCGCGCATGGGGTCGCCGCCCGGCGGTTCGACCTTGATGACGTCGGCGCCCATGTCGGCCATCAACTTGCCGCAGTAGACGCCTATGGACCCGGCCAGGTCCAAAACCCGATAGCCGCTCAACGGCAGGGATGTACCGGAATTAGATTGTTCGTCAGGGGCGGTCATTTCAGTGGGGATTGTAGCATCGGCGGGGAGGATGGAATGCGAACCGATTGCCAGACTGGAAAAGTGTTCCGGCTGGTCATTCCGGCATGGTCGCCTCCAGCTTGTCCAGCAGACGTTCCACGTCGTCCAGCGCCTCAACAATGTCCTGGACCGCCATCTGGTTCTCGTAGAAGTTCTCGTGCAATATGCTCGCAGTTCCAAACAGGCGGTAGATGTCGCGGTCTCCCTTCTCGGCTCTGAGCCGACTGGCGATCTGGTGGAGGTGCCGGTGTCGGCGATGTTCCCAGCCGCGCGTATCGGCCACCGCTTTCATCATCTGGGCGGCAGCGTCCCAACCCTTCTCGGATGCCTGTTGCAGATCGCCCTGGTCCAACTCGGCGCGGCTTTGAGCCATCATGCTCCTGCTGCTGGCCTTGTAATCCACCGTGGTCGTCATGCTGCCTAACCTCGCACCGTAGCTGATTATCATTCTAATCGGTTGTAAGCCGGTACGCATCTGATTCATTGCCCTGCAACACCTTTGCATCCGTAGGTCGGCGTTCGCAACTGAGCGCAAAATCTAGCGCCCGGGTCCACACACAAGAAACCAACTCGCCGCGACTGGATTCGGGCAGGAGTTTGCGAACCATTCATTTGCTACAATGCGCCCCACCTGACCCACCCTTGTCCCGACGCAGCAAGGAGCCGACATGACCACACCGATTTACGATGCCGAGCGCCGCGATATTTCCATCGCCGTGGGCGGCGACGCCATGATCACCCGCCGGATGCGGGCCTTCGAGGAGCCCCGTTTCCTCAAGCTGGTGGAGGTTCTCCGGGCAGCCGACGTTTCCCTGGTAAACTTGGAGATGTTGTTCCACGACTACGAGAGCAGTTGGCAATGGAGCAGCGCCACCTATACCCGGTCCGACCCCCGCAACCTCGATGAGCTAAAGTGGATGGGCATCAACGCCGTGACCACCGCCAGCAACCACTCCTTCGACTTTTCCGAAGGCGGTTTCCTGACTACCCTGGAGCACTGCCAGGAGTTCGATCTGGCCCATGCCGGCGGTGGCCGCAGCCTGGACGAGGCCCGTGCGCCTGCCTACGTGGACTCGGCCCGCGGCCGGGTGGCAGTGATGGGCGCCACCAGCACCTTCAGCGAGCAGTCCCGGGCCGGCGCGGGCCGCCCCGATTTCGCCGGTCGACCGGGGGTTAACGCCCTGCGCCACGACATCGCCCACCACGTGCAGCAGGACGTGTTCGACGCGCTGCACCGGGCCAACCTGGAGCTGGGGTACGAAGAGGAGCACACCTCCTACCGCCACTTCGGCTTTCGGGGCGACGACGATGCGGCGGACCACAGCACCGAAATCGATTTCCTGGACCATAAATTCATCCTGGACGAGGAGTTCGCCGTCCGCACCGCTCTGAACGAGGACGACCGGCTGGGCATGGGCAACTGGATTCGGGGAGCGCAGAAGCAGTCGGACTGGCAGGTCTACGGGGTCCACTGCCACGAGAGCGGGCCCGACGGCGACTTTCACGGCCATTCGCGCGTTTCGCCACCCCACTTTCTGGTCGACTTTGCTCGCTGGACCATCGACCAGGGCTGCGCCGCCTTCGTGGGCCACGGCCCCCACTTCCTGCGCGGCATCGAGATTTACAAGAATCGCCCCATTTTCTACAGCTTGGGCAACTTTGTCTTCCAGAATGAAAGCGTCCTGTGGCTACCCCACGAGGCCTACCGCCGTTTCGGGCTGGACTTCAACAGCACGCCTGGCGATTACCTCGACACCCGCTCCGGCGGCGGCACCCGCGCCTTTGCCGCTGACCCGGTGTTCTGGCAGAGCGTGGTGGCCGTGTGCAACTACGCTGGCGGCGACCTCAAAGAGGTTGTCCTGTACCCCATAGACATGGGCTTTGGCCGTCCCATTCCCCAGCGCGGCCGCCCGGTGCTGGCGGAAGAACCAATCGCCCGCGAAACCTTACAGTGGCTGCAGGAAGTTTCCCGCCCCTTCGGCACCGAAATTTCCATCGAGGAAACGGACGGGGATGTGGTGGGGGTGATACGGGTTTAGCGGGGACAGGTATGCAATTCAAACGCCCGGGAACAATTTCCCGGGCGTTTCGTTTTGCTGACGGCCTCATGCGGCCAGCTGTGCCAGGCGCGTACCGGTGATTGAACCGGAGCCACCGGGCAATCGCATTTCATGGAGTATTGAACTGCACGAGGATGCCATCCGGGTCACAGACGTAGATGCTGCGGATGTCTCCGTCGGCGCCGGTGAAGGACTCGATGGGACCGGCCAGTTCAACGCCCTTGTTGAGCAGTTCCTCGGTCAGCGCCTTCACATCGGCCACGCCGAAGGAGATATGGCTGATGCCGACCATGTCCAGCTTGATGGGTTCCCCGTCGGGCTCATCGCCCGGGTGGCTGGTGAGGGTCAGCGTGGGCGTTGCCCCGTCACCGTAGGCAAGGCTGACCCAGCGTCGGGCCCGGCGCCGGTGCAGATAGTTGTGCAGGCGTCCGCTCTCCGTGGGGTCGGTCATGCGGTCACCCAGGACGGTCATTCCCAGTATGTCCCGATAGAACGCCAGGGACCGGTTCATGTCCCTTACGCAGATTCCGATGTGGGTAACGCAGGTTGCTTCCATGACATGGTCTCCTTGAAGTTGACGACGGCGCGGCCCGGAGCCGTTTTGCCGGGTGAGATGAACAGAACTCTATAGTTTCCTACGGGAATTACATACCTAACTATCTAGCATTGCCTTCGCCAAGTTGTGCATCGCTGAATGCTCCAGGTAATCCTCGTCCGTCATCCCCCACTTCTTTCTGCGATAGATTCTGCCGGGCGGGTTAGCGAGGTAGCGGAGGCAGGCAACGTTTTCTGCCCAGCCGGCTCGCGTTGTTGCTAACATCGCATTGCATCGGTTACAAAGAATCCCGCGAACAAAAACCGCGCCCAGCAAGCGCTCAACGTCGTGATCGTGGTCAGTATGCCAAACTGACCCGCCCGGGTCGGTTCCGCCGCAAACCGCGCAACTGCACCCTTGCTTCTCGAACAGGGCGCGCCAGTCGCCATCATCCATCCCGTACCCACCCAGAGTTTGGGCGAGGGGTATACCATCCTGCGGGCATCGGTGGCTGGCCTGCGGCATTTGTGCGTCTGGCAGGCAAGCATCGCAGTAACCCCCGTTCTGCTCTATTCTGGCCCGCCAATCATGAAGGTTGCATTTCCGGCATTGGGCATAATCTGGCTGCGGTATGATTGCGCGGTGCGCTTCCCGTTCCTGTTCGTAATTTGCCCGTCTCGCCTTTTTCTGCTCACGTCGCTCCCTGAGTTCTGTCTCGCAGGGTTTGCAACGACGCCTGTAACCGTCCGCCTGGGTAGAATGCCTGCCAAATTCGGCAACCGGCTTCACTGCTTTGCATCTTTTACAAGGTTTAAGCATTAGGTGTTGCACGGTCATGGTCCAATCCCTTGAAGCGAGTTGTGTGGCTAGGTCTGTGATTTTCGTTCCTAATCCATGGGCAATTTGTGGAGCCAACCCGGCTCCGATATGTCCAGGACCTGCCCGTTGGGACCCGACCACTTCTCCTCGGCCCGAGGCGGACGCGGTTCGCCGTCCCCCGCCACTTCCCGGCGGACAATTTCATTGCCGTCAATGTCGCGCAGCTTGGCTCCCGTATCCTCCAGGTTGTCGACCTGGAATCCGATGTGGTGAATGCCGCTGTAGTTCTCGCCGTTTGGGCCGACGTCGGCGTCCTCGTCGGTCTTCCACTTGAGAATGGTCAGGTTGATGTCGCCGTCGGAAAGCTGGACCTGCCGGGCATTGCGGGCGACTTCGAAGAGTTCGAAGCCTTCCTTGTAGAACTTTGCCACCGCGTCCGGGTCCTCGCAGGTGATGGCAATGTGCTTGATCTTGGCCATAATGGCACCCCCGAAACTGAAGTCGGGACATTATAGCCCGCATCCCGTGCACTGGAGCATCATCAATCTGGGCTCCTGACGCACCCCGCTTGCCCTGATGGTGAGCGCGTCGAACCACTCGGCGGTCGCGCTCGGCCCGGTCTCCTGAATGGCGACCGTTGCCGCGACGAGATTGCCACGTTGCTCTCGCAATGATAGTTTTGCCGCAGTTCGTCGTTGTCATGTGGGCAACGCTTCCTGCTTTTGAAGTTATCCCTGCAACCTGTGAGGTAGGTCATCCATGAGCGCAACCCGAACCCTGGCTCAGTTTATTGCCGACACCGACTTTGAGAACCTGCCGCCTGCGGTGGTGGAAGCGGCCAAAATTGCCATCCTGGACGGTGTGGCCAACATGGCCGCCGGTTCGGTGCAGGAACTGGCCGACATCATCGGCCGCTACGTGCGGGACGCCGGCGGCTCGCCGCAGGCTTCGGTGGTGGGCTGGGGCTACAAGACCAACCCCCCGGCCGCCGCCTTTGCCAACGGGGTCTTCGGCCACTGCCTGGACTACGAGATCCAGGGTTTCCCGCCCACCCATGGAACCTCATCGTGTCTACCGTCGGCCCTGGCGCTGGCGGAACACCACCACATCCCGGGCGAGCGGGTCATCACCGCCTATGTCTTGGGCTGGGAAATCCAAGGGCGGTTGCGGGCCGCCTCGGCGCCGGCCACCGCTCCCGCGTATCACCCGCCCGGCCTGGTGGGTCCCATGGGCGGCGCGGCGGCCTCCGCCAAGACCCTGGGCCTGGACGCTGATCAAACCCTGATGTCTCTGGGAATTGCGGCCTCGCGCACCGGCGGGCTCACCGCCAACACCGGCACCATGGTCAAGTCCACCCACCCGGGCAACGCCGCCCGCATGGGCGCCGAGGCGGCCATCCTGGCCGGCATGGGCTACACCGCCAGCGACGTGGCCCTGGAATCCCCGGTGGGTTACGCGGCCGCCCTGTTCGGTGGCGAGTTCGACTGGGACACCGCTACCGGCGGGCTGGGCGCGTCGTGGCGGTTGCTCGACCCGGGCTTTGACATCAAGCGGTTCCCCGCTCAAGTCTATATGCAGAACGCGATCGAGGCGGCGCTGAACCTGCGCGAACAAAACGGCCTGGCCGTCGCCGACATCGAGCAGGTGACCATCCACCGCCGTGGACGGGGTCATTCCGGACCGGTGCCTCGCAGCGGTTTGGACGGTAAGTTCAGCGTGGAGTACTGCGCCGCCGCCGCCATCCTGGACGGGCAGGTCGGTATCGACACTTTCACCGACGCCCGCCGTTTCTCGCCGGACATGGAGGAAATGCTGGGTCGCATGCGGGTGGAACCGGAAGGCCCCGAGTCGGGCGCCACACTCGCCACCGCGGCGCTCAAGGACGGGACCACGATCAGCGCCGAATGTTCTGCTTTCCGCGGGTCGGCGTCCAATCCCATGTCCCGGGATCAGCGCCTCGAAAAGGTGCGCGACTGCTTCCAGCGCGCTCTTTCCGAAGCCGATACCGAGCGCGTGCTGGAGATGCTGGAGAACCTGGAGCATGTCGACGACGTGAGCCAGTTGATGAGCGTGTTGGGTCAGGCGGCGGCCAGAGGCTGAGCCGTCAACGGCGGACGATGTCGGACCCGTCCGCCACCGCATACCCGACCTTTGCCGATGGGGACTCGGGCTCCGCGAGTTCCACCGCTCATGCCTTCGCCAGTGAAGCGCGGCAACATACCCCCGCTGGTACGGCGTCTCTTCCGCCAACCGGATTGTCGCCGTATGTGCGGCTTACTACCCGGTACGACGCGTTATAATCGCGGCCAACTTGGGCGGCTTGCGTAAAGTTCGCCGTCATCAATGCTCACAACACGCGCTTTCGGGAGGCAATCATGCTGGACTTGATCATCAAGGGCGGGACCGTGGTCACACCCGACGGCGTGGGCCTGAGGGACGTGGGCGTCCAGGGCGAGCAGATCGCGGCGGTGGCCGCGCCGGGAGTGCTAGACGACATCGGAGCCGGCGAGACCATCGACGCCACCGGCATGATCGTACTGCCCGGCGGTATCGAAGCCCATGCCCACATCAACGTGCCGGTGCCCGACTATTGGGCGGGCGGCGACGACGGCGTGTTCACCCAACCGCCCGAGGCGGCCAGCCGCGCCGCTGCCTTCGGAGGCGTCACCACCTACGTTGACTTCGCGGGGCGTTGCCCCTGACACCGGGCGCGGTGCCGCCGTCCGATCCCATCATGGCCCAGATCGAGACGCGCCGGGATACCTTCCGCGGCCACTCCTACACCGACTACACCTTCCACTACATCCTGGCCGGAGCCATCCCGCCCAGCACCATGGGCGAGATCGGCGAGGCGATCCAGTCCGGCGTCGCCAGCTTCAAGATCTTCACCACCTTCCATGCTCGGGTTCCAATGGGCCATCTCTGGGAGATCTTCCAGGAGGTCGGCAAACACGGCGGCATCATGGCCGTTCACGCCGAAGAGGACGACATCGTCACCTACATGGAGGAGAAGCTGGAACGCGAGGGCCGCGACCACGGGTCCAACCTGCACCTGGCGCACAACAACATCTCCGAGGACATCTCCTTCCGCAAGGTGATACGGCTGGCCCAGAAGACCGAGACGGGGATCTACTTCGTCCACACCACGGCCAAGGAGGGCGTGGCCGCCATCGCCGAGGCCCGCGGCGCTCAGCTGCCGGTGTACGGCGAGGCCCTGCACAACTACCTCCAGTTCACCTGCGACGACTACCTGGAACCCGACGGCCTGGCCATCCACACCTATCCGGCCATCAAGTTCTCCGACGACCGCGACGCGCTGCAGCAGGGGCTGGTGGACGGCCCGATCTGCACCACGGCCACCGACGAGTGGACCACCTACAAGAACATCAAACTGGCCGGCGACACCATCCGCACCCTGTGCGGCGGCCACAACGGCATCGAGACCCGCATGCCCGTCACCTACACCAAACTGGCGGCCAACGGGCGCATCGACCTGGAACGGTTCGCCGCCATCACCTCGACCAACGCCGCCAAGATCCTCGGGATGTACCCGCAGAAGGGCGCCATCGCGGTGGGCAGCGACGCCGACATCGTCCTCTTCGACCCCAACCTGAAGAAGACCATCACCGTTGATGAGCTGCACGCCGAATCCGACTACTCCATCTGGGACGGTTTCCAGTGCGAGGGCTACCCGGTGATGACGATGCTGCGCGGCAAGGTGATCGTCCGCGACGGGCAACTGCTGGGCAGCTCCGCCGATGGCCGCTGGCTCTCCCGCAAGGTTGCTCCCAGGGTAATTACGCAGACGTCGGTCTAGCCAATCTGACCTGCCGGAGGCCTCAGCGCGGGTTTACCGGCAGGCCCGTTTCCATCGACTGGTACGCGGCGAGTACCAGCGCGAGGTCGGCCATCCCTTCACGGCCGGTCATGGCCGGCTCTCGCCCCTCGATGATGCTGCTCCGGAACTCCCTAACCATGGGAACCAACCCATTGCCGTGATCTGCAAGTGTCGCGGTCGTTTCGGAGTCGGCGTCGGTTATCTTGAGCCACGGCCTCCCCGGCTCGAAGTACAGCGACGCCTCAGTTCCCGAGATGGACACCCACGAGTGCGGTTGCGGAGGGACAACGCTCCACGAGTGGTTGATCATCGCGACCACGCCACCGGCATCTCGGGTGATTACCACCGCCCCATCCTCAGCCTCCAGGCCCGGCTGCCCGGGCAGTATTTCGCGAGCGTAGACCTCGTTGGGCCGACCCACCAGGTATGCCACCGCACTCAGCTTGTGGATGCCGCCGTCGATCAGGACGCCGCCGCCGTTCAGGTCGGCCCGGGTGCGCCAACCGGCCGGCTTGAAGGGGTACTGTTCGTGCAACTGGATCAACCTGAGTTGCCCGACGCGGCCCGCATCGATCAGTTTCTTTGCTTCCTGCACCGGCGGCAGGAAGCGGTAGTTCTCCGCCACCATGAGGTTGACGTCCGCCGATTCGGCCTCCCGGATCATGGCCTCGGCGTCGGCCAAGGTCCCGGCAATCGGCTTCTCCACCAGCACGGGTTTGCCGGTTCGGAAGGCAAGCGACGCGTGCTCCCGGTGCAGGTGGTGCGGCGTGCACACGTACACCGCGTCCACCCTGGGGTCGGATACCGCGTCTTCGTAGCTCCCGAAAGCGTCCAACCCGCCGAACCGCGAGGCGTATTCCCTCGCCCGTCCCAGATCTCGGCTGGCAAAGTACAGGTCAATCTCCCCGCTCAAAGCGCTCACGGAGCGCGCGAACGCCGCCGCAAACGAGCCACAACCGAGAACACCCAGGCCCAGGCTCAATTGGACACCACCGACAAAAGACTTCACTTGATCCAGACCGCTACCGGCCGAGGTCGCCGGTAGGGTAGTTCAGAAGCCGCTGCAAATCTAGCGTGGCCGGTGGTTCGCCAAGATGATTCGATTGTCATCGTGGGGAATGGCACGCGACGGCGGCCGCGGGGTAGCGTAACGATTTTTGGTAAGAGCCCCTGCTACGGCAACGAGATTGCCGCGCTTCGCTCGCAATGACATTTTGGAAAATCGAACGACCCTGGGTGGTTCACGGTGGGCCGCCGTTTGACTCGCCGTCATCATCCCGCGTATCGTGCCGATTTTATCGACTTCGGGCGGGCAGAAGGCAAGGCCGACCGGGACGGGCATGGTTGTCGCAGTCGCCGCCGGCGTGGGAGCAGACGGTTGGCGCGCATCTCCAGCGCTCCGGTTTTTGTGGTCCTCCAGGACCGGAACTTCCGGTTGCTCTGGGCGGCCCGGTGGATCCACGAGACTTCCCGGCGCATGGAAATGCTCGTGCTGGGCTACTTGGTGCTGGAGCTGACCGACTCGGCATTCCAGGTTGGGCTGATCTCGGTAGTCCTGAACGGGCCGAGGCCGCCGCTGTCGCTGGTGGCCGGAATGCTGGCCGACCGGCTGGACCGGTGGCGCATCCTGGCTACCATCCACACTATCTACCTGCTCCTGGCTTCGTGCCTGCTGGTCCTGCTGATCCTGGAATCGATCGAGCCGTGGCACGTCTATGTTGTGGTGCTGGCGCAGGGAACAGCCAAGGTGCTGGACGATCCCACCCGTCGCGCCTCGCTGTTCGACCTCGCCGGCCAGGACCGCATCGCCCACGCCATGTCGCTGGAGACCATGACCAACAACGGCGGCAAGATACTGGGGCCGATTGCCGGCGGGCTACTGGTGGAGTTCTACGGGTTCGCCGGCGCGTTCATGGTGCTGGTCGCGCTGGACCTGATTTCGGCGCTGTTGATCTTCAGGATGAGATTGCCGGAGCGCTCCATGCTGATCGTGCGGGACACCGCCTTCTTTCAGGGCATCGTATCGGGTATCGGGCACTCTTTCTCCAATAAATTCGTGCTGGGGGTGCTGACCATTTCCCTGGTGATGAACGGCATGGTACTGCCGCTGCAGTACTTCATCCCGGTGGTCGCCACGGACGTGCTGAAAGTCGGGTACGCCCTGGGCGGGTTGCTGGGGTCGGCCGACGGCATCGGGGCGTTCGTGGGAGCAATCATCATCGCGACGCGGCGACGCTACCGTTTCCACGGCCGCTACTTTGCGTTCGGCGCGACCATCGTCGCCGTCGGTGTGGCGACCGTGGCGTGGTCGCCGTGGTTCCTGGTGTCGTTCCTGGTGCTGTTCGCCTCTGGAGTGGGTCAGTCGGGGTTCAGCACCATGCAGAGCACCATCCTGATGCTGTGCACCCCGGCGGAAATGCGGGGCAGGATCATGGGATCGCAGGGGTTCGTGAACGGCCTGGGGCACCTCATCGGCGGCGTGGAGATCGGGGCCATCGCCCAGACGTTCACCATCTCGGTAGCCATTGGGCTGAACGCCGGCGTGGGTCTGCTGTTGATGCTGCCGGTGATGCTGCTGACCCCGCTGGTGAAGAGGCAGGTGGAGATACACCAACCGTCAGCGTGAGCAGGTCAGCTCAACGTGGTGACGCACCTCGCCGGATCCGACTCCGCCAACACCGTGGGCCGGTGCCCAGTGTGCAGGTAGTCCGCGATCAGCTTGCCCGCCATCGGCCCGCGGCCAAATCCCGACGACGCCAGCCCGCTGACGACGTACAGGTCATCCAGCTGCGGTATCCTCCCGATTATCGGTTTGCCGTCCAGCGAGAAGGGCATCATGCCCGACCAGGTGCGGCTGATGGTCAGACCTGCCAGCATGGGCAGGATTTCGCTGGCGTGGCCGAAGTTCACCTCCACGCCGCCGGCGTCCACGGTGTAGTCGTAGCCGGCCAGCTCCCGGTCGCCCCCAAAGATTATCTCGCCGTCCCGGTTCTGCCGTCCGTACAGGTGTCGCGTGACCCGGCGGGAACCGGGGTGCGTGAGTTCGGGAGGCGTGTCGGCATCGCTACCCGGGCTGCGGCTCCAGTGCGCGTAGGATTCGGCCGAGGACAACGAGTAGAACACCCGCGGCGGCAGCGGCTGCGTCGCCCACATCTGTCCGCGCACGGGAACTATGGGTATGCGAAGCCCAAGCATCTCGCCCAGCGGCCCGCACCAGGCCCCCGCCGCAAGGACCAAGCGTTGCGCTTCGTGCGTTTCCCCCAGGCAGGCGACTCGGTAGGTTCCCCCGGTCGTCCTGCTGATCCCGATCACTTCCCGCCCGGTCAGGATGTTCGCTCCCCGTTCCGCCGCTGCGTCCGCAAAGGCACGGGTCGCCTTCTTGGGATCGGCCTGCCCTCTGAGGGGAAAGTGCATCGCGCCGGCCAACTCGGGGCTGAGCTCCGGTTCGATGCTCCGCGCTTCGTTCACCGTGAGCAGGTCCAGCGTGTAGCCACGGGACTTCAGCGCGAGCACCCGGTCCCTGGCGTAGACGTACTGCTCCTCGCTCTGGATCGCCTGGAGCCCGCCGGAAGCGCGAAACTCGATGTCGTAGCCCAAGTCCAGTTGGAGGCTTCGGAAAATCTGGAGGCTGCCCATGGTCAGGTACGATTCCAGGTCGGGCAGGTGCCCCCATCCCAGCGCGCCGATGCCGCCGGCGTTGACGCCCGACGCCTCGGAGGCGATCTCGCCCCTCTCCAGCAGCGTGACGCTTCGCCCGTGCGCTGCCAGGTGAAAGGCGGCGGACGCTCCCGCGATGCCCCCTCCGACTATGATGACTTCAACGTCAGTCATGGGTACCTCGTGCCGTTCTTTCCGCCGAACCTAACTTATATCCAATTCGCTTATCTGGCTGCGACCCCGGGCATTTATAGCCTGGTCGATGTCGGCCAGCCGTTGCCGGAGGATGGGCCAGGAGTTGGTCGTCAGGACCAGCACGCTGATATTGCGCACGGAGAAGTTCTGCTGGAAAGGCATCTGTCGGTCGGCGGCGACCAGCAGATCGTACCCGTCGGCTTCGGCCCGATCCGGCAGTTCGCCGTTGTGCAGCTCGTGCCACCCTCTCTCTGCGGCGGTGTCCGTATCGTGACCTGGAAGATTATTCTTGAGAGGCCGGGGCACGCTGTGGTCCAGCAGTGTCCTCATGAACAGGTCCGCCTGCCAACGATTGGATCTGATGGGTCAAGACCGCATCAACCTGAACGCGTGTCACGTAAGGGAACCAATCCATGAACTCGTCGATGGTGGCTCCGGATTTCAGGTTGTTGAACAGTGCGCTGACCGGGACCCTGGTGCCCTTGAATATCCACGATCCGCTGACCTTGCCCGGAGTACTCTCGATGGCCGCGCACGTGCTCCAGTCGTTCATGATCTTCACCTGCGTTGGTCGGTTCGGTGATTGGTATTTTACATCGACACGGCGTGGCTTACCTGTGCAGCGCCGGCTTCGTAGCCGAAAGTAAACACGCCGAGGGTACCGTCCGGACCGGCAATCACGCCTCGTAGCACGCGACCCAATGGCCCGCGGCCCGTTCTTCCATCGGAGGATGCGGGTTGTCCCGGCAGAAGTCGGTGCCGATCGGACAGCGGTCGTAGAAGCGGCATCTCGCCGGCGGATCTATCGGCAGGGTCAAGTCTCCCCGTATGTCGGGGCGATCGCGCCGGTATGTGGGATCGGGCACGGGCACGGCCGAGAGCAGCGCCCTGGTGTACGGATGCAGCGGGTTGCGCAGCAGCTCCTCGGTTTCCGCCAGCTCGATGATCTTGCCCAGGTACATGACTGCGATGCGGTGGCACATGTAGCGGGCCACCGCCAGGTCGTGGGTGATGTACAGGTAGGCGATGCCCAGTCGCGCCGCTAGTTCCTGCATCAGCAACATGATGCCCGTTCGGCTGGAAACGTCCAGCATGGACGTCGGCTCGTCGGCCACCACGAAGGACGGGCCGATGACCAGGGCGCGGGCGATGGCTACGCGTTGACGCTGCCCTCCCGAAAGCTCGTGGGGGTGCCGGAACAGGAATGACGATGCTGGCGTCAGGCCCACCTGGGTCAGGATTTCCGTCACGCGGTCCACCCGGTCCATCAGGCTGCCGATCCCCTGCACCGCCAGCGGCTCGGCGATGGTGTCGTATATGGTACGCCGGGGATTCATCGACTCGTACGGGTCCTGGAAGATCATCTGCGCCTGCCGGCGGAAGGCGCGCAACTGGCCCCAACGTATCGCGGCGGCGTCCACCGGCTGGCCCGACCCGCCGTGCGCATCCCCCGCCGGGAAGCGGAAGCGTATCTCGCCGGAGGTGGGTTCCAGCAACTTCACCAGCAGCTTGCCCACCGTCGTCTTGCCGCAGCCCGACTCGCCCACCAACCCCAGGCTCTTGCCGGGCGCGAGGCGGAACGACACGTCGTCCACGGCGTGGATGAAGCTGGACGGCTGGCGGAACAGGTTCTTCGTCACCGGGAACCGCTTGGTCAATCCCGCCACCGCGACCAGCGCCTCCCCGTTGCCGTCCAGCCGTCCGTCTATCGACGCGGTCCCGCTGTCAGCAAGCATCGCGGCTCACATCGCTTGATGCTGCCAGGTCCAGGGGATGCCAGCAGGCGGCCCAGTGGTCTCCTCGATTTGCCCGGGCCGGAAATTCGGTCCGGCAGGTGTCGTCTGCGTACTGGCACCGGGGATGGAACGGACATCCCGAGGGCGGGTCGATCAAGTTGGGCGGTTCACCCGCGAGGTTCCGCAGGGGCAACCTCTCGCCGTGCACGCTGGGAAACGACGACATCAGCGCCGCCGTGTACGGATGCATCGGCGACCGGAACACATCGGCGGTGTCGCCCAGCTCCACCAGTCGCCCGGCGTACATCACGCCGATCCGGTCAGTAACCTCGGCCACCACGCCGATGTCGTGGCTGATGTATATCATGCCCATCCGCAGTTCCTGTTGAACGAGCTTCAACTCGCGCAGGATGCGGTCCTGCACGATGACGTCCAGGGCGGTGGTCGGCTCGTCGGCGATGATCAGGTCCGGATCGCACGACAGCGCCATCGCGATCACCGCCCGCTGCCGCATCCCGCCGCTGAACTCGTGGGGATACCGGTCCATCAGCTGCGGGTCCAGCCCCACCATGCGGAACAGGCGCGCCACCCGCTCCCGGGCATCCGACAGCGTCGTTTCCATGCCGTGGGCCTCGATCGCCTCGATGACCTGCTGCCCGACCCGATGCACCGGGTCCAGGGAGTTCATGGCCGCCTGGAACACCATCGCAATGCGCCTCCAGCGATAGCGCCGCATCTCCTCGTCGGACAGTCGCAGCAGGTCCGTTCCACCGAGCCTGATCTGGCCTCCGGCCAGCCGTGCGTTTTCCGGAAGCAAGCCCATGAGACTGTTGGCCACCGATGTCTTGCCGCAGCCCGACTCCCCCACCAATCCCAGCGATTGCCCCTGCCCCAACTCGAAGCTGACGCCCTCCACCGCCTGTACCTCGCCCTGCCGGGTCTGGTAACGCACGGAGAGATCAATGACCTCCAGGACGAGTTCGGCGTTGGCTTTTATCGTAAGCGGATTAGGTCGGAACAGCCTAGCGCCTCCAATTTGTCGCCGCAAGTGAAGCGTGGCAATCTCGTCAATCGCAGCAAATCAGGCGGTGAATTGAGTCATCAAATCTACACGGGCTTGTAGTTCGTCACCCGCCAGGTTCACCAAGTTCTGTTCTTTCAGGTAGTTTAAATCACGTGCGAGGGTTTTTGGGGTTACGTCCCTGTAAAGTCTTGCGAGAGGGTCTAATCCTGAACGCAACGCTTTCACAGAGACTGGTCGGCTGGCTAACTCAGTAAGCAATTGCAATTGCCTCTGCCCCGCCGGATTGCCGAGCTTGCCGGCGTCGGCCAGGGTACGACGCGCATAGTCTCGAAAGGCCAATACCCTAACCTCTTCCAGCACTTCGTTATGAACAGCCTGAAGCTCTTGCACCAATCCTTTGAGTGCAAATGAAGCGAATGGAGTCAGATCTGACCCTCCCCGCATTTGTATATCGTTCAAATGGTATATGTACTCGTCACGGTGCTGATAATAATAATTGGCAAGCGAATAATATCCGCGAACGTTTACCCCGGCTTTGTAAAGAAGAAAACTTTCTACGGCTCTCGACGTACGCCCATTGCCGTCTCCAAATGGATGGATGCTCACTACGTAAAAATGCGCAATTATTGCCCTCAGCACCGGGTCCCAAGTGCTCGGAAGCCCCGTATTAAACCAGGTGAAGAACGCGGTCATCAGGTCTTGAACCTCCTCCCGAGTCGAGGGAGGCCGATAAGGACCTACATTCACCGCGTGGCTTCGATATCTACCGGGTTCGTTGTGCTCATAATTGATTTCAGCAGTGAGGATCTCGTGGAATTGCAGCAACAAAGGTTCTGTCAGCGAGGCATCGGGGCGATTCTTCATGTACCCGCCAACGAACTGCATCAACGTATTCGCGTTGCGCGCTTCCTGTTCCTCACGCTCACGGTCAGGCCCGAGTACTGAGATGTTGATTGGGGACCCCACAATTTGGCTGACTTCTTCCTCGGAAAGTTCAGTACCTTCGATTCCGGTAGTCCCGCGAACTGCCCTCATGATGTTGAGCTGGTCTAGACGTTGCTGTACCGGTGGCGGAATAGGAATACCTCTGATCACGCTTGCCAAGGCGTGAATTTTAGCCAAATCCTCTACAATGTTCTGCGCGCTGGTCGCCAGGCGCAAGTCGAAATTAACGTCCCAGCTCGGCATATTGAGCACCTCGCAACATGGACAGAAAACCAGTCAATGTCCAAATAATATTTAGTAGGGAGTATACTCAAAATTTACGGACACTTCAACGGCCAATGTCCATTTTACGGAGCCTCTGTCAGCTGGCGCGACTTGATGATGGCGTCACCCATGGTGCCGCCGCAGCCTGGGGTTGACCACCTCGTCCAGCGCGCGCCCCACCAGGTAGAACGCGCTGCACAGGAAGGTGATCGACGCGCTGGCTGGTACGATGAGCCACCAGTACCTGGTTCCACCCAGCAGGTAACCCCCGGTGTTCGCCGTGTGGATCATGATCCCCCAGCTCATCCTCAGGTCCAGCAGGCCCAGGAAGGAGAGCACGGCCTCCGCGAAGATCGCTCCCGTCACGGTGAACATCATGTACAGCAGCGACAGAGGCAGCAGGTTGGGGATGATGTGCACGAAGATGATGTGAAAGTGCCCGCCGCCGGCCACCCGCGCCGCCTCGATGTAGGGCTTCACGCGGATGCTCAACGCCTGCGACTTGAGGATGATGGCGGTGCCGCCAAACCCTCCCAGCAGTCCGATGATCAACGCCAGGTAGAATAGGTTCAGCTTGAACAGCGCGCTCAGCACGATCAGCAGCGAAATGCCCGGCAGGGCGATGATCAGGTCGGCCAGGCGCATGAACAGCGCGTCCACCAGCCCGCCGTAGTAGGCGGCAACCGCGCCCACCGTGGTGGCGATGCCCACGGTGACCAGGGCCGCGGTTATGCCGAGCACAAATTCCGAGCGGGTGCTGGACAGCAACTGGCTGAGCACATCCCTCCCCAGGGGGTCGGTGCCCAGCGGATGCTTCCAGTTCGGCGGCGACGGGTGCTCGAAACGGTCGAAGGCGTACCCCGTCACCGGGTCGTACACCTCGGCGTCCCACACGGTGACCATGAGTATGGGGTGCGAAATCGCCATCAGCGCGAACAGGACGATGGTCGCCAGCGACAGCAACCCGATGCGGCTCTCCACGAAGATGGCCCAGCCACTCCGAAACGACCGCAGCGCCAGCCTTGCCCGGGCCATCGCCATCTGCGAACGGCCTGGGTGCAGGTCAACGAACGGAGGCTCGGGAATCCCCGGCGGTTCGCCGATGACGGCGTGCTGGTCGTGATGCGGGTTGATCACTGGTAGCGGATCCGCGGGTCGAGGTACACGTACAGCACGTCCACGATGACGTGAGCCAGCAGCGAAAACAACCCGATGAACATCATGGCCCCCATGACCAGGGGCAGGTCCTCGGACCGCACCGCATCGAGCAGGGTCATGCCGGTGCCGGGCCAGGAGAACACCGCTTCGATAATCACGCTGCCATCAATCGCGAAGATCAGGCTGTAAACCAGGCTGGTGACCACCGGGAGCAGCGCGTTGCGTGCGGCGTGCCGGTCCCGCACTACCTTTTCGGGCAGCCCCTTGGCCCGCGCCGCCATCACGTAGTCCTCGCGCATCGTTTCCAACATGCTGTTCCGCGTCAGCAGCATGGTGCCGGCGAACGAAATCAGCGTCAGCGTGACGATGGGCAGGATCATGTGCCGGAGGATGTCCAGCGCCAGGTATCCGAGATCGGAAAACGCCCACGCCACTGGGATCGCCAGCGCCCCAGCCACGATTACCGGCGCCACCCACGGCGCGCGCCCGATGCGGCCGGACCGCCTGAACAAGAACAGGACCAGAAACGCGAAGACGACGAAGGCGGCCGCCGTCACCAGCATGTAGCTGAACACATGGTTGGCGCTGACCTCCGCGCCCCGCCACACCAACGGGTCCAGGAACTTCCCCACCGGCAACCATCCCAGTTTGAACGCGAATATCCAGATCATCATTAGCCCGAACGCCGGCGTGAACGCCGTGAACAAGGTTGCGCCCGAGATGGTCGCCGCATACTCCAGCACGCCGCCCCGGCGCCACGCGATGGCCTTGCCCAGGAAGAACCCGATGTAGAAGGACGCCGCCGTCGCGGTCAGAAACAGCACTGCCGTGCGGGGCAGCCTTTCCGCCAGCACCTCGATCACCGGCCGGGGGAAATGCCCGAAGGACACGCCAAAGTTCCCGGTGAAGGTGTTCTTCATGTGGATGAGGTACTGCTCCCACAGCGGCTTGTCCAGCCCGAAGGACTCCTTGATCTGCGCCCTGACCTCCGCGGGCAGGTCGGGATTAAGCGCGTAGAAGGTGGCGTAGTCCCCGGGCTGCGCCTGCACCAGGAAAAACGTCAGCGTGACGATCAGGAACAGCGTCAGCACCATCTGGCCGGCCCGTTTCGCCAGGTAATTCGTCATCGCAGCCGGCTCCTGGTGTCACCCTTGTGTCTATCGCTCACGCTACTCACCGCGTGTCGCACGCCGGCCGCGCCGCAATCCGTGGCCGCCCCGAGACCGCCGTGGAACCAAACCGCCCGACGGCTGTACCGACCCACTACTTGAACTGAACCAGCGTCGTCAGGCCCGAGGCATTCTGCAGGCCGCCCAGGGAGCGCGTGTACGGGTAGTCGACCTGGTCGCTCCGGTAGGCTTCCACCAGCGGCGTATCGAACAACGGAACGTAGGGCAGGTCCTCCGCGAGGAACGCCTGCAATTCAAACACCAGATCGCGCGCCGCCTCAACGTCCGTCTCTGCCAGTAGCTCGTCGGCCAGCCGGTCGAACTCCGGATTGTCGTAGCCGCCGGGGTTGTGCCCCTCCAGTCCGGAGTGCCGGCTGTGGAAGAACGACTCCAGGTAGTCCGGGTACAGGCTCAGGCCCCAGCCCAGGATCCACATATCGAAGTCCTGCTGGTCGAACACCTTTTCCACGATCAGGTTGAAACCGGTGAGGTCTGCGTGCACCGGGATGCCTACCTCGTTCAGCCATCGCTCAATCCAGATGGCGAACGTCGACCGCAGCGGGTCGTAGCCGGGGCTCGGCGCCAGGATGCTTATGGCCGGCATCGGCTGGCCGTTGGGCATTTTCAGACCCTCGCCCCGCTGCTCCACGAACCTGCCGTCCTCGCTCACCCGGGGCTCGGTTTCCCAGGTGAACCCCGCGCCCTTGAGCAGCTCGACGGTCCGCGCAATCCGTTCTCCGCGGGTCATATCCTTTCCAATCTGGGGAACATGGGGGTTGTACCAGGCTCGGTTGCCTTCGGGCACCATGGCGTACATCGGGAACGCCACGCCCTGCAGCACCGTCTGCGAGATGAACTCCTTGTCGATCAGCGTCGCTACCGCCTGGCGAAAGGCCTGATTGTCCATCGGCTCCTTGCGGAAGTTGAACCCCAGGTATCGGACGCCGTCCGACGGATTCTCGATCACCGCCAGTCCGTCCTCACCCTCCAACTGCTTCTGCAACCCCCGGGACAGCCCCAGGGGGTTCAGCATGAAATCAATGTCTCCTTTCTTCAGCGCCAGAACCGTGGCGTCCTGGCTGCCGTATATCGAGTAGATTGTGCTCTCCGCGTACGGCCCCACCGTGTACTCCAGCGCTTTTTCGCCGCCGGTCTCCCCGTAAGCGGCGAATTCGTAGACGCCCGACTTTGCCTCGGCGTACCCACCACTGGCGTATTCGGTAACCACGGAGTCGCTGAAGAAATAGCGGGAGTTCCTTGCCTTCTCCGCAAAAGCGCCGCGCTCCCACTTCTGGAACCCGTAGCCGCCGGCGGTGGGTTCGTTCTCGGGGACATGGGCGAACAGTGCCTTCTGCTGCTCGGTGACCTCGGCCCCTTGCCTGGCCGCAGTCACCACTGGTTCCCAGTAGCTCCGGGAAAGGATCGGCATGAACGCCAACCCGAACTGCCACCGGGCGAGGCCGGGCTTCTGTTTGAAGTAAATCTTCAGGCGGTACGGATCCAGCGCCTCCGCATGGTCGAAGAATTCCGGATCCACTATGGACGGCCAGTTACCCGGCAGCCGCATTTCTGATGCGGTGTGAGCCGTGAACACGAAGTCCTCGGCGGTGACTTCGGCGCCATCACTCCACTCACGCCCTCCTTTAGCACGCACTTCTGTGGTCCCAGAAGTCTGCTCCGGCGACCTGTTCTTCCTGCAGCGCCGTGGGGAAATCCGCCGCCAGCGGCCGGCACCCAGTCGAACCTCTGCGCCGAATACGTGTATAGCACCGGCTTGTCTCCACCCAGGACATACTGGTTCCAAATGGTCCCATCCGGCCCCAGGTAGGCCCAGTAGTTGGTGGTGGTCAGGTCTGCCGAAATACCGATTTGATAGACCTGCTCCTCGTCATCGGTTGGCGCCGGCTGCGACTGCTGGGGTTCGGGAGTCGCGGGAACCGCCGCCGGGGCTGAAGTCTCAGGAGCGGACTCGGTAGGCGTCACCTCCACGGTCGAACCTGCGCCGACCGGGCCGGGCGTCGCGGTGACCACCACTTCTGTGACCACTTCCCTAGTGCATCCCACCAATACCAGCAGGGCCATTATCAGGCCAATTATCATCAAAGGTTTACTGTTATGCAGCATTCAATCCACCTCAATAGTGAGCCGAAATCTAACACGTCGTACGCGCTTCCCGCAAGAAAGTCTTTTGACGAAAAGCACATGCGTCACCACTTGCCGGCCGACGCCGGATGGTAAGATGAGGAGCGGATTGGTGTCTGGCCCACGTATCGCGCCGGGACACGCTTTCGCGAGAAACCGCGCGTGAGCGCAAATAACCGTTTGAATCAATCAACAAGAGGTCTTGCCAATGAACATCCAGACTTTGGACCAGAGTCCACGAAATCATCGCGGCGGGCAGGTTTCCCACCTGCTTTTGGCCTCGGGTCAGTTCGGGTCCGAGAACCTGGCGGTCACCTGGGTGGAAGGCGAGCCGGGCAGCGAACAGGCTGTCCACTCCCACGACGGGCGGGAGCAGGTGTACGTGGTCGTGCAGGGACGCGGCGCCATGAGGGTCGGCGACGAGGTTGAGGAGGTTGGGCCCGGCACCGCCATCCTGGTGCCCCCCGCCACCAGCCACTCGATCCGCAACATCGGGGAGGAAAACCTCATCTACGTGTCCGCAACTTCGCCGCCTTTTGAGATGCAGGAGGGGAACACCCGCTGGTCAACCCCGTCGGCGTCGTAGGTAGACCCATACCGCGACCTCGCCGAGCGCAACCCCGGGTCCGGCCGGCCAACCGGATACTCTGTCAGACAACAACCGAAGTGGCGGGGAATTCGGACGAACATAGCGACGGGCATGCCGGATAGTGTGGTTTGGGTACAGCGCCTTCTGGACCAGCAGGGGCGGCCTGGTCCGCGAGCGGGTCAGCCGGGTGCGGCCGGCCCGCCGCTCCAGGACCAGTTCGGCTAGCCCGTCCTGCCGGGGCGTGGAGGTTCAGCAGCCCGCTTCAGGGTTACCGACTGCATCGAGAATATGGTCCAGCACCGTGTTCAATCCCTCGCCGGTGCGACAGTTGGTGAATACGAACGGGCGCTCACCCCGCACCATGTCGAGGTCGCGGCGCATCACGTCGAGGTCGGCGTCCACGTGCGGGGCCAGGTCGGTCTTGTTGACCGCCAGCAGGTCGGTCTGGGTGATGCCCTGGCCCCGCTTGCGGGGAATCTTGTCGCCCGCTGCACGTCGATCACGTAGATCTGGAAATCGGCCAGGGCGGGGCTGAACGTGAGGGTCAGGTTGTCGCCGCCGCTTCAATCAGGACGATATATCGGAGTCGGGGTAAGCCTCGGTCAGCTCCTCCACCGCCAGCAGGTTGAGGCTGGGATCTTCCCGCACCGCCGCGTGCGGGCAGGCGCCGGTGTGGTCAACGCCCCGGATGCGGCCGGTGTCGACACGTCCCGCAGGGTGTTGGTGACATGTTCCGCGTCCTTCCCGGGTGAGATGTCATGGTGATGACCACAGGATGCCGGCCTTTTGCCATCAGCATGGGACCAGCTTTCCACCAACGTGGTCTTGCCCGAGCCCACCGGCCGCCCACGCCAATTCGAGGAATCTTTCTCATTTTCTCCACTTGTGCGGGGGAACCCGCATACCCGAGCCGTTACCTGCCACCATCGCTCTACCCCCGGGTCCGGCCTGAAAACATGGCGATAGGCGGCACCGAGCCAGGATGAGCCTTCACAGTTAGCGCGCGCCGGCTGTTTACCGTCCGTGGCTTTGCTATCAGGGCGGCTCCCGCCGTTTGCTTCATCGCGGTGTCTGTGGTCCACAACCTGGGAGCCACAATATTGTGTCGAGAATTCCGGGTCGCGGACAGTTTGGCGGGTATCAGTTGCCTCCAATTGTTGCAGTCCTCTTCAAGTTCTCGAACCCTTATTTCGGCTTGGAGATCGGCCCTCGCGCTCCGCAAGGCGGGCTTCGCGCTCCTCAAGGCGCCCTTCGCGCTCGGTGTCAAAGGTGTGCGATGTGGCGCCGGTTTCAGGGTCATGCCAGCCCAGGTGACCGTCGTCCAGCGGAGTTCCAGACGAGGACGACGCTGCGCCCTCTGAGGTGCCGTCCGGCATCTCGGTGATCTCGATGGGTCGTATCCTCCGTCCACCAACCGTCGCCGGACAGCCGGGAGCGTGGATTGGACCGTTCGTCAAAGCGCCCAGTATTCGGCGATGCCCAGCTCGGCGTAGATGACCCTTGTCGACACATCTCGCCGCCCGGTCGACGCCGACGCGACCTCAAGGACGAAGTCGGGAGGCTTTGCCTGTTCCGAGATGACATATCCGTTGTGGGCGAGGTAGTGAAGCGGTCGACGTTGAACGCCACCAGGAGATCCGGTGTAAACCACTCCGGTCATATCGTCGCGTTGTGCGGTGGGCGCAAGGGTATGTAGCGGTGCAGATCCGACGATGGTTGGCTTGGAGGTTGCCGAGATGTTGTGCCAGGAAGTGTGCGCTGCCGGTGAGGACAGGTGTTGGGCGGGCGGTCATCTTCTCGTCGGGGGTTTGGGAGGGTCGGGAGTGGAAGGGGGGTGGAGATTTCGCGTTTGGCGGTGGTCATGCTGAAATCTCCGTGATGGGTCGGCGAACGGTCGGCAACGCGTGTGGCATATTGGCTGGATTATACCCGTGCCGGGTTTGACTGGCGCAAGGACATCATTGAAATTACCACCTGCTACCCGCCGGCGGGCGCGCCGTCAGCTGGCGAACATCCGCACCTCGTCGTGTTCGTGCAGCATCGACGCGATGTCCGCTTGGGGCGTGAGGAGGATGTCATCTGATCCAGCCGAGTGCAGCGTCAGGTCTGCCAAACCGGCCACGGGCCATGCAGCAGCTCTATGAAGGAGGTGCTGAAGCCGTCGGCAATGGGTCAGCGGCAGCATCCGTTATGGGCCGCGCACCAGCACGCCCACGGCGTAAGCTGTGGCCGCAACACCAGCAGGGCGACTCCTCGGCCGCGATCCCCGCGCGCGAGGATTAGTCACGCAAAAACTAGCGCGACTGGACAAAAGCTGCGGGCCGGTCGTGCTTCGCGTGCAACACCAGGTGCCGAAATTGGCGCCGTGAACGGCAGACGAACTGACCGTCCGCAGACCAGCGGCGCCTTCGTCCAGGCTGCGTGCGGCCGGCGTGCAGGAGCGCTCGTGCCGCAGCTCCTCCGCAGTTTCATCGTGCGCAGTTGCCGGTCGATGTCGTCCACGTACGGGCCGAGTGTCCCCCGATCCCGCGCGCCAGTATGTCACCATTTAGCAACGCGACGCCATCGCACGCAGGATCGACCAAACCAGCAGGTTGTGCAGAGTATTCCCCAGGTCGTCGCGTTCCTCACCCACCCTCCTCGTCACCATCCCTTCAAGCACCTGAGAGTGGGCGTATGCCCCGACGGAAAAGAAAGAGTCGGCAAGCTGCAGGGCGGCGAGAAACTCGCGCTGCTGCGTCTGCCGTCATCTTCAGCGTCCTTAGACCAGGAATGCAGTTGCGCCAGGCTGAGGGCTTTTCTGCCGGCGGGCACCGTGGCGATCTCGCCGTCGACCTCACCGTGTAGGGTCCGGTCGACTCGATGACGGGCAATCATCGCATCATTGCGGACATCTGCGCTTGGGTAATTGTCCGGCAGCCGCGCACGGCTCGACCCCGGGTCAGCCCCAGGTCACGGTGGACGCCAGCGTCGTACGCCGCGCGAGAAACGAAGGTGACGAAGGTGCTGGCCACCGCCTTGCCAGCTGCCCGAACATGGGTCGGTAGAAAGAGGGCTCGGCGGTGGTTATCGAACCGTTGGGATCGCCCCATGACGGCCCAGCAGATCATGCCGCCCTTGATTATCATCTTGGGGTTTGGCCCCGAGCTGCCCAGCGGCCACAGCACGATGTCCGCCAGTTTCCGGCTACAGCGAGCCCACCAGGTGCGATATGCCGTGGTGACGCCCGGATGATGTCAGCTTGGCCAGGTAGACGCAGCACGCGGAAGTTATCGTGGGTCCGCGAGTCATCGGGCAGCTTGCCCTTGAACTGCCGCATCTTGTCCGCGGTCTGGAACAGGCGGGTGAAGTTCTCGCCCACCCGGCCCATGGCCTGCGAGTCCGAGGCGTACATGCTGATGACGCCCAGGTCGTGCAGCACGTCCTCCGCCGCCATCGTCTCCGGCCGGATGCGGCTCTCGGCGAAGGCCACGTCCTCCGGCAACCCGGGGGCTGAGATGGTGGCACACCATCAGCATGTCCATGTGCTCAGTGAGGGTGTTCACGGTGTACGGCCAGCGTGGCGGACTGGCCGCGCAGGCGGAAGAAGTTCTGGTCCTCGACGTGGACGGTGTAGCCGTCTGTTCCCAGCCGTATTTCTGCTCGTTGACCAGTGCGGCGTGGTCGATGAGCCACTTGGCCTGGCTGAAGTCCGAAGGCACCCGAGTCCAGCCGGTGTAGTTGGCCTTGAGCCAGGCGGCCCAGTGGCATGAGCTCTCACCGGTGAGTAGTTTGGATAGCCAGGTGGCCCAGCTGTAGGGGCGGACGTTGTCCGGACCGGTTGTTAGGATGGAGCAGAGGCACTATATTGCCGGTGGGTCCGCTGCTTACCCTCGGCCTCCTGCATTCTGGGATTATTTCGGCACGCCGAAATGGGAATAATTGCCGATTCTAAGCACGTGGATAATGAAAGAGTATGACCTTGGTCAGAGGAGGTTGATCATGCCCAGATTCGACCAATCCCACCCTGATAATGTTGCCGGCCCATGGTTCGTGGACACTCGCTGCATCCGGTGCGACTCGGCCCGTAACTGGGCTCCCGACCTGATTGCGATGGACACCGCCGGCCGCTCTGTTCTCATCAGTCAGCCCGCTGGCCCGGAGCAGGAAGCCGCTCTGTGGCGCGCGGCAGCCGCTTGCCCCACCAAGTCAATCGGCAACCTCGACCAGCCCATCGAGCCGGCCGGCATTTTCCCGTACCTCCTCACCGACAGCGTGTTCGCCTTGGGCAACAATGCTCGCTCCTCCTTCGCCGCGCACTCTTTCCTGGTGACTCGTCCCGAGGGGAACCTGATGATTGACTCCCCCCGATTCACCCGTCCGCTGGCCGCCAGCGTTGACGACTTGGGCGGCGTCGCTCACATCCTGCTCAGCCATCGCGATGACGTTGCCGACTACGACCGCTGGGCCGACCGTTACGTGGCCCGGGTCTGGATCGGCGAGGCCGACGCCGACGCCGCTCCCCGCGCCACAGACTTGACCTGCGATGACGACGTTACCCTTGTCGCGCCTGGTGTACTGTCCATTCCTGCTCCGGGGCACACCCGTGGTCATGTGGTGTATCACATCGACGATCGGCTGCTGTTCACCGGCGACACCCTGCATTGGAACCATCGCCGCGCCGAACTGGACGTTTTCCCCAACCAGACCTTCCACTCTTGGACGGTTCTGGCCGACACCATGAACTTGCTTGCCACCCTCAACGTGGAATGGGTATTGGCCGGCCATGGTATGTGGTATCACATCGGCTCCGAGGAGTGGACCCGCCAGATGACGGCCCTCGGCCCTGCAATGCGGAACGTCGGCCGGCGCGCCTGGGCGCAACGGCCAAATACGACCTACGCCCGCCCACTAGTGTGATGTAACTGAAGTTAGTAGTAATAGTATCAGCGATGAGGTATCCTCCGGGTGAGCAGTCCCGAGGGAGGATAACCATGGCCATCGGACGACCAATGCCACCGCTGATTTTGGACGACATGGAGCGGGAAACTCTGGAGCGGTGGGTGCGACGACCGAAGACGGCGCAAGCCCTGGCGCTGCGGGCCAGAATGATACTGGCCTGCTCCGAAGGCCGGAGCAACACCGCCGTGGGCGCCGATCTGGGGGTGTCCGACGCAACGGTGGGCAAATGGCGTTCGCGTTTTCTGGAACAGCGGCTGGATGGACTGTCGGACGAGCCCCGCAGCGGTCGGCCCCGAGCGGTTACCGATGATGATGTGGAACGGGTGATTACGCTGACGTTGGAGACCACACCTAAAGACGCCACCCACTGGAGCACTCGGTCCATGGCGCAGCGGTCCGGCCTGAGCCACAACACCATCAGCCGCATCTGGCGTGCCTTCGGACTGCAACCCCACCGCACCGAGACGTTCAAGCTGTCGGCGGACCCCTTCTTCATCGAGAAGGTGCGGGACATCGTGGGGCTTTATCTGGACCCGCCGGATCGGGCGTTGGTGTTGTGCGTGGACGAGAAGTCCCAGATCCAGGCCTTGGACCGGACCAGGCCGCTGTTACCCATGCGCCCCGGACCGGCGGAACGGCGCACCCATGATTACCTGCGCCACGGCACCACGTCGTTGTTCGCCGCGCTGGATGCCAAAACCGGTAAGGTGATCGGCCAATGCCACCGACGCCACCGGGCCGTGGAGTTCCGCAAGTTCCTCGATACCATTGAGGCCGAAGTGCCCCTTGACCTGGACGTCCATCTCATCGTGGACAACTACGCCACCCACGAGACGGCGCTGATCCGGAACTGGTTAGCCAAGCGGCCACGGTTCCACCTGCACTTCACGCCGACCAGCGCATCCTGGCTGAACCTGGTGGAGCGGTGGTTCGGGATGCTGACCGAGAAGCAGCTACGGCGAGGGGTGCATCAGAGCAGCGGGGCACTGGAAGCCGCCATCTACCGCTATCTTGACCTTACCAACGAAAACCCCAAGCCCTTTATCTGGACCAAGACCGCCGACCAGATCCTGGCCAAGGTCGCCAGTTTTTGCAGGCGTACTTTAGATACATGACACTAGTATTACAACGACGGGTTAAGGAGGGATGCTGGTGGATGTCTGGCCAGCGGCGCGGCGTTTCTCATGGGACTGTCTGGCTCGCTCGTTGCGTTGCTGGACACCATCTAGCCATAGCAGCAACTCCTCCGGCCCGAACCGCTCCCGCGGCAAAAGCTCACGCACCACTCGGTACACCTGGGGCCGGGTGATCAGGGGCATCTTTTTCCCCCCAGTCCTGTTGTAAGGTCAGTAGAAAGGCGCCGGCCAGCAGACACATGGTGATGTGGTGATGCCAGCCGGTCCAGGTGCGAGTTTCGTACTCATCGAGGCCCACGTCGCTCTTCTCGGTCTCGAACTCGGTTTCAATGCGCCAGCGGGAGCCGCCCACATAGGCCAGGGTTTCCAGAGGCGTGTCCTCCGGAGTGTTGGATAGATAGTAGCGGGGCTCGCTGCCGTCGCGGTTCTGGCGATAGATGGCCCAGAGGATTTCGCCGGGCTTGCGTCGGCGCGTTACCCGCACCCGCTGGGCGCTGAATAGGTAGGTGCGTGGTCCCTGGCTGCCCGCCGCAATGGTTAGCTCTCGCCAGGCATCCGGCGGCAGCGCCGTACTGCGCTCCGACATGGTCCGCCGCTCCTCACGCCGCGGTCTGGGTTTGCGGGGACGCCCGTTACCCTGGTAAGGCGGATCGGTCCAAGTGGGTTCCAGCGGCCACACCGTCATATCCGGACGCACGTCCAAAACGTAGTACATTCCCGCAGACGCCAGGCCCTCCCGCAGCGTCGGCGACATCCCGAAAGCGGAATCGCCAGCCACCCACTGTGCGCTGAGGTGGCCTCTGGCCTGGGCACACTCCAGCATATCCATGGCCAACTCCGTCTTGCTTTGGTACTCCCGCCGGTTCGCCGGCACCCCCGCCATCGCACAACGCTCCCCATCCCCAGTCCATTCCTGGGGCAGATACAGCCTCTTGTCCACCAGCGCCCGGCCCCGGGGCCCCACGTGGGCCAAGAACACCCCAGCCTGGCAGTTGGCAATCTTCCCCAATGCTCCACAGTACTGCCGAGCGACTCCCGCCGACTTCATCCCCTGCTTGGGAAAGTCGCTGCCGTCCAACACCCACACCGCCTGCGGATGCTCCAACCGAGAACCCAGATACTCCTGCAGCCGGCCGATGACCGCGTCGTCATCCCAGCGGGCTTCGGTAAGAAAACGCTGCAGCACACGCGGCGACGCTGTAACCGTCTCTGACAGGTTTTCCGCATTGCGCCGCTCCTGGGACTGCACCAGCAGGGCTTGCAGGTATTGCCCACTACGCTCCCGCCACTGCTTGCGACCGAAAACCGGCGCACAGTAGTCGTGAAAATCCTGGAAGGCCTCGTACACTCGGTCCAAAGCTGCCGCGTCCATCGCCCCACCTCACCTCCCGTAGCCTCCGACTGCGCCGTGAAATCCTACCACATAACCCGTCGTTGTAATACTAGAACTCTGGCCGGAAAGCTCGGCTGATTGGGGCAGGGGTTATACTCCGGGTCATCCAGGTTAGTGCAGTGGAGCAAGGCCATGTTGGGCGAGCGGACTGAGCAGAGACGAGGGCGATCGAGACGGCCACGCCGCTGAGAACAGCGACGTGGGCCACGCCATCCCTCTGCCCAGGCAGTGGCTGATCAATGACAAGCTCCCAGCCGGACGGGTGGCGCTGAACGCCAGGTAGGGGTTGCACGCCGGGTCGGGAGACCGGTACTCGATGCGGATGGACGCTTCCTCCCCGCGCTCGTAGCTGGGCACGCGAATCAGATCGGAACGGTTCACGTGGGTCCAGGAGACGTACACCGGCGCCTCGTAACCCGGGATCAGCCGCTTGTAGGAGTTGACCCACTGGTTGGTCACCAGGGTTATCTCCGGCGCGTGGGCGATCAGCCCCGCGATGAATTGCTTGCCCAGCGTCGACAGGTACTGCTCGTCGTCCGCGTCGTAGAACCGGTTGGCCTCGCCGGCGAAGAGGGACTGGTGTAGATGCAGACCCGAGCCATTGATGCGCGAAACCGGTTTCGGCATGAACGTGGCGTACACGTTCTGCAGCTGTGCCAGCTCCTTGATCACCAGCTTGGCCGTCATCAGGTTGTCGGCCATGGTGAGGGCGTCGGTGTACTCCAGGTCAATCTCGTGCTGGCTGGGCGCGCCTTCGTGGTGGGAATACTTCACCGGTATGCCCATCTCCGCGAGGTTGAGCACGGTCTCCCGCCGCAGGTCGGAGGCGGGGTAGCTGGAAAGCTGGTCAAAGTACCCGTCGTGGTCCAGCAGCTCCGGAGCGCTGGCGTTCTTCAGGTAGAAGAATTCCAGCTCGGCCCCGACGTTATAGGTGAACCCCATCTCCGCCGCCCTGTCCAGGTTCCGCCTCAGGACCTGGCGCGGGTCGCCGGGGAAGGTCTGGCCCCGGGGCTGTCGGATGTCGCAGAACATCCGGGCCACGGCGTTCTGGCGCGGACGCCAGGGCAGCAGCGTGAAGGTGGCCGGATCGGGATAGGCCCGCATGTCGCTCTCGTGATGCCGGGCAAATCCGTCAATGGCCGAGCCGTCGAACCCCACGCCCCGGTCCAGCGCGTCCTCCAGGTCATCGGCGGTGATCGCGAAGCCCTCGAGCTTGCCCAGGATGTCGGTGAACCACAGGCGAATGAACTTCACGTCGTGTTCCCGCGCGGTCCGCAGTACAAAGTCCCGTGCGGCGGTTGTATCAGCTGTCATGGTTATTCCTCACCTTCGCGTTTTGCGCCGGGACCTATACCGCCACGTACTCCCGGACCAGGTTCTGGTCCAGGTCCCTGGCGGCGCCTTCCAGGACTATGGCTCCCTTTTCCATCACGTAGCAATAATCGGCGATGCCCAGCGCGAAATCCAGGAACTGCTCCACCAGCAGGATGGTGGTCTCCTGCTGCTCCCGCAATCGGTGCAGGAGCTCCTCGATCTCCTGGACTATTGACGGCTGAATCCCTTCGGTGGGCTCATCCAACAGCAGCAGGGATGGCTCACGGACCAGGGCCCGGGCCAGGGCCAGGATGAAGACGCGCTTCACGGGGAACACGAGGTCTCCGGTGACCGTGAGCGCGCTGCCCAGCCACGGCGTGGCTACCACCTGAACGTTGGGCGCGCCGAAATCGTTCGCGCCAGCTGCTGCAGAACAGGCCGACACCCCACGTCGCCAGCAGCGTGTCCAGGGGGCGGCGTAAAGGAACGGATCACGCGTTCTCCACCACGTACACCCCCCGCTCCCGCAACACGAAGGAAACGGGAATGGCGATCAGGAACGTGATCCCAGATTGCGTATCACCGGTGAAGCTGAGAGCCGCCTGCTGCAACGCGTACGTGGTGTACGCCCCGATCATGATGAACTCGCCGTGCGCCAGGTTGATGACGTTCATCAACCCGAAGGACAGCGCCAGTCCAAGCGCGATCAGCAGCAGGATTGAGCTCAGGCTGAGCCCGTTGAACAGTTGTGAGCCCAAACTTCCATTTTGTGGCCGTCAAGGAGTGTGAGTTCAGCGGGGTGCGCGGACTGCATCGCTCGGCCGTAGTCGAAGCCAGCACTGCCATCGCGACTCGTGGTTTAGTGCTGGTATGACATTAATAGCGACAAACCAGTGAGGTTCGCGTAAACGTCGTCTTGCTTAACTGGGCCCAGGTCAGGGTCCAGGAGACGGCGGCGCCAATCGTAGGTGCCAGGTAGGGATCGGGCGCGCAACCGGCGAGCCGAGTTCAGATATCGTCGATCTGATCCGTCGTCGCGCACTCCGTGCGATGCGGCCGTCTTGGACACATGCTGTTATCGTTGTCGAATGGTCACATCCCTGCCGGGAGCGGCAACACTGGGATTTTGCCCTTGGGCCGGCTCTCCTGACCGCGGCACCTCGGTGGTGCCAGGCCTTTTTCCACCGCGGCTTCCACAGGTACAACAACGCCGAAGTAGCTAGCCGCCTCGATGGGGTCGTACGTGACGCGGCTCTCGCCGGTACTTGGTCTTGAACGCCGCCACGAATTTCTCGTTCGGGGAGTCTGCGTGGTCTGGAACGTAGTTCCATGCCACAGGTGCCCGGCGATGTTATCGGCGCCGATGCCGGTAGATCTCTTCCCTCCTCACTCTTCCGCGGCCACGCTCACCGAAACGTCGGCAGATCCTCGGCTGTGTGATCGCCGGCGTCCTTGAGCTGCTGTAGAAGAAGAAAGCAACGTTGGAGTCGCCGTTCAGCGTGTGAACACCACGTCGGGCTCGGCGCTTGATCTTCGTGATCACGGTGCTTGTAGCTCGTGTGCCCAGCGGGTGTATTCCTCCCCCACGGCCTCATGCCGCGCGCGGGCCAGCTGCTTGTTGATGACAGGTTGGGACGTGCGCGGGAACGTAGTCCGAACCCAGCAGGGTAGAAACTTCGTCTTGCCTTCGATCAGCAGGTACTCGATGGCCGCACAATCGCTGGTGGTAGTCGCTCCCGTGTGAGAAGATGTTGGGAGAGGTCTCAACCCTTCGTACTGCACCGGGTAGACAGCAGCCGCGTGTTGGCCTCGAAGACCGCAACATCGCTTGGCGGCTAGGCGCTGCGTCCAACCTCCGAAGCCACGCGACCTCGTCCTCCTGGAGCAGGGCCACTTCCGCCCCTTTTTCGGCAAAGGTCGGCCAGTCGGACGCGCCGTCTTCAATGACGACTTCAGATCTGCTTGCCCATGACCCCGCCGAGGCGTGATCTCCTCAATCAGCCAGCACTCGGGCTGTCCGTGGCACCGCGGGTCTCGACTGATGCGACACTCGTGCCGGACGCGGTTAGTGCAGGATGCCCACCTTGATAGTGTCGGACTCGGCCGCGGCGGGCGCGCTTGCGCGGGCTGAGGATCCACTGGCAGCCGGCGCGGCTTGGCCGAGCCGGAGGGTGGTACGGCTCGGATGTCCACACGCGGCGCCAGCGCCAGGGCTATGAAAACGACGGCCACGCCCAGTACGCGACCGCGATCAGTACAGACATTTTAGTAATTCAAGCGACAGAGATAAGGGGTTTTCACTCCTAATTCAAACGCATTGCCAACGGGCCACCGCCGTCAGCTCGGGATGGCGACCCCCTGTGGGGATTGCCGGCTCGAATGTCGCTATGGATGCCGATTAGAGGCGCGTGTTACAGCCGGATGCGAATGTATTGCGCGAAGTTGCGCGTACGTAAAGGGGCAGGGGTAACCCTTGGGAATCGCCATCGATTGCGCCGAGCGTAGTAGCGCCGGAGGGAGCCGGAGCCCCCGGAGTCAATGGTGCGCTGCATCTCCTACCAGACTAACCGAAGGACGACGGCTTCGTTGCCGTGCAGACCCTTCTCGTAGCGGGCGGCGTCGGCCCCCCGGGCGGCACGGGTTACTAAAGAGCCGTTGACCTGCTGTTCGCTAGGAGCGGGGTCCAAAGGGTCAGCGCCAGGTCACGCCGGTACCGGACCTGATGGGACACTACTGCGGCGCGATTGGGATGACCACCGACCTCGTTAACCGCGATCAACGCCACATCGATTCGCCGCACGGCCGTCCAGGCCTCCGATCTTGTGGGTATGCTGGCGAAGGGGGGAGGAGAGGAAGCGGATCAACCAGTACCTGCGGTGAGATTGTTGGATGAGCTTGGACATGCCCGCAAAGAAAAGTGACGCCCGTGGCTCCAAGCGGCCCCGCCGGGTGGGCCGGCATAGCCGGACCACAGCCTGGGACGACTACATCGAGACCCCCCCCCCCCCCAACATCCCCAAACCATCCCCCTAATTCACCCTCTCCCAGGGTGATGACCAACCATTCGCGAGAACGGAGGCCTCACCCGCTGCACGTATGGTACCTTCTGCGCGAATTTTGCAAAATCTGTCCCGATCTTTACACTCCCTGCCCCGGCAAATGCCGCCAATAGCTCCCCCATGGGGATTGTTCCTAGTATTTCGCGTCGCCCGCCCGACGGCTCTCTGATACGATCAAAAATATGCTTGATTGGATATTTGTTATTTTTCTCATAGCAATATCGTGTGTGAGCAAGCCTTCCTGAAGGACGCCGCCAATCGTGCAGGTTCTCGGGCGGAAATAGACCTCGT